ATAATTTCGAAAATATTGAGTTTGATATCGAATTGAAGAAAGCAACTATCTGGGAGTGTAATGGTGAAAGAAATTTCAAAATCCGAGCAAAATTGGATTTTTGGCGTGGATTTGAGTGAGTGAAAGCGGTTTTTGAGCGAAAGCGGTTTTTGAGCATTTTTGAGTGGGTGTGGCGGGCGCAAATGTGGCTATGGAGTCAAACCACTTCAGGGTTTTAGTACACTCATAGGACCCTACCACATATCCAAAGGGCATCAGGATCTGTTATTATCAACCTCGCAAGCTCCCCTCCTTAGGATTAGTGCTTTAACCAGAGTATCGTTTCTCTGAGTGAAAATAGTAGCCTAAATTAGGGTCAAATCTTTACAGAAGTCAGGAAGTGACGGGACAAATTTCATTTATTTTTTAAGAAAAAGATGTTGACTAAAAACAAGAGATTCAATCATGCATCACCATCTCACCACCAACTACGGCTGTATATACTGACCAGCAAGACCCACTTTAATATAAATGGCGACGAGCTTGCATTCCACATCGCTTAAGAAACTTTTGCTGCTTGATCTATCTCATTTCGTAGATATACTTACTTAGTATCAATTATTATCTTCGAAAACGTTTTTGCCCTTCTTCACCGATTCATTGTCACCCCTCCTCATTGTCGAAGTATAAAAAGTACTACATAAGTAACGGAGAATGCAACGTTTCGTTTTGCGTACCACAAGATGCTGACGAAGGTAGTAAAAATGTCTAATCTACGAGAACATACATCCAACCAACACACAAGGCTTAAGTAAGAAATGTATTGAGGTTTTTAGGCTCACTTGCCCTACATATTTCGTATGCAAGCCAAAATAAACTGTAGCTTAAAAAAGTAGAATGAATGCCATTACGAGGAACAAATCAACTTTCTTCATCGTCAGATCAATCCGAGGCGGCATACACCTCAACCACCACCATCACGAAGAAGACGACGACATAATATAGCGTCGTACTCATCTTGCAAGCCCAAAATTTTCCCTGGGGCCAACTTTTCAAATTAAAGGCATTATTACTTATGTTATAGTGTTGTTGGATGAGATATAAAGCCAGCGTTTGCACTACCTACCAATACCACTGCCTTCAACAATAACGATATTCTTCGTGTAGAAAAGGGTTTCTCGTCGTCGTCGTCATCATCATCATTCCATTGTGCTCGAATCTGAAACCAGCTTCCCTGCACTCATCTTGAGCCTATTGACTGGCATTTACTACTCTTGCCTGCTCTACCATCACCTCGTCCAATACCAGTTTGGCTTCATACTTTTCTGTTACAGAGAAGAAGAGACATTCGAGATAGGAGGGGACGACGACAATGTTAACATTCTTAACATTCATTATATTACTTTCAACTATGGTCGAACGAAGCAAGTCTGAGATAAAATCTGAGATGACTTTGTCTTCTTTCCGCAACGTAGTTCCTTCCTTAACTGAACCCATCTTACCTTGAGCAACTGTATGCACTGTGTATTAGTCCAATTATTATAATGAACAAATCAACGTGTCCAGTTGCATTTGCAGTTTCTTACAAGTGCACCACTTAAGCTACTTAAATACAAAGGTTTAAGCTACAATATTGCTGAACTTATGTATACTCGCTCAATCCCGGTTTCCACTAGATTGACAAAGTGGTGCAAATAAAATCTGCTCAATTCGATCGCATAAAGTATTGAAATCTTATTTCACTTCCTTCACGTATGAATTATTTGGCATCCATTTTAATAAACGTATTTCCAAGATGAATAATTTATTTAGCACAATTACAAGAAATGTCAGTGTTGTTGGAAAGATTGTAAAATTTCCTAAAGCATTTCAACTGATTCATATTTAGATTAGATACATTGTTTCAACGTAATGCACATGTGAATCTGATTGAGTAAAGTTTCATCCTTCCCAAAACACAAAACATGAACAGCTACATGAACCCATTTGTGGGATCTAAATTGGGACGCATTTACTTGATAGCATCTATTAAGAGTCATTTTGTTAATAATTGAAGAAGTTTAATAAATATAAAAGTCTGGGGATCTCTGTAAACTGGTTTTAAATCAATAAATTTTCCAAGTGAAGCAAATTATCCATATTTGATCGCTTTAGTATTTATCAGTATATAAATATGTGGGAAGAAATTACTGAAATGTAATGAACATAATGAATACTGCAGGCAGACAGAAGAGCTGCATGAAATGTTCTCATTTCATCCGTCCGTCCATATGCATGTACATCTTCGTGGCTGCCTACCTATGAAAGCAGTTTGATGGCGAAGCGGAATTGGAATGGACTTTACAACGATGATCCGTTGTTGCAGGACGGATGGATGGATTTCACAATGGTCTGACCACGTACACATTTTGTACATTGCCATCAACAATCTTGCAACTACTTTTCAATTGTTTTGACCGACCTCTGCAGGATTTAGTAGATTCATCCATATCAAATAAATTCTTATCCAGCTGCGTTTATACAAGCATGTTACCTTTCCCAGTAAAACAACACGCTTTATTTGGATTATTTCCCACAGCTTGATCCCACAGATTCATATCATCTCCTTTCATACAAGATACATACAAGTGGCAAAGCCGTGTTGTTTATTGATGCTTCAAAGCAACCTAGGAAATGAATCCCTTTGAAACAAAATCACGTGAAACTGTCAACTGGAGATGTATAGTCCTGAAATATGCTCCAATTTGGAGCATTCATGAAAAGGGAAACGAAGTGCAATCCAATTCAAAATGTCATGTTCATTATCTTGTAAAATAAATCTAAATTTCAACCATTAGCAATTAACATAAACTAGCTAATCCACCAACCAGTGCAGTCACATATATGATCGTATGGCGTTGGTTGTCTTGGATCAATGTGCTGCATTTATAAAGTAGAGCCCTACAAAAAGGCAAGTGTAGTCTTTTTTAGACTACATCCCTCTTTATGTGATGCACTACCAGAATTCCTGATGTTTTTTGTCCTGGACACGAAAGCCTCTTATATTTCTCATGCAGCGACGCTAATAACTTTTTACTGATCTGGGGTGCTGGTTGGTGTTCATGTCAAATTAAAAAACATTAAAAGTTGCTCTACCATCAAAGAAGCATTACCATTATTGCCCACCACCACAAACGTGCAACGACCAGCAATAACGTAACATTCTCAGCTACATACTAGTTCTCACTCGGGAGTCAAGTTCTTAACCCGTGAGTTTCCTCCTGTTCTATGTCCTGGCCTGTGGTGTCCGTGTCCATTGGAAAATCAGCTTAACAAATTTAAGACGCAGAATCCAGTACTATCGTTGTTCTGATGACTTATTGTAATGCAACCCGTAACATAACATAAAATCTTTTAAGACAGAGAGAGCGAGAGAGAGGCCATAAATTAATTTCGCTGAGGCGAAGACTGCAAAGTCCGACATAGAGATCAACATCTTTAATCGATTGGCCCATGCTTGACAATATTATTACCAGGGTGGGACTGGTATGTAGTAATCAAATTTATATACACACATATGTACCTACGCTTAAACGAACCAATGTGCTCATGTAATAAAATATAGCTTGACCAGCACATAATACGTATGTGTGCAAGTTAATAAACTGAGAATTATAACTACCATAATATTCCCACATCCAACTTGAATATTCAACTTCAAGAATATGCTTTAATGAAACAAATAGTTTTGCATAACGGATTGGATCATGTTTCACTATTTTGTGGAATTCTAAACAAATCGATTGTTTGATTTTGTGGTAAGTTGATACGTTACTTAAAATACTGGTGGAGTTGGACTTATTGACCATATGTATTTGGAGGAATGAGGTAATTTAGTTTAACGCATTTAACACCCAAAACCAACAAAAGTGCACAAATATCTTGAAGGTGAACACGGAATTTTTATTCTATTTCCAGGAATGACATCATGCCAAATTACACCATTAACAACATTCAGTTCACACTCTCTTAGCTCACAGAAAGTTTGTATAAATATACACATCCCCATTGTGTCGGGCAAGAGATGAAGACCAAGAAATGAGTACAAATCCTGGTCGAGATCCCACAGGTCACGTTTACATGTACTTTTTAGATTTTGTTTTGTAATATCCATCTCACGTGGTTGTGGTCACTTCGTTCACTGGCTGGGTGGTAGAATGTGTACATGACACGTAACTGGTCAACACAATCTAAATCTAACTCACTTTCCAACGTCCACAATTACCAGACCAGCACCAATACCATTCTTATATCAATACTTTGGCAATTCTCCTCCTGATTCGTTTACTTGGTCAAGTTTATGCTAACGTAAGCACAGTAAGTTCCTTACAAAATATCAGTGTGTTTGCACATCCAGAGTCAAATTACCATTTGACGGCTTAATTCTCAATATAAATTGTGCGTGTACATATGCAACTACCTAAATACCTATGGATGATCCATAAAGAATTAATGAAAGTGAAACCAATGCCAAAAAGTATTGATATATGTACAATGTGTCCCTGTTGTGTGGATAAGCATCGTTAAGAAAATGAAGTGTTTTATTTATATTGCATATATCATATCACAGCATATTATGCTTAACCTGTTTTGCCGTAATGTGCGAGGAGGAGATATGAGAAAAAAAAGAGTAAATTATTACCCAGTAGATCTAAATAATAATGGAAACCAACGAGCCGGACTTGTAATAAAACACCACATGAAATGAAACTATTTTACTCTTTACCACTTTCCAACTCATCCTTTAATTTATATCATAGAGACATGTCAGCTATCTCATTAAGTTAAACTCCAGGAGTGGATGTGAAACGTAGAAAAAGCTACTTACAAAACTACTTACTGCCATTACTGTCAATTAACACTAATAAATTTTCTAATCTTACACAACAATTTGACAAACCCATCCTTTAAATAAATTGAGATTTTTTGCAACTTTCTTTCACAGCGTAGTGAATAAATAATACTAAATAGTTTTCACTTACATCGTGCAGCATTCAGAATTTCCTTGACATCTTTGACGAGTACTTTGATCTGCGAACTCGTCTTCTCCAGCTCTTTCTCATGGGCGTGAAGGTTCTCTCGGAAGTAAGGACTATCCGTGAGACAGTCCTTGAACTCGAGAGGCTTCAGCCCCATGATATCCGGGACACTTGGAACACGCTCCAGCTTAATGGATTTCCACTTTCACCACTTAATTCACAAAAAAACTCTCCCCAACGTCCAACTACTTGTTGGACGACAATCGACCAAACCCCAGTGGACGTAGTCACTAGTTAGATTTCATACGCAAATAATTTGATATTAAACTACACCCACAACTTTTTCTATTTGATGGAAACTGTAACATCCCTTTCACCTCTGACTTGCAACAAACTGAAACCCAAGTTTTGGTTGCTGATTTAGAGAACTTGAACAAATGGTAATGTTATTAATAATAATTGTTCCCAGTTTTCGAGTCACTGTCATCTTAAATCACTTTGGTAGTTAGAAATTATACTGTGCTTCTGCTGTCTGTGCTGTTTGAGTTATTTATTTTATAATGCCGAGTTGTTGAGAGTCGTATTTCTTGGCTTGAATAATTGCATCACTGCTCATCCATCAGTGGAGCTTGTGTGTGTGTGGTAGGCAGATCTGAAATTAAAACAGAACAAATTCACCAGCTTTAAAAACGAGTGCTAAACCAGATAGTAGACAAAATTAGTTGGTTGGCCCGGTACTTTAAACAAATGTTGTGATAGTTATTGGTCATGAAATTAAATGACAGCTAACCCATAGAATATGCATGAAGGGGGTGAGTCAGACAATTTGACAACTGTTTTTAAGTGAACTGAATATATGTATGTACAAGAGCAACAAGTGGTCTGCAGTTTTATTTGGCCGACAAATCTATAATCACCACCCGTTCGTTATGATCTCGTGTAAACTGATAACCAAATTTGATACTCGATATTGCCAACTGAACCGATTCTCTCTGTGAAAGACATGTTATCTTTTGCACTAATGCAACTTGCAATTATCCCATCCGTGAATCATGCAAATATTTACTCTGCTGCCTGTGGATGATGGAAAGTTAAAATTGCAATGGTTTTGCAACCCTTTGCATGTCGAATAATAAATAAATAAACTGAAAATTTTTAAATGTTTGGATGAAGGTGGCACCAAATAATGATGTGACCTTAGTTTAATAACCAAAAAAATCTCCATCCAATCAAATCCAAACGTGATCACTGTTATTACACATTATCAGCTTTATTGATGCCTGTGCCTACCTTGAACCACATTAAAAATTTAAACGGGTATTATTACAGGATTTAATTAAGCACTGTCGTCAGCAGTATTATTCGGCTAGTTTCGTTTCGTTACGAAATGCTGGATAAATCGCTAGGATAATTCTAATTGTTATGCACACATCGCATCAAGCACTATACAGTTGGCAATTGAGACGAGGGTTTAAGAGTTCAAATAATAAATGTATGTATGTTCAATATACATAATACGTGAGTCAGAAGCTTGAAAAATTACAATCCATGCACGGTCATGCACAAATATTTATTGATGGAAATAGTAAACTCAATTAGCATGTCTGCATTAATATTAAAATTACCATTGGTTGTAAAATATTCATAAAAATTTTTGACGACATGCTACCACACCACAAATTATAATACAACGAAAACGTTGTAATATTAGCAACCATAGAAAGTAGCTTTTGAAATAAATGGTTGTATAAAAATGATTATTGGGTTGTTATTCCAATGTTTAAAAATATTCGAATTAATGATTTCCTTTGCATTTTTTATACCAATGATAAAAATGTTTAGAAAAAGGTACAAATCTCAAATAAAAATGTAGATTTATATAAAATCACAGAGAACCACTTATTATTTCAGCAACTAATTAGGGTTCATGTTTTAATAGAATCGGACATAAAGAAAAAACCCCAAGTTCAAAGCTATGGTTGAAATAATTGACTGGATTGTTGGCAAGAATGACTGTACTCTGGTTTGTTTGCTGTAATGTTACATGTTAAAAATGTTAAAAATGAAGACAAACAGGTCTTGACGTTTGAGTCCTTGCCCAAGAAAAAGAAGGCTGCGCTGTTTTTCGTACAGTCGCATTTTAGGACATTTTTATAAAAATTCAACTACCTGCACTACATTACAACATTCCTTTGACAGAGTCACAAGATTACCTATCATGTTTCATTTCTTTAAAAAAACTTGTATATTGCTATGCGCAAATTACATGAGAGGCGTGAGAATCCAATATTACGTCTGATTCCTAGTCTAGAATACTGAATCCAACAATTTGTAATTAACACGTATGTATTGAATAATAATTACATATTATAAAATAATCGCACTTTGCAGCAAATAAATGACATGAAGAAACAAAGTGCACACACACTTTTACACGAACTGAACAGATATTATTCTAGACGCAGTTGCAGAATAGTATCCATTTATATGTTTGTTCTGTATAACATTTAAGGTAATGAATCGAGGCCAGCGAATTAATAAGTCGTCGTCGTCTTCAATTAAGGAACGTCTCGAAGAAGTGTGTGTTACATATTGCGCATATGTTTCGCAGGAGCGAGTTGACTCGTAATATGTGTAATAATTGTGTCAAGTGTTCACATATGGGGAACGTGCTGTTTATTTACAGCTATTATAATAATGGTTGCAGTTAATATCTACAATAAGTCGTGAGAAGTTTTCAGCTCATATTACCACAAACAAACCCGTGCTGCACTCCACAGTCGAACTCACGGATATGGCCTGCCAATAAATTTGAAAAACTACTACATACAATACAACCTTTCCACTCAACTTCTAAAATCACTCTGATGATAACAGAGTAACTGCGAAAACTGCAAATTGCGACAATGAACTGCCGCCATGATGCATGCATCCGCCGCTATCCTTGACCAACTCTGGGGACAAGTTTTAATTACTCAGGATCAGTGGATGATGACGATTCCTCTTTGTTCTAAATTGTAATGCAATCCTTCTGTCAATATGAATTACATCTAATGAGACTGGGACAGCTCACGTTATTGTTATTACTATGCAGCCATATCATCCAGAGATAATATTTGCTCTAAATCCATTCATTCATAAGTAATCTGCCAAATATGCATTTACGTAACCAATGTTCCTATTCCTGCTGATATATATCCTGTCGGTCACTTTCATGTAATAATATTTAAGGTACTATTCTAAAGTAGTGTCCTAAAGTGTAAAGGGTTGATGAGTGTGCAGGATGGATAAGCCTAACAAATTGCTAGGAATTAAATATATGTAACATTATCTTTGCAATTATTAACACGATTTGCAATAATTGTCCGGATGTCTATATTTCCAAGTAGACGTTCAGAGACAAATATATGGCCACTAATTTAATATAGACTCCTATTAAATCGTCAATTGAAAGTTTAGATGAACTGCTGACGCCGATATGCGTAAATATCACACATATTAAACATAATTAACTAAGTGTTAATTAGTCGTCAAATTGAAAAATGGGCATCAAAGACACGCACCTACGTACACTTTATTCCAACTCCTTGCAATATTTCCAATCCGAAAAGCGGAGATGCGGGTATATTCGTCTCTTTCTTTGTTTCTCTTTAACAACTCGTGTTCACATTTCTTTCAACAAATTCCACTGCCACTCGACACCATGAACCAACAAAATAACAATCTGAAACTCATCACTTGCTTAACTTGACTAAAACAAACTATGACATTTGACACCCACACATTCCAGTTAAATGTTTGCTGTCTTGCATCTGTGACAAACTTTCTCGGGCGATTTAACTCCAATTTGGGCTCGTAAATCACCCCTTCGTTCCCATTGAGGAGCTACTACTAACTACGCACCCACATCCGACAAACCAAACATAACGTGTCCAACTTATCATCACATTCTTCCAGAGTATGTATAAACACGACAAAAATCTATGTATAAAGAGAGTTATGAACTTTGCAGGGTTAACCACTTACGAAATATTGTACGTTTTTACCGGTGTGGGCAAAAAAACGGTAGCAATATAGAGCTTTGCTTCATTTGGTGAGTGTCAAAAACGTCTTCGCAGTAAATGCGGCTCCGATCTCTGTTTGCAGCAAGTTGTCACACACCAAACGGGATTAAACTTACTTATTAAGAAGGCGATGTTTAATTGTCGTAGTTGGTCTTTGGGGGGTTTGATAGATTGATTTTTGCACTTTGCTTTACATAAAGGCTGTAATGCTGCAATACTGTCACATTTCCTTGGGAGAAGTCAATGTGGCCTGGTCTGAGTTCAAATCCGGACTAAATAACAGTGGAGTGCCGCAGTTAAATGGGAGGATGAACAGGGGTGAAGAAATTAAAACATTATTGGAATGAAAGGCCTCTGCTGATCGTCGTCTGCTATATGCCATTCTATGCCATATTCCCACCTAACTTATCCATAGTACGGCTTCATGGCTTCGTAAGTTTCGTTGTAACTTGTAAAAGTAAACGTGCCCTAGAGCAATGATTCTCCCAACGCATACCACAACACAAAAATCCTCGTCATTATTATTTCACCGAGGCACAAACCAAAGGATAGAGATGCAGATGGATGGATGGATGGATGAATGACGATGAGATTTTGTGGCATCTTCGTCTTCTTCTCATCTTATTCTTAGCGTCAACAACACTGAATAAAAGGAACTTGCGTCTTTTTTACTCCGATATTCATGGAAAGAACGGTCTGTAATACGCGTGCCGTGTCTTCATGAAGAATCCAAACCAATCAGTTTACTCAAGTGGTTATAAAAAATGCCTCTCTGGACTGGAGTGGAAGTCGAGTGAGGTAAATTCTCCAGGAATGAAGATGTCGGAAAATGAAATATTGATAATTAATGAGCTACTACAAGATAAATAATCTTGGCAGTGGAATTCTAGGGCTCCAAAAAAGAGCCTAGGCGCCAAATGATTGTTTTGCCTAATTATTTGTGACCCCGACTAATGAAACTTCTATTGAATTTAATATACATATCTTTTCCAAATTAACTTACCATTTTATGTATGTTGTGAATCTTTCAGCATAATGTTTTAAAAATATATATTAGTCAAAGGATAACTCACCTGCGTTGTTATCCGCGTCGTCTCCGGCGGCGGAGCCAGAAATCGGCAAGTTTAAATAAATAAAATTCCGTCTGATTATAGTCATCAATCGAACTTTGGGTAGTTTGTCTAAAATGACTGATAAGCCTATATATAGCGAACAAGGTGAGAAACACAAATATAAGATCAAGGACAAATTGAATGATTTCATCTGTAAGGGATGCCATATTTCAGTGTCTTTGTCCTACCGAGGACTAATTTAACAGTTTAGATGTAATTAAAAGAAGGAAATATGACGGGAACATTCCAGAATAAAAAAGAACAAGTATTTTACGAGAGGGAAATTAAATAACAAATCCAAAAACAAGAGAGGTAAATGTTTTTGAGTAGAATGCGAATGGGAAGAATCGTGCTGAAACAAAGACCGCACAGCAGCGTGAGACTTTTTCTCATGATGTACTGCCTACCGCCTAGCGCCTAGCTTCCTACCGCCTAACGCCTACCAGGTACTTCCTACCGCCTAAAGACCTAGCGCCTACTTCCTAACGCCTAAAATATCTACCGCCTAAACACCTACCGCCTACTTCCTAACGCCTAAAATATTTACCGCCTAAAATTTTTTATTGCATATTTAAACGTTTTACACTATTCTGTTAGTGGGGTACTTTGAGATTTTTGTAAAAATATCATGGAAATCATAATTTCTTCTTATAACAGTGGGTCACTATGAGATTATTGGGGTAAAGTGTAGCATGGATTATCCAAATTATGCCCCGTATTGGGATTTCGTTCGTTTTTAAGCGAGCGAAGCGAGCAGGTTAGGTTAGTTATACTAGGTACGTGGAAAGCGTGAAATATTCAGCTAGGAGAGCTAGCAAGGAGATCTACCTAGGATAACTAGCTAGAAGTCCTAGCTAGTCGAGCTAGGTAAAAGTCCTAGTTAGGAGAGCTAGCTAGAATTCCTAGCTAGAAGTCCTAGCTAGGAGAGCCAGCTATAAGTCCTAGCTAGGAGAGCTAGCTATAAGTCCTAGCTAGGAGAGCTAGCTATAAGTCCTAGCTAGGAGAGCTAGCTATAAGTCCTAGCTAGGAGAGCTAGCTATAAGTCCTAGCTAGGAGAGCTAGCTATAAGTCCTAGCTAGGAGAGAAAGTGAGACACAGTCTTAGACTTTGTCTGCCTTTCCCCCAGGTTTGAAAATTTTTGAGGACAATTAAATTTCTAATATCTCTAACTAAGAATACGAGCTAGCTCTCCTAGCTAGGACTTCTAGCTAGGATTTCTAGCTAGCTCTCCTAGCTAGGACTTCTAGCTAGGATTTCTAGCTAGCTCTCCTAGCTAGGACTTTTAGCTAGCTCTCCTAGCTAGGACTTTTAGCTGGCTCTCCTAGCTAGGACTTTTAGCTAGCTCTCCTAGCTAGGACTTCTAGCTAGTTATCCTAGGTAGATCTCCTTGCTAGCTCTCCTAGCTGAATATTTCACGTTTTCCACGTACCTAGTATAACTAACCTAACCTGCTCGCTTCGCTCGCTTAAAAACGAACGAAATCCCAATACGGGGCATAATTTGGATAATCCATGCTACACTTTACCCCAATAATCTCATAGTGACCCACTGTGATAAGAAGAAATTATGATTTCCATGATATTTTTACAAAAATCTCAAAGTGCCCCACTAATAGAATAGTGTAAAACGTTTAAAAAGGTAATAAAAAAAATTTTTAGGCGGTAAACATTTTAGGCGTTAGGAAGTAGGCGGTAGGTGTTTAGGCGTTAGGAAGTAGGCGGTAGGCGTTTAGGCGTTAGGAAGTAGGCGGTGGATATTTTAGGCGTTAGGAAGTAGGCGCTAGGTCTTTAGGCGGTAGAAAGTACCTGGTAGGCGATAGGCGATAGGAAGCTAGGCGCTAGGCGGTAGGTAGTACATCATCTTTTTCTCTGCATACGTGGAGCGGATTTTGAGCTCATGGCTCCCCATTGCATTGCATTCTAATACTTTCTCCAGATTTTGACTTTCGGTCAAGTTTGTCATCTCTTATCTTTGTTTTTTTAATTGCTCAGAATTTATCGTACATCTCATAACGAGGTAAATCTAGTTTTGTTGACTATATCTGACAGCTTAGAGAAGAGGTTTTGTTAGGATTTATTTTGTCTAAAATTGGAGAACATAAATAAATATAAACCACCAACTAAAATTTAGGTCATTTTGAATTACAGCTTGTTAGGACAATACGGTGGTGACCATGCCGAAGAAGAAAACTGGCCAGAGGAAAAAGGCAGATAAGCAGAAAGTCCGTCAGAAGAACATCCGTGAAGCACGAGAACACCGTTCCATCGTGGACCAAGCATGCAATGCACTTATGGAATGCGATAAGTGTAAGAGGACGCAGAAAAATCGGGCGTTTTGCTACTTCTGTCAATGTTTGCAACGTCTCCCTCAGTGCGGTAATAATTGTTTGGTTTTACTAAGTTGGATAAATTTACGTTAATTGCATAATACTACAATATGCCAGTTGTTGGTTGGTGTGATGAAATGGCAAGAAGTGGTTGATTATTATGATTCCGTATTTAATCTTTTTTGTTGTATATATGCAGCTCATTGTGGAAAGGTCAAGTGTATGATGAAGTCGGGAGATTGTGTAGTGAAACATGGAGGCGTTTATACGACTGGACTTGGCATGGTGGTACGTTCATGATCGTAGCTAGGTCTAAAATCTTTAAATTTTTGGAGATTTGTATTGTTAAAATTTATTTTTTTACAAATAATTTGCTTGTGTTATTAGGGAGCCATCTGTGACTTTTGTGAAGCGTGGGTGTGTCATGGTAGAAAATGTTTGCAATCACACGCCTGTACTTGTCCCCTCATCGACGCCGTGTGTGGGGAATGCCAACGTGGAGTTTGGGAACATGGTGGAAGAATTTTCAAGTGTTCTTTCTGTACCTCTTTTCTATGCGAGGATGACCAATTTGAGCACCAAGCGTCGTGCCAAGTACTGGATGCTGAGAGCTACAAGTGCCAATCTTGCAACAAACTTGGACAATATTCCTGTTTGAGGTGCAAGGTCTGCTTTTGTGAAGACCATGTTCGCAGGAAGGGATTCAAATACGATAAGAATAAAGGGATACCATGTCCAAAATGTAATTTTGAGACAAATATCACAAAGGACCTTAGTATGTCGAGTAAGTTTCTTCTATTTTTTCTGTATTTTGTAAAAAGCGATCAATATACTTTAATTCTATTAATTGTGGATTGTCTCTATTGCTTAGCCCGCTCTCATAAATACGGCCGACAAGGAAATAATGAGGATGAAGAGGGAGAAGAGGAAGGAGCTGGTGGATTCACCTTTGGAGGCGCTACTGGATTTAGTTATGGAGGAAGACGAGCGGCACAGGATGATGAGGATGATGATGACGCAGATGATGGCGATTATGACGAAGATGGTAACTAATAAGTTTTGCAGCTTTATGAGAATGTGTAAAATACTTATGAATAATATATTTATATTTTATAGATGATGAAGATGATGACGATGACGAAGATGAGGATGAATCGGGTAGTGAAGAAGATGAAGAAGAGAAGGCAGCTGATGGTGAAAAGGATAAGGGAGAAGTAGACAAGAAAGTGTAGCCGAATCGCAATTTTCTACATACAATATAACTCATATTTTAAAATTCTTGTGATACGAAAAATGGAGCCAATATCATTGTTGTTATAAACTCAGAATTTTATTTGTAATAAATACTTGAACAATTTGGAAAACTCGCAAGTTTTACATTAATCACTAACTATTATAACATAACATTGCCAAGTTCTAAATAATCAATTAGTGGAAAAAGATAAACGAATGGAATAGTAAGATACTGCTCTTACATTTCAATTAAATAAATATCATAAACGATTGACTGCCATTTTACCCAATTTATTTTTTCTTTTTATTGCCAGTTTTCTTCCAGCCTTTTCCAAAACTTTTCTTTCCATCGGGTGATTCCCTCTTTTTCTTCTTTTCTCCTGAATCTTCTTCCGCAAGTCGTTTCTCCCCACTTTTGATTGTGATGCTGCTACCTGCGGGCAGTTCCATAGTTTGCAGGGCATTTGACCACACTTCGTCTGTACCTTTGATGGCAAACTGGCTGAAGTCGTCGCCCTTTAGTTTCTCCAGCTCTACTTTCTGCTTTTTCTTGAGGTCCTTCTCCGCATTCTTAAACTCATCCTCTAGACTTTGAGATAAGGGTTCCATACTAGCCATAGCTTTTTCAACGTCGAAATTTAGGAATTGTTCATGAATATGATTTTCTGATACTCTATTCATAAACTCCAACACTTTTCGAATTGTGCGATTAAACAAGCCTAATAGTTGGGTTGATGGGAGATCAATTTCTGTTGATAGTTCATCCACCGTTTTATGTTGTAGGCCAAGTCCAACCAAAATAGCCTGCATAGTGGTTAAATCAATTAATTAGTTATAACCTACATTATAAAGTTGTTAGTATGATTACACATTTCTTAAAATAAGACATACCGACTGGACGGCAGATACTTTTATATTCCCCATTTTATTCAAAAAATAAAGCTTGGCCAATGTGGGTACCAAGTCCATAACGACGTGATAATCCGTCATATTTTTCGAGTACAACTCCAATCGTCTCGTATCAAATGGAGTGATATGAACTTGAAGTTCAGGTTGTGTAATTTCTAAAATAAAATATTCCGTACATTAAATTCTTGCCTGCAAAAATTGCATACTTTATATAACAACAAACCTTTAAATTTTCCAGGGATCCAGTTCTTGTTCAGCAAAATACTAAGTGCTAGTGCAGGTGTGAATGCTTTAAATTGATAGGAAAGTAGAGACATAAAGCGACGCCTAAAGTCCTTGAAGTAGTCTTGGAGCCATTCCTGACCATCGAAACTGACGGTTTCCGTATGAAGGAGTTGAAGCATAATGCAAGAATGCTCCCCCGTAAGTTCATTTGGTGTTTGTCTGTCAGAGTTAAATATTTTGAGCATTATTTTGTTAACGTACTACAATACAGCACAGAAATGCTGTAAATAATTTAAGTAGTTTGTATACCTCATATACACAGGTAGATATCCTGCCCTTTTCCAGAATTTCAAAAGCGGCAGTGTGACACCGTAAGAAACTCCAATGTAGTGCAGAACTTCTGGAGAACGTTCCGTCAATTTCAAGAGGAGTGGAGGTAAATTTTTACGAGGGACTGCGATTATCAAACATAATTGTGAATATATTTGTATGCAAGTTACATGCAAACCTGTAGTTAAAATTTCTAAGCAAATATTAAGCTTACCAATTCGTTCTGAAAGAATATTCAAATCTTCGTCCGGAACGCCTGTAATATCTTGTATAGGTTCTTCTACTGATTTCTCGCCGAGATCAATCATCTTTCCCGAGTAATATTCTTGTAGGAGCTTTATGGCTCTTGAACCATATCCCATCTGAGAAAATAGTTTCATGAGACGCACGATAATTAAAAATTTGTTAACAAGTAATATTAAGTTATATTACGCCTTGGTAATCAGGGTGAGTAGCAATTCGAACAATTCTTGCTCCACACAATGAAGGAAAATTACTGTCTTGGAACTGTTGAGCAATCGTCCAAGGGATTAAATCGCCTGATGCGCGTTTTCCTCTTTGCAGACCATCTGCAATGTTTGCTTTTGATAGCTCGCCTTCGAGACACACCTTTAAGTTTGATTAACCAAAAATATAATTGAGTGACGAATAATGTGGAAGGGTAAGAAGATGTTTCATATTTATTACGTACCTGAATAACACAAAGCACCTCCGGAAGAGACTTTTTGTCTGGATCAACAGGGCCCAGCAGACAGAACAAGTGGTGGGCTGGTGCATCTGATATCAGTTGCAAATCGTTAGGGGAGTTCTAAAATATATTTAGAGTTTAATTAATGTAAATAAAATATTAAATTTGTAACATGTTATAACATATCTTAATACCTTATAGTGTGAGGAAACATACAATGAGATGATTCGTTGTAGGAACATTTCGGACGCTTTGTGATAGCTAAACAGAGTGTCTCTATAAATGTAACACAAATTGCAGTTAGCAAAAACTAGTTATTAATTTAGATAATTAATTGTATACCACTCACCGGCTAATGTAATATAACTCGCACTCATTTGGCGGAGGACAACCCGATGTAATCGGTGGAGTCAATGTAGCATCGAGACATAAAAGACCAGTGAGCCATGCTTCAACACTGTCCCCTGCTTTGTATCGAATAGATTCTTCTAGCACAACCTGAAAAGAATATGAACATGTAGGTGATTAATCCGAGATAAGCAATTGAGGCGGTTGATTATTATTGAATGCACGATGACGTACTTCTCGCAAAGTTCGTCCGCTAACAGCAGTTCCTGTTCCAGTATTTGAGGCTTGGTCTGTCTCTGCTGGAGGAGCTTTACTACCACTGACTCTAAGCTGTTGAATCAACTTTAGAGAAAGAGATCTTCCCGTTCCTTCGTAACCACTGATTGTCGACGCCAAAAATACTAGATAGGGTCCGAACAATGATTTCACTAATGGTAGTGGTATTGCTGCTGCTTCGTCAATAACTAAAAGCTCTGCTTGGCCGAGTTTCATTGCCTCATTTGGTTGAATATACTTTGAACAAGAAAACATTTAAGGATATAACATTTCATATTCATATTGTCAATCTATGCAGTGTGTTGTATACCTGAATTGTTTGACGATGATCACGAAAAAAATTTACTCGGACAACTGCTTTATTAAATTCTGGACTTGTCGACTGAACCAGGTCAAAGTCAATATGCTCTTGATACTGTAATACCTCAAATCCTATTTATGGTAAAAAATCAATAAGACGATACTTTTAATGAAAACTAATTTACACATTCACGTCGACATACCTTTAAAAACAAATTCAAACAATGTTTTCAAATTTTCAGGACTCGGACTGGTCACGTAAATGTTTGAATATCCAAATGCAATTGCTGCAGCCATTGCCAATCCCAAAGCAGCCGATTTTCCTCTACCTCTTGCAGCAGTTAACGATACTGTTGCATCCAACCGTTTTTCTGAGATTGAATCAATGAACTTCAGCAAGGCTTGGGCCTGATTAGTTTTTAAAAAATGTATTCACTTTCAAATAACATTGCTTTTAATTTCTCACAATTAATTATTAAGTAAAATATTCGTGTTATTACCTGGTCCACAGTCTTACAGCAATTTACGAGAACCCCTACAGGTTGAGTATCCTGAAGACTTTCTTTTAAAGATTTTAGTTGCGGATCCTCTGTTGTATTAGTTTTTTCAACAGGCGAAATGTTGGCCGTGTTTGAAGAAATTGGTAAAATATTCAAACCATCGTCCATTACTATGCAGGAATCACAGGTTCCCAGAGATAGCATGAACCTATAGAACCATTGCATATGAATAAACCTTCATGATAATTCGCACATGTATATCATAACATATATCGTAAATTAATAGATATCCCCGTAGGTTTTAAGAAATAACTAAATATTTCCGACTTGCAAGGGCAAATTGCCATATGTGCCATAAGGATATGCATCATATCATATTTCAAGATTCAGTAAAAAAAAAAGATATTCGAACCTCTCATTAAATCTCCCAACTACATCCTGATGAGCTTCGGTCCGAAATCGAGAATGTACGTCCATCGTCATCGTGTACAATTGCTTCAAAGAGTTTACAGATCTCAACAGAATTATGATAATTCCACCTCCCTCAACCGTTTCAATCGTCCTTGCCAACAAATTTGGGGTGAGTGCTTCAAAATCTTGGAGAACGCACATTCCATACGTGTTTCCCAAAATTTTATGCGACTCTGCATAATAGCAGTAGCGAATATTTGTCGAAGCAATGAAGAGCTCGAAAGGATCGTCCTCGTTTACATCTACTTTGCCAGACTGGATCTTCTTTTGCAAGTGACGCATCCGCTTTTTCCGATGACTGGAAAAACATTAATTATTATATCCACAGCTAAACTATACGTATTTATGAAATATTTATATTAGTTGTTAATTAACTTATCTAATCATTCTATATCGTCGCTGAAGGTGCATTGCGTGCTATCTATAATATCTTGGCCGTTGTATGACGAAACGACCAAAATATGAGATAGCACACAATTCAACACCTTCAACGACGATGCGTTCATTAACCAACAGTTAATCAAATCTAGGCTTACCTACTAAATCCAAGCTCTTTTTTATAACACCACAAAATATTAGGACGGGCCTTTACTTCTGCTTTGGACAACATGTGATGTAATATTACGACCTGTTGATCAATATCAAAACATTAATACATCCTGTTAGTATTTAACTAATCAACTAATTCCTCCTTTATATTTATTACACTCGACATTTACCTGATCACGACCCTTGTCCCCGACAATGACGAACATTGACCGGTGACCGGTATGCACCCCATTTTCAATCAGGACACGAATCCTGTTGTCGACCTTTTTACGCACCATTTCGGCGTTTCAAGTTTCAAACTTAATAGTTGCACTATTTTGATAAAGCTAGCAAAATTTTATGAACTACGGAAAAACGAGTTGACCGACCAACCGTCCTCACCGGCTTTCCTGACGAGAGTGAGAGAGAAAAAGTCAGCACGACTCACACGTGCTGCAAAAGACACGCTACGAGGTATAGCCATGGATACGATATAGCGCATATCCTGCTCGCCTGCTCCCGTTGGCGGTGAGCATTCTTCCGCTAAACTCAAACCACAAGTCCAAATACAACAAGATAAACTGAATTTTTGAAAAAGTTCTCATTTGAATTTCTAAAATTTCAAACATTTTCTACGTTATTGTTTACGTAGGCATTAGCAAGTATCAAACGTTGGGAAGGTTGAGTGGTTATCATCAAACTTGTGAGCGGTGTTTGTAAAGCTGTTAATTTGTATAAATGTCTTCACGATGGTAAGCCGGTCGGATGAGTTTTAATTTGTAAATTAATATAGTTAAGTGTTGTATAGTTAAGATTTTATTGCTGTACGCTCTAGGTACCCCATTTACCAAAAGGGAAATCCACAACTAAGAGTATTTCTGCCCAACTTTTGGATGAAAATGGTGAAACCGAGGGTTGCAGGGCCACCGAATAAAGTCGAATTTATTGTCCACAACGGAATGAGCAGAATGGATGTTGTTAATTATTTAGAAAAAATCTATAATGTTCGTGCTGCCTCTATTCGCATTAGCATAAACTCTGGTATGTTAGTGTCGTTAAGCACGAGGGAAATTTCTTTTTGCATTTGTTGATTCGAAATAATTGTGTCAAATGTATAATCAACTTATTTTAGGTAAAACCAAACTTGCTCCGAGGAAACAGTACGTTATCAAGGAAGATGATTTCAAAGTAGCGTATGTAACATTGGTAAGTGTGAATATTGTTGGATTTTACCAATCTGGATGTTTCACACTGAAAAATTGACTAAAAATATTGTTCAAATAATAATAAAACTCATATCTTCCAAGAATTGTATTTATTTGTTTTTAAGATTGAAGGTCAAACATCTCTAAATTTTGAAACTTTGATTATATTGCAGCCAAAGGACACAAAGTTCGAGTTTCCAGACCTATTCCCTGCAGAGAAGAAGGACAAAGAGATAGAAGGGGAGCAAAGACAGTTGGAAGAAATGACGAAACAAAAACAACAGTTTGAACGTGGAAATCATGGCAGAATTAATGTTCCTGGATGGTTTGTATAATGTATATTTAAATATTTCCTAGTCAGTAAATAATCTGTTTTGTGTCTCATTGAATGGACATACCTAATGGTAATGTAGTAGTAATAATAATAAATAAATAAGACGTTTGTACTTTAAAATGCAAAAGATCAATTTGTATTTAATAACATCATTATTACATTTCAATGGAATTAGATGACATGGTGTGTAACCGACATAATCAGGTAGTTCAGTGGGTGATAACCACCAGCATAATAATATAGGATTACAAATTGAAATCAGACCAAACATAAACTATTTTAACCTGATATTAGTAACAGGCCCAGCGTAGAAAATAAATAAATGAGATAATGAGACAGCTCCTCGTTATAAAATTTACAAAAATTGATCACAAAAACCATTATCATTATCCTCCTATAAATAACAGCAAATTTTGAAGGAGCCTCCTTATGTGTAAAAAGTAAAAATAGATATATAACTAAAAATAGGTGCTGTTAGCAACATCACTAGATTTGAATTCAATTCAAAGATTGTCTTCAAACGTCCATAGACCCATCGAAGACGAAAATTTTCTTCGTTCCCAATGCGAGGATGAACGATTTTCCACCATAGGTCCACCCAATGTCGACAAGCTGCCGGAAATAATATAATAATAATATTTAACTTGATAGCCAGTTTATAAAGATGGTATAAACGAGGATATAAATGTGTACAGATGCATTTGACATTCAGTCAATACCTGTGCATTTGAAAAGGCCCACATGTAATGTGGAAAATGACTTCTCCATAAATGAATAGTTCTTTGATAGGTGAATCCGAGTTCCAAAGTCGCAAGAGCTTTATTGTCGCTGGGATTGAAGACCACTTTGGTGAATACTTTACACGGCTGTTCGTTGACTTTGAACATACTACAGCAGAGGATAGGAAAATTAATAAAAATTGTACAAATTCAAATTTCAAAGATAAAGCATTTGACTTTACTTTGTAGTGACTTGTGATGAATTAAAAGTAGTGACTCCACCAGCCCATCCTACAGCGCTGAAAAGGCTGTCAGAATACGCCCAGTCTCCAGAGTACAGAGGGCTTTGGCACATGTATTGAGTTGTGTAACAACGCTCTTTCATTACGTTAAAAAACTTGAGGTAACCATTTGATTCAACTACCATGAGTTTGAAGTTCTCACTGGGGTGCCAAGAGAGGTGAATCCCTATAAAGTAGAATTTAGCAATCAATTAATCTACATTTGAGCCTAGGTCTAGCCTTTAAAGAAATGCATATATACATGTAACTTACCTGGAGAGCTTAATCTGAATCGACACAGCTTCCTGCCTTCAAAGATATCCCAGACAACTACCTCCCGATTTTCTAACAGACACGCCAAATAATGATCATCCTTCAGCGCCAATTGCAGGCTGCAATGATCATTTACAACTCTCCGAACCTATATTTAGTAAAAATTGAAACAACAGAACCAAGTTTTATAATTTTACCACTTGTACTACATTATAAACAAAAGATAAGATACATTTGTACCACTTACAGATTCCCCATGCTTTTCAGCCAGATCCACTGCTCCAAACGTGATTTTTTCGGGAACGAAATATTCGTCCCGAAAATCAACAAGATAAACAGTTGATGAGGCAAATGAACAAAACGCGTAAATTAGGTATTGAGGCGGAAGGGTAAGCGAACATATTGAGCTCACGTTGAAACATCCCAATTCGGTCCCAACAAATTCGACTTCATGGACTTTAATCAACTCCATTTGTGGCTTGCTAGAGCTAGAAGTTTCCTTTTCATTTGTCGCATCCTAAGTAAATAACCGCCAGGAAAACATCATTTCCATATTAATTATCTTTCTATCGAATAAATCCATTGATAACAATAAGATTCACTTACAGTGATTTTTAAACGGTAGAAAACAATTGCATGGGGACCAGTAGTGGCGATGATAGTCTCATCTGTGAGTCCATTCGGTGCAGTGTACATACGTGTAAAATTCTGATTTTCGATTTCGAATGTTTTCATGGGCCCATACTGAGTCAAATTTTTTCTATTTCTGGGTTTCGATCCAGTGCTGACAGTACCCGGTCGATAGGGTTCAACCATGGATCCAGGAGCGTTAAGTTCCAAGTTTCGCATTGGCCTTTCTGTGTAGGGTCTTTTCGACCCGATATTTGCATTTCTAGCTGTGGATCCAACATTCTCAGGTTGACTGTCAGGAAGGAATCGGCCAATACTCTGGGCAGCCAGAGAGTTCCTATTTTGTCTTCTATCTCGGCTACTACCAACTCCTCCAAACGATGTACGACCTGTTTGGCGTACTACTTGGCCACTACTTTGGCCACTTTGGCCTTGAGGCTCGAGATTAATACTCTCCATCCCACTTTGCATTGCAATTTCGGCGTAGGTCTTAGATCCAAATGGCAACATTCTTCTGATCACACTTTAAAAATCTGTCGCAAACAAAAAAGTAATACATGACTTTATTAACCATACTTTCCAAAAATGTTTAAAAATTTATTTAAACTTTCCACATACCAAAACTTAAAACTCTGCTAAATAATTTCAACCTACTTGCCAATTTTCATTCCCCCTTGTTCAACTCTTCAACCGGCCTTTACCAGCCAGTAGAAAATGACATACTCTATTGCTCAAAAAGTAAAAATCTAGTCAAAACGTTCAAAATTGCTTCTCTTCCACCTCAGTGCAGTGGATCCAAAAAGTGAATAATTACTTCAACTTTAAAACTTCGAAATTCGGAAAAATGAGTGAATTTATAAAAAAAGACGACAGGCAGAGAGAAGAACGAGTACAAGTTGTACAACAAGCAAGCGAGGGAAGAGTGAGTCCAGTTCTCAGTTCTGCTGGAGATTCACAAGGTTGACTGAATCTGCTCAAGTCTTGGGGCAAACTGCTAAAATCGCTTCCTTCGAATCTGTCTTTAAGGAAAATGCACAAAAAAGTGAGTGAGCTACATAAATCTGCGTGGGTGTAGTGAGTGAGCGTAGATTTCTGCTGATCTTGGATGGATATGTTGATGATGATGAACTTTTAGAAAGGGAAATGGGCTGGGGCACTGCCAAGTTTGGTTCTTCTGTTCTTTTTCTTCTTGAGTTTATTTAGGTGGATGGTTTTTACTAGAGAAGAAAGGGTTGAGATATCTAGACGACACAATTGTTAAATTGTTAAATTAATTTGACCCAGGTGTTTTAAATTTCTTTGAAAATAAGTCGAATTGGTTGTGGGTTGAAGAGGAAGGGATTCAAGAAGTTAAATTTAAGGTTGTTGTCAGCAATTAAGGGGTTAGAAGGTGTATTGATAAAATGACTACCCCGAGATCAAAGTCTCCGCGACCTGTTACCCCTAAAGCGGGGGAGAAGGAGGAGTCATTTTGGGACAAGTTTGGAACATTGGGACGAAAGAAGAGGATCAAGGAAGGTGGGCAATCATTTTCAATTTTTTTAGGGAGCAGCTAAACATTTAAGGTTTCATGACTACTTATGACTTTTACGATAGAGTGTGAGTGGATGGATATGTGATGAAAGATTCGGGAACTAATGTAAAATTGTTATATGAATTTGCAGTTCAAATTGTTGAGGAAGAAGGAAAGCATGCAATTGATTCGCCTGGAAGTCCTTTGGCTTTTAGTATTTCCCCTGAGGAATACGATTTAGGTGAGAGCTTAGAATGAATTTTAATTTTAAAAGTTGCGATTAAATGCTTAGTACAGTTAACTAATAATTGTTTGTTAATTATGATTATCAGCTGAAGGGGAAGAACGATTGCTGATTGAACGAAAGAGTTACGATGATCCAAAACTGGGGCAATTAATTCAGCTCCTGATCGATTGGATAAATGACGAATTGGCGGATCATCGAATTATTGTTAAAGTCATTGACGATGATCTTTACGATGGTCAAGTTCTGCAGAAATTGCTTGGTTAGTTATTTTTTATCTACATATGTATTACGTCCCGAATTGTGTGCATGCAATACTGTAACAGAATATAACTGTTTACAGAAAAACTGACTGGACAGAAACTCGAAGTTCCAGAAGTGTCACAATCAGAGGAAGGACAACGCCATAAATTGCAAGTAGTTTTGGGAACTGCCAATCAAATCCTTGGTCTTCCACGATGGTCATCACAAAAATGGAGTGTCGAATCCATCCATTCCAAGAGTTTGGTTGCCATCTTGTACTTGTTGGTGCATCTTGCTAGACATTTTCGAGCTCCATTGAGGCTTCCAGAAAATGTAAATGTGGAAACGGTTGTAATCAAGGTATGAAATTACTTTTAGTTTAATGACGTTTCAAATTATTTCCTATTATGAATGACCTGATCTGTTTGTGCAGAAACAAAGTGGGAAACTGCAATATCGCCGAGTGACGGAAGAATTGACTTCCACTTACGATGAATTTGGAATGCGATGCGAGCGAGATGCTTTTGATGCTTTGCTTGACCATGCTCCAGATAAACTTCAAGTTGTGAAAAAGGTTTTATAGCTTATTTTAATGCTTTATTCATAATTGAAAAGTTTTAGATATACTTAAGTACGGATTACTAAATAATGTAGAGCTTGGTGACATTTGTTAACAAACATTTGAACAAAGTCAATCTGGAAGTTAACGATATCGAGTCTCAGTTTCATGATGGAGTGTATCTCGTACTTCTCATGGGCCTCTTGGAGGGTTACTTTATCCCCCTCTTCGAATTTCACTTGACACCCAAGGATTTTGATCAAAAGGTCTTCAACGTTGCCTATGCATTTGAATTAATGCAAGATGCAGGATTGTCTAAACCAAAAGCACGTCCTGAAGGTATGTAAATGTATACTTTCTACTTTAAATCGTGATTTGTTTTAAAATTGTATTGCTTCCTACTTTGTAGACATTGTCAACTTGGACCTCAAATCTACTCTTCGAGTTCTGTACAATTTATTCGCCAAGTATAAGAATATTGGATGAACACTGACCAGAACTCCTGCTGCCTCTTCTCCAGTGACTATATTAGTGAATTCGCCTCTAATGAAACCAATGTGTTCTTGCAAAAAACCGTTCATCAAATGGAACTCTGCCTTTGTAGTTCCTGGATCAGTGCCATTAATGAAATGTGAAATTAACTATCTAATCTGAAACTAAGTATTATTACGAAACTCATATTAACATTAGTTGTATACCGTAAATGCGAATCAATCAGTTGATATGTATTTAATGAACTTTCGTAATCTCGTATATATAGTATTACCTCCTTTATACAGCTAAATAGCTTTAAATGTAATTGAATCCCTCCACTTCTAGCAATTTAAAATATTGACAAACATATACCAATTATATCCATCTAACAGGTTTCAGTCAACAATCTCCAACTACTACGTACTGCTGCTACACAGACTTAACTTAAGTGCAATATTAAATGTGCAGCTATGTTAATGCAACTTAATAATAAAACCCAGTCATAATAACTGCAGTATTTTTTTCGACAAGGCTTGCATAGAATTATTTGGCATTTTTTCATGAGGCGTTGGATGTGATTTTGCTGGAGTCTCTGGAAACCAACTTCACTCGCCCTCGTCATAAAATTGCAACTTTTCTGCAGTGGTGGCAGTGGTGGTGTTTTTGGTTTTGACACAGCTCATCTCTTGCTCCTTCGTCATTCGGTATTTGAGAATTTGTCAACAGCAGTCACAAAATATTCGTCCTCTTGTTCGATAAGTTAATTTTGTTCCACAAGTCCAGAAGAGTGAGTCTAAGTAAGTACCTCCTTAAGGTGTTTTGTTTGTAAAAGTTTTAAACTTGTCTCGATTCCCAATCTTATCTTGTCTTATGATAACGAGCCGATTTTGTATACGATTTTTCAATTACTTTACCAATTGAATATAATAACTGGATCCAGATTGTCATTGTTTACTGTGCCACTTTCTTTTTCGTTTGTAATCACTAATAAGCGAACAATTATAATACAACACTCAAGCATATATGTATGAATTGTATGATACAATTAATACAATAATTGTCAATATTTTGTATACCGTTTTGTTGACGATTGTGTGGAAGGAAGCCTGATTTCTAAAACAATTTTTATTTGATTTAATTTAATTTCAGGTCAAGCAAGGCTAAAATGAATGTAAGTTATTTTTAATGATATCTTAAAATGACTTCTTTGTAGTGTTGAGATTACTTCTGATTTCGTATAGAAGCACGAATTCAATGTGGTCATGACCTGCGAGGGTTGTTCGGGAGCAATCACCAAGCTGCTCAACAAGCAAAAGGGTGAGAATTTAGTAATAATTTAATAGGTGGTCACTTATACAAGAAAACGGAAATAATTTTACATTTTGGGTTTTTGTTTCATCAGAGAAGGGCGAAATTGGTGATTTTGAGGTCAACCTTGCCGAGCAGCAGGTTTTTGTCAACTCTGTGAAAGACTCTGAGGAAATCACCGAGATGCTCAAAAAAAGTGGCAAGCAAGTCACGCACAAGAAAACCGAAAAGGCTGAAACTGAAGGCAATTAATCAACTAATCACCTAATCAATCAATCGCCCAATTATTTTATTGATATATTCTTCTATATTTGTTTTAAAATACGCAAGTATTTATATAATCTTTCCAAAAATGTCTAAATTGATCGAGCAGCTCTAACTGTTGTGAATTATTATTATGTTGTTACATATTCCTTTAAAAAAGATTGAATAAAATATTTTATATTAGCATTTGAAATTCAGCAATACGAATACACATTATTACTGTTTAATAGCAAGAGTATATTTGTTCAAAGGCTATTTGAAACCCAGTCCTAGTTCTTTCTTCGTCTGAATGAAAGTGAAATTTCATACTGGATGCACCCGGTTGGTATTTAGCTGTCCCTGAAAGTTGGAAATGATAACAACAAACTAATGTATTTATATACTATAAATGTGCATTTAATTCATTTAAATTCAGCCTTACAAATGAATCTGACACTTCCACACATGAAGCCGCAGCCTCCCACCAAATGGAAAAAGTCTGAACACGCTCCCCCCAAATCGGTATCAATTGATTCCTCAAGGTCAAATGTCAAAACGCGCATCCTGATCCCACAAACGAATGGCGATTCCCTGCAAACAGTTAATAATTTCAAGAAAGTCTGTAGTGATAGTACTATCATACTTACAAGATTTTAGCAAATGTCATGCATGCATCGGTATCACGAATTCATGGATTTTTTACGTGGTGAAAAACTCTGTTGTCGTAAAGAAACCTGTACTAAATTAGCATAATGCTACTGGGTTGGACTGGACTGGAGCACGATTAGTGAGTATGATGATATCATCGCCTTATTTTTTATCGGGAGAAAAATTGATTAATATTTATCGAAGATTGTATTGAGTATCTACTCTCGAATGTATATATAGTCAAAAACTTCCTCTGAACTCATCCATGAAAATCGATTAATTTCCAACATAAACTATACATACCACTCCTACATGTCTCATCAACTGGATTCTATTTCAAGTTCATCTTTTATACCTTAAAAACTCGTAAACGCAGTCCATGTTGTTGGGGTAATGTCTTGGAAAGAAGGGTGTGTTAATTGTCCCCTTACTTTCAGTAACTTGAGTGAAACACTGTGTCTCAAATGGTACAACGTCTGGAATAATGGAGATCGGAGGTATCTGAAAAATGCATAGGTTAACGACATCATATTGTTAAAGACGTCATGCTTCTTTGGTCAATGTCTCACCCAATACAGCCCGTGACGACAATCGGACAATAATTTGTACCGTATCTGGAATCCTTTCATCTGCGTGGAATTGTCAGATCGGAAGACGAATCGAAAGTATTCAGCCTCATTTTGAAAAGCGTATTCATCTACAAAGTTGCATGAAATTGTAAACAATTTGTAAAGTACTTCTTTGGAAAAACTAATACTGACAGGTTGTGGGTGAGATTTTTCCACAAAATCGATTGCCCCCTTCGGGAACACACGAGTCGACGGAGAGCCAATCCGTCTTACAAAAGCCATCCTTGTCCCAGTTTTCCAACTCGAAATCTTCAACTATTTACAAAAAAATGTCTTGTGAATGTATGAGATTTTAAGGTAGAAATGTGTTCAATGTTCGATGAGTACTGACATGTCACCCTCACCCCGCAGCTATCCTCATGCCGAAGAATGTCGTACTTGCAGATAACGGAGGCAGGGTATTTTTCAGGATATCCTGGGGAAGTTATGAGTCCTTCTGGTTGTGGAAATGACTTGTGGCATGATGGTGGAAAAATCCCTAAACATGTACGGGTAGGAATATCATAATGTTTTTAATGCTTGACACATTAATCTCGAGTATAATTACCATAATTACCATCAGAACCAATTACTACTGTCAGAATGAAGGGGGTTGATAGTAGCATCAACATATACTTTTGCAACATTTTAATTTTTGATACTTGAGGGTTTTCCAGAAAAGAATCCGGTGGTGAAAGTTATTATTGGGAATAATAATGATACCGTGGCACGCTTTTCTTAGTTCCGGTCTCCATTATTATCTCGCCCGTAAATACTTTCACTAAGCTGAAAAGAGATAATTCGGATAAATATAGTAATCATATGTATGCATTTAGTTAGATTATTAGGGAATCGAGTAACTTGGTTGAACCAGTATATATTGGTTCAATCGAGATACTTCAGTATCCTTAGATTAGTAGTTGTATAACAGTTGTAAATTTGTTGATTCAAGATTAGACTTGATTAAAATTAATCAATTTTGATTAACGCATCATGCATATCAAGAACTCTGTATATTTAATTTTTTTCTCATGGGAAAAATTATAAATCAATGTTTCTCTGCTGTAATAACTCCTTTTGTGAAAATTTACGTCGCAGGCAGAAGATCGTTATCAATGTCTCCATCACTATTTCAAATGCGCGTCTCATGACGCCATGCAAATTTATACGACAAAGGAGGACATATTTATCACTGGACTATAGAAAATTTCAAAATGAACTACTGTGTCGCCTGTCAGCACAAGCTCTGGGAGGTCTCACATCAGATTTAAATGGACATTAAGTTAACTCACTTTTCACGAACGAAATCCAATGTCAGTGTCAACAACCATGCCCATACATACAAGTTTAGTATTCTATTTTAGTTCTTTAAAGAAGACGCACATTAATTATTGTTCAACCAGAAGACGGTTGTTGTCCACAAGGTCGGAGGTGCACGCAAGAGTCACTCTTGCCACCACACTAATCAATTCAATCAATTTAGAACTGAGTTATTAAAATACTGCCGTTACTAGAAACGAAAAACAGATATGCACAAAAGTAGTATGTAATTGGACTGAATCTGAGAAACCCGTCGGAAGAAAATCTTGGAAGAAAATCTGGTTTTACACACTAACACACACTTCCGATGGTGACAATAATTCCTTACCTACTTATTGATCAAGTGATATCTGATCTGACTCTCCTGATCTCCTGATATTGATCAATTTTACCTTGATTGGCGTCTATCAGTATGCAAGTTGAGGTAATGTAATATATTGTTGTGAAACCGGAAGAGCTCAAGGTTGACGACTGTGTATGAGACCACAAGCTATATCGACGACTATAATATTATCTCTGCAGCGATGTCGTATTTTAATGACGCGTTAAATGAAACTTGACAATTTCTTTCGTATCAGAGTTTGATTGAGTTTGGAATAAATAAATTGGATTTGTCGTCCCAGGTCGAATCCAACCAAAAAGGTGATGCAGTTAACATGAAATTTCACGGGAGGATGATGATGTGATGTGAACAAAACAACAATTTCAGACCAACGCCAGAAGCTGACTGGTACTTTGGGTTGACGAGTTAAGTTAAACAACGCTCGTATTGAAATGGGATATCGATTCCTGTAAAGATATTATGTATTTGTTGGAATTGGTTGGATTTGGAGATGAGTTAAGATGAAAGGATTTCAGGTTCCGAAAAAGGTGGGTGAGGCACTTGAAATGAAAAATGTTGACATTGACTGGACTGACACTGAGTGGCCATTCTGACACAATTCTTATGCCGACTGAATTGGACGTGAATAAAGTAATGAAGCCTGATAATGATAATGGTAATGGCGATGATGTGATTGTCATATTATGTATCGTATCATGGATGGAAGTAAATTGAACAGCAATTACTACTTTTCTTACGTACAGCCCTTCTTAAGAGAACAAGAAGAAGACGGCACATTTCCACCAGCACAAAGGAGTAGAATACACATTAGTTTCCATTACATCAAAATAATGTGAAGCAATGATGTGAAAAGAGATCCAAATTCAATTCCATCATCCACAACACACTAAATATATATATTATATGATCAATTTTGTATGTATTATTCCTGCTGATTTTCGCCTGATTTGTAATCTCGTGTAACCGTCATGGGTATGGATTGATTGGAAGATTTAAAGCTGTTTGTGAAGTCGTAATACATATAAATCTATATTCATTTCATGCAGGTTTCCTCGAATTAATTCAATGCATAGAACAGAGGAGGCTGGTTTTAAACGAATTTAGAAAGGATAATGTTACGTACATATGTGCATTTTATGTACATTCGTATATTGTCGATACAGTGTAAGCAAGTATTATTGATTTTGGTTGAATGGAACTACAAAACAACTAGGCAGTGCAGCACAGGTGTGGTTAATTGGTAGGAAATCGAATGAAAGTGACGTAAGGTACATACTCACGATATTTCCATTCAAATTCAATGATGCACCACCAATCAGATTCATTTATATTCGTGATATATCCTGACACTGAAATAGGAACAGTGAAAGAAAGCAAGTTCTTCGGTCGGTTGTTGTCTTCTACCTGTAAAAGACATCAAATATGAGATCATGTCATTGTTGAAATGGCATTTCAACAATACGTATGACATGATCTCATCTGACCTAATAATACTAATAATGCTAAAAATGCATACGTCACTCTGGATAAAGATTCCTTATAATGTTACATCCTTCGTCATTTCCTTTCCAAGTTGTCCGGTTATTTTATTAGATAATACTAAATAAAAATGTGCTAAATTAAGTGCGTGAAAGAAAAAAAAATATTAAAGCAATACAAATAAATCTTAATCACCTTGTGCAGTAAAAGTCAACGATATATTTCCTCCCTTTGTAGATCAAGTCAAAATGCATGTAAATAGTTTTGACTAAGGTCAATTAAGTACATACACAAATAAAAAGTTTGTTATATATTCAGTAATTACGAGGAAAATTAATTCATGCATTAATTAGCTTGCATATTCATGTTAAATATTGCTCATTCATTCACCCTAAAGTTTTACTGCGTATAAGTCTCAAGAAAACTTAAGTTGATCCAACAAGGACGTTACAACAGTGTAACGTAGAAATTATTTATTGTTGTGAAACTTTGTACCAATTAAAACGATTAATGGCATGACATGCAAAATAATTTGCTGTTTCCCATTTGGCACCTGTAAATCTTTTGGCAAACTTGGATTTGGCATAAATGTCGCGTGCCTTCTTCGACTTCTCGGCGTCATCATGATCATCATCATTCCTTTCTCCGTTTGGTTTAATACAAATCAAAATAATTTTGCAATGCGATTGATTGCACAAAGGGAAACACCACCGCTCATGTTACCATTAACCCCTTGCAACAGAGTCAGCGACTGGCGCCGGATCTACCTAATTTATTTGGCAAATAATACGCAAACATAGTTTTTTTTGCAATTTTATGCAAGTTTTTGTACAAGTTTTATGACAGGATTGAGACAGGTGAAATTTTGCAATTTTGATGGAAATGTACATTTTATTTGGTCCAAATAAAAGGAAAGCAAATCATATAGTTTGCCAAATATAAATTAAAATTTGAGATTTATCCAGTAGTTTAACAAATGAAATCTACCGTGTTAACCTGTTTATGTACATATTGCATATTATTGTAGCCTTTTGTGACGTCATAAATTGAAATTTGTGTAAAATTGTGAAGCAGTTATGTTATTGGAGCCGTTGGGCAGTGTTGCTTTGCTGTAAAATTGAGACAAATTACCAACAATTTGTTGTAAGTTGTATGAAAAATAAAGGTTCGTTATCCGGTTTGTAGTCTTGAATTATAAAAGCACTTAATTGGCACTTGATCTGCACATGTAAATATGCACAAGGCAATACAAGTGATTGAGTGTCGATTATTGATAAACAGCATTGGAATTTGGGTTACTTTACTCTCCGGCATGCATCAAACCAATTATTAATTGTGGCGTGGTGCGTACGTACGTAGATAGGCCAATAACCCCTTCTTCTTATCCTTGTATGCAACACATTATGTCATATGCAAAGTATTTAAGTCCACCATATATCTAGAACTGATTATGAAATATGCTTCAAATAATGACACTGAAACCAAGCAATGAAAACAAAGTGATGCAAAGTCATACGACGACGACGGGGCGGTGCGATTATGAACAGATCACCAGAAACAGAGTGAGGTAGTAGTCAGAAGTGACAACTAATCCTAAATTACTAAATTGGATCAGTTATTGGTACATGTGTAATTTTCTTCAAACAGATAAATAAATTGGAATAGTTCGCTTCCGGTTGATTGATTATGATATTAAATTCTTTGAATTATACAACGTTGATAATGTGTCATGTACGTATTCATTCTCTCAAAAACTTAAGCACCACGCCAATTACACTCGACCTCTCTTTTAACCAATCTCGTTTGTCAGAACCGGCATGAACATGTATGTTTCGTGCACAGCTATATTTATATTGAGCCATCGCCTCAGCCTGTAAATAAATATAAGTCATGTTGCTCGTCAATTTATTGAAGATTATTGCATTACGTGCAACTGCCAAACACCAATAAAATAACATAACTGGAAAGGATAAACATACGTTTTCGGTCGATTTGTTTGTTAGTTTTTGTGATCGCATGCTGGCAATTGTTGTATTTATGTGAGTTATATATAGCGAGAAATTATAGTGGGATAAAAAGATCCATGACAAAAATACTCGTGTGTTCCATGTGCATGTATGCATATTATATACGATGGGAATGGGAGGAAAGAAGGACTTTTCTCGATTGAAGAGGTCGTACGGATTGAGTGGCATTCGCATTGATAATAAGTTTTTGCAAGTCTGGTCTTCTAACCCGGTCGTACAAAATTATACTTACATTTCAATTTTACCTTAATACCATGTTTTATGGCAGCATGAAATATGAGCAACAAAGCAATTGAACGTGTGAGAGGTATTATTTATTCGCCTTTTCCATGTCGCCATCGCACTTATTTTACCTTGTAGTTTTTGAGCAGCAATGTAATATCTGCTGTTATGGTTTATCCAGACTTTGCTTTGCTGAGGGTAATATTTTTTTAGCCTGATGATTCTGCTGCAGTTATTAACCGTCAAGTTTATCGAGATTTCAATTTATGTGTACTTGTACCTGGATAATTTCCAGTCAAGTAGCCACAAAAGTATGCAAATAGCTTTCTGTAACTTTATTGAAAAGGGATTCAATTAATGTGCCAAGTCAAGATATATGGCACCCAGTTCTTGTGGAGAATAAGTACGAATAACGAACAAGAAGTTGAAGGAAGGACATTTACTGCCACGTTAGATGGTTGGATTTAGTTGGATTTCCATATAAGGAGGAAAGTTGCATTGCAACAGACAGGAATAAAAATTGCAGTCCGACACGACCATCTATTTATTTATTAGGCTTGGATTGAATGTCAAGGAGAGACCATATCACAGCTTACTTAATACGTATTATGTAGCTATGCTGTCTGCGAGGTGGACAAGCATTACCGTTTCAGTTGTTAATTTGCCCCTTTATAGTCGCAGTCGTTTCCGTAAAGGCCGAAGTCAGTGCTGAAAAGGAAACGCTGATCGGTATCTCGTGTTGGTTGGGAAAGATGAGACGGACGCAGACTGATGAAGTGCAACAATTGTAACACTTGACAAGTTATGAAAGTAACAGGGCGACCTTGCGATGGACTTCTGCCCCTGATTTTCCAGTCGGAAGATGAGGAAGTTATTTATTTCCACTGATTAACTTTGTCCTTCCGGTTTCTTTGGCGTGGTTGATGACATGCCAAACATACAGGATGTCGCCCTATATAATAATAATACTCGTGTGAAAATTTTATGATGGACAAATGTGCTGAATGTTTTATGATGGTCAATCAACAACTAAATGATCTAAAATGTGGGCTTTCTTATTATTTCTCATTAAAATTCTTTCAATTGCTGGTTCAAGGGAGAAATAAGTACTACACTAAATTATATACATGGGTTTAGAAGGGGTTGGTCAACGAGGAGACTGAGATGAGTGCTCAAAATTGCTAAACATGGTGTACATATGCTTAGATTTTGAACATACTTAAACGATTCCTGAAACATGTAATTTAAAAATTGGGGATTTCAATACCTTCGGTTGTTATGTTTTTTTGCAAAATGTTAGGAAACAGGTTTAAACCTCAAGGGTTCGAATTTTAAACCAGTTGGTGTAAGAAAACAGATAAAAATGTCAGATGAGGGATGATCGAAGTTCCTTGAATTTGGTAAATGGGAAAAATCCCGGAATCGCAAACCAGGTACCCACTCCCATTTACTTGTGACATTGCTAACTCCAAAAACTTCGATAATATTACAATCTGGCAGTAACACTTTTTGCAGCTGCAGTTTACATAATTTAGGCAAAATCAATCATTAAACTGCTGCACCTATGTCCTGCTCTCCGTGGCTGTCGTAAAATCAGAGCACTTAATAAATTTTCAATTCCATACGCATATCCACCTTTCATAATATTTATGGTAATACCAGCATCCCCTCAGACAATATTAGCGCAGCGAGTATATGTAGAATGCAGTATTAGTTACATACATCAAATCAACTACTAAATATAACCCTTTCACACAACCAACAAATAATTTTCTGCTTCTCTCTTCCTCCTGCAACGGGTATTATATTATCATTTCATGTTTTCCAAAACAAAGATGCATCATGCAAACACGGGTAGCGGTATTTGAATTTGAAAAGAATAAACCTGTTGCCTACATGTTTTATGTACGCGAATGCTTTTTACACATCATTGTCATTCCAAAAATTATTGTACGTTTGCATGTAATTTATTAGTGGTCGAATGCAACGAATCCTTTAAAAATCTAAAGTGAACTGAAATCAAATGCATGCAGTTAACATTCAATTCGACCATGCTGCAGTTAAAGAGTGCATAAATGTTGACTGCTGCTTGGCAGTAGGTAGTAGACTAGCATTTCGTTGGGCTGACTACTTTTTCAACAATGATGATCACTCTCAGTCGCTGTCGAACTTCCACAGGTTCAACAACTTAACTAACTTTTCCATTGTTGACAACGACGACCGTATTCCACGTGAAATTTAGCTCAACATTGCTCCTGTGAAAGGAAGTAAACCTCAATCAGTTGGGTGAAAGGGCTCAGTTTTTTTAGTATTACGCAAAATGTGCCTATTTTAATTGAATGTTGAGACTGACGAATTACGGTGGTGCAATAAGTAACATTAATGACGAAGAATAATTGAGAAACGAATGAAAGTGAGACTGATCTGTAACAATATTAAGTGAAATACATATTCGATTTTCAGTGAATCAGACTTTTATGAAATTGCTTATTAGTCTAGATAATTTTTGATTACAATGTTTATTCATGCGATTTCTGTGTTTGTTGTACAAAGTGTTTAACAGTGTGAAAATTGAGACAAAGTTTAAAGGTAAGCGAGACGACATTTGTTATTCTCACAATATCAATCTGTCCCATTTTGTGTAAAAATGACCCTTTTGGTCATTAGTTTTTTTCTCATTGTAAATATAATTCAGAATGAATGTGTAATTTCAAACTCTTCCAAAGCAAGTAGCTAACATGCAAAATCGTAGGAAATTCGTCGCGCATAAAAACAACAAAAAATTACCAGTACACTACACAAACCGACCTCAATTGCAGTCTAATTATAGGAAAGGAACAAAATAATGGTGTGTATTATTGCCTCATAGAAATCTAGAGGTTCGTTTGCAAATTAATGAAACGATGTGCAAGTTAATAGATCGTAAGTTTAGTTTCTACTATTGGAATATCATAAGTTACATGTGTCAATCACTGTGTCCAGTCAACTGTGCTTCCTTTTCCATATTTTAGGTACATTTCCACTGAAAAATGGCTTGATTTTACCTTTACACTTTGTGCGAATGTATATTTGTAAAACCTAAATAAATCAGTGCAACGAGTACATGCATGCATATATTTAGTTTACAGACACCGTGTGCAATTGTATGTACACATCCAGTTGAGAAACTCCAGCAAGAAAAACCAATTCCAATCATTTTAAATGAACCACAGAGTGAAACGAATCTTCCATTCATTTGCAGTTGTCATTTAAATTTGCAAAGCCTGATCGTTGACATGTGACGTTAATGGTTTTAGTATTTGAAGTAACATGTGAATTGGACATTTATAGACCTCAATTTCAACGATTTTCATTGTGGTTTCGCCTACGTAGGTATCAAACCAAATTGAAAATGCAGCGTGTAACAAATTAAAACCTGTTGAAGTTTTGCCTGCGACTTTTCTTTGTGCCAGGCTTCGAGCGTTTATTCATTCCAGGATAATAAATGTACATACTGATTATTTTATGGGCACGTGATTCCAACATTATATATTTATTTACACCTAATGGTGGGATCTTTGCCAGCTATAATAATTATTATTATAAACCTCGACTCCATTAACTTTACAGTAGAAGGAAACTGGATTTATTTTTTAATTGCAAACTCTTGACATTATAATTCCCCGTGTGCATATTTTTGCATATGCATACATGCAATACAGTCACAGCATCGTGACTTGCATCACAGCCTTATGCACATATTTATACACTTTGGAATTAGGATGTATATATAGTTTTCTGATATTATCCTATCAACATTGCTGGCAATATTAAGAACCATCTTGAACCAGCAGTACCATTGTCGTTCCACAAACTAAACCGCAGTCACAACCTGATTCCAACAATTTTTAATCAGCAGTAATGTCAGCAAGTGAGTTAGCGAATGGGTAATTGCTTATTGGGAATAAGATGCTGATTGAATAATAAACATGTACACAAATGAAGTGGCAATAACAATATCTGCATGTGCGAACATCTTTATTATCATTAATTATTTACAAAGTTAATTTCATGCGGGACAGGTCGAGATATTTTTGTCTCTCGACGATACGACTGCGAGATATGCCTACGAGTAGGCATTGTTATTCGCGTATATTAATAAAACAATTAAAACAATCTATAATTGTTTCTCTAAAATTCATCCGATTTGCATCGCTTACTCATTCATTTCATTAGCGGAGAACGTAATTGGTATGCATGAGGATACATATACCGTAGTCGTCGTAGTAGTGAATCAGTCAGTAGTAAGTATTAAAGGAAAGGGTCAAGAAATCCGGCTTGGAGGTGAGAATGAGAGTTCAAAAATAAATGGGACAATTGCTTGCATAAAGTAAATAAATAATAACCCCACGTCTCGAAGAATGTCATCCATCAATATAACTACGACTACGCTCAGGAGACAGTCACTGTCTGAAGATGTGATCACATACAGAGTGGTGTAACGCAGGTTAGGTTACAAAAAATGAGCAATGAGAAGAAAAATCGGAAAGCTAATTTTTGTGACGACTTTGAGAGGACCTATTATACCAAGTAGTAAACTGACTCATGTATGTAACCCTGCATAACTAATCATGCTAAAAATTTCCAATTTGTCACCTCGAAAACCTCTTCGGTCTGTTTTAATGGCTAGTCAATTGATTTTTATGATGCAAACTAAAAATAGAAACGCCACCACAGTTTTCCAGGAAGAACCACATTGTACAACAATTATTTGTCACCTTTGCTTGTTTGTGATCCGATTTTCTATCGGTACCAAATTACACAATAATACAAACAAGGCAAGACAAACAACAATGGGACATATATTGCTATTATAAAATTACCGCTTTTTCTTCCGTCAACTATCCAATATAAATACGTACAAGTAGTCGTTGATGCTGCTGGGCTGATGAATAATAATGTGAGCATTCTTAAGCCCATGTCTTCTGCCACATATGCACTTCTTACGTTTCTGGCTGATTTTAAAAATACAGTCTTCCCATAATAATAATTTTATTTTTATCCGAAGTTCACTCTCATTAAACCAACTCTGTGCGTGTTTCACGGTCTCATTTGCAAATTTAATTCAAAACGAAGCTTCCTTTAACTTCAATAAAAATTAATTAATTTTTAATAAGTACTTTTTCTCGTCGGCGTCTCTTTACTTGGTTCAAGGTAAACTGGGGAAAATGATTTTATTATGAGTAAACTCGTGCATACTTTATACGCAAACATGCATATGCACATGCACAGACGCCACCAAAATGTCCATATTGACTGGTTGATACGGTTGTTCGTTTTACAGTGATCTTGTATCCCAAAATAGTTCCTTAACTTTGACACTCTTAGGATAAACAAAGGATTTGCGTAACTTTATGTTGGGGTTATAGAAGATTAAGACAAAACTTGAAGGTAAGAAAATTATGGGCGATTGTTAGAAGACAAACCAGACTACTTTATTGTACGAGACATGCCAATGACATCAATTATTAGTCACATCTGCACGTACGCAGTACGTAATTCACATGATTTCAAATTACGTATATCATTTTACGGGTATTTTAAAGCCCACTTGCAAACGAATGCATATGTACCAGCGTTTCATTAAACACTAATTCATCAACTCTTTATTTCAGGTTGGCTTGCTGCTTGATTCAGATGTGACGTGAAAGTGTCAAAACTTTAGCAAATGAGCGACCTATCATCACACAGTGCCAGAAGAGATGAAGGGAATTAGTAAACGAGATATTTCCGTGTCTGATGAACTTGGCTAAGTCCTTTTCAGTCTCACATATTTAAAAAAAACGCAATATACATAAAAATCAGGTAGTTTATTGTTCTAGTGATCAAGTTGTGCCTTACGATACTCAATATCAAAGGCATCGATCTGATAGATTTTCATAATTAGTAGAAGCATTAGTACAAGAGTCAAGAAAAAGTGTCATAATAAATACGATTTTTAGAGTGAAATTTTGAAAAATTTGATAAAATGACGGTGTCATACACGGGAGATGTGGCGAATGGGAGCAGCTTTGGTTGTTTCTGGAAAATCCTGGGGAGGTAAGTGTCACATAATATATTTTTACATGAGTCTTACCTGCCTTCTATTTTGAATTGCTTAAAACTTATGGCCCATATTTTACAATAATTTGATTAGCTACTTAATTGCAAAACAAGTTTCTTCCTATTTTTTGAAACCATACTCCATTGTTATTTAGTTATTGTTGATTTCTCCATTGTAAATTGTGTAATTATTTCTGGTATCTGGACCATGAATTCAATGTAACTCAACTTTCGCAGTGTTTATAAGTAGGTTAATCGTTTATCAAAGAATATATGTAGCAACATACATTGATACATGCACTTAAAATAATCTGTACTGTATTAAAACTCGACAAAATCAATACTCATGGAGATAGTTTTAAATGTTCAGACGAATCGAGCATTTTTTTATGATGATCGAGAGTTAAAGTTTTTACCATCGGAAGCCAGGATGTAGCCGTGTCTTTAAACTAATTTCCAATAAATATCCAGATGCTAAAAATCAGAATGCACACTGCCCAAGGAACTCTACGTAGAAAATAATGAGATGCTTGTGTATTCAAAAGCTTTATCCAATAATGGTTTGAGAATTGCGCGAGACACTGATTATTTATTATGCACGATTTACTAATTCAAATTATGCCACAAGCATAATATTCAAGTCAATGACCATAAAGGAAGAATACAGTAGTCGCATCATTAGACTATGTGTACTCTGATAACTGACTAGATTTTCATCACGCAATCGGTATTTTGCAAAAGGACAGTAACGTTGGCAAGAAATCGCTTAAAATTTCATCTGATTTTTATTATTATTGAGGTGAACATTTTCGTTTCATTCAAGTATCAATGGCATATCAACGGCTTGTTCAGATAATGAAGGAATCTCACTGAACAAGAAAACTAGTTCATCTTCCTTCCTTCTCCCAGAGAGAATTATTAGTCGTTCGATTCTTGAAGCAATTAATACTTGATAGTAAATTAAATTCCTCAAATTTTTAAAACATACACAACAAAAGTACTTACTAACCTCTGTCAGAATCACGAATTTATATCTAAGCCAAAAAATTTCTTGTAAAAATGTCATTGTTGATAAATTATTATGCAATTGGTATCGAATAGCGGACCAACTAATCGAGAGATAGTTGTTGTTCGGGTCATTCTCTCAACAGGATAACGTAACACTATTGACCTGGATCAAGCATACATATTCTTGCATATTCACATATATTGTACAATTTAAAAGTGCATTTAAATATTGCTCATGCTACTGACTGCGACCAAAAAGCAGAGTTCGATTTAGACTTGGACCTTATCACATCACATAACACAGCAGCCTGACACCGCTTTAATAGAAATCGAGTGGAAGAACATATAATTGAAGGAGTTTGTATGTCCGTCGTCCATTGTCGTGTCTCGTTTTGCTTTGTGAAAGTTTGCACACACACACACACAAAGCATTAATTCCGTCTAAATCTCGTATCCCATTTATTGTTGTGATGTGCGAATGTCGTGTCGTCTCTCGTCTCAGATTGCATGCATGCAACTATTGATAAACTGCACTGTATTCTATGTGATAAATCAATCCGGCTGCATACGTTTCTACCTTGACACTCACCGCAGTTTGCATTTGTATATCTGTGCAAGAAGTTAGTAGTATCATTGCATTGCATCAGATTGATGTTTGATGACAAGGATACATAGTATTTTACTTATACAAGGGAAACCCTTTCTCGATCTTTTACATTTTTGCAGACATCCGGAATCATGAGGTTTAAAATTGTAATGGATGAGTTTTTCATTCTGTGTAAAAATTCTAGGTCAGGGTCAGATCACGATTAGTAGATATTTAGTCGGCTATGTTGCATTTCTACCCTTTGTAAATAACTAAGAGGTGCAAATGGATATAGCAGTTCCTCAATCACATTATTAGTCTGCAGTGGTCATCTCTTGATCATTTGATACAAAGGAATGTTACAATTACGACAGGTTAAGAAATAAAAGGGCTCCTATACTATATACTATGCATGATTTGTTGGTTGATTGTAGGTACGGCACGCAGTGGTTTGACAAGCTTTTAAGAAATTTGTTTTCAGTATTCAATAAATATCGAGTTGAATGTCAAGGTCACAAGTTACCAAGAGGGGTACGTACGTAGTGCAAGGAGATGAATGTACATATATGCACGTACTCGTCTGTGTGCAAGTCTTAGAAAATTTTAGCTTTAAATGTCGCAGGTGTTTTTGCGATTTTTTGTTCTCACGTTCCCTAATAATTAAGCGTTTTATACTTTCAGATGGCGAGGATCAGTGTACAAATTGATATGGCGAGAATTGATTGCCTACCTCTTTCTGTACTTCACAATAAATGCAATGTACAGATTGGGAATGACGGAGGATCAGCGAAGGTATGCGTTGCGTTTTATTTTTCAGACTGCATTATTTTATGATGGCCGTGTGGTCTATTTTTAAATGGGTTATTAACTCCTTCCAGAATATTCGAGAGGGTGAAAGTGTACTGTAGCAAGCAGATTGAGAGCATTCCAATGTCCTTTGTCCTCGGATTTTACGTGACCCTCATTGTGAAGCGGTGGTGGGATCAGTATTGGATTCTTCCCATGCCGGACTCACTTGCACTTTACATCAGTGCCTCAATCCATGGTCAGGTGAGGAGAAGGGTTGTTATGAATGGAAAAGTACTTTTGGAGTCGCTTTGAGTGATAAATTCCGTTTGGAATGCATTGATATTTGGCACTCTCAGTTTCGTTTTTGAAGTGGAAAAGTAAAGGTGGAAAATCCACAAGAGTTTTAGAACCGATGAAGTTTGTAATGCCAAATTGAATGTGAAATACGAGTTTTAAGATGATTAGTAATGAATCACAAAAATACCGAGCCTAAACTTTCATCTAAACCGTCTTGGGCAATTAAGTTCCAGCACTGTAACATTTGTGTACGATATTCTTAAATAAGTATGTCTCAAATTGCACAACAATTACATTCAAGAGCCGAATAAGCTTTTCTGTAATAAAAATACATAGATCCAACAAAACATCATTACTTCAAAGTTATCTCATAAATCTGTAATTAACTTCAAATTATTTGCTCAGTCGCTGCAAGTATACTTCAGTCATCAATCAACGAGTGATCATTAAAACGCAAAATTAAAGCAGAACAATAACAATCAAACTTGCCAATACTCCTCGGGTACTAAATAATTAGCCTCTCGAGCCGTCCTGATGAATGATGCAGCAAACTAGGAATATTTTCAGTTTTGTTATGATTTGGAAATAATTTTGCAAAAAGCGTGGCTTCTCGGTGTTTGCAATTATTATTTTACAAAATGAACGAATCATCCGTGTATATAGCATCTCATTTGTAGCCAATTTATTTAGTTAGGATTAGATGGTCCATCGCCATCGACGTCACGAGCGAGTTATGCAATGAGCCGAATTTGATGAGACTGATTTTTTGGACTGGAACCATGACATGGTTCTAAAGGTTTTATATAAGCACATCATCAGCCAGGGAGTCAATATTAGATAAACTTGACAAGGAGACAATTCACGTTTTACAGCTTTTTGTTTTGATGCATTAAATGCAGACATAAAACCCACACTGGTCCAGCAAGTCTGTAACAGGGGTGTTGTGCGGCATAATTTTTTGGTACATGGCATGAGTTTGATGGTTGCATTATTATTGAGAGTTGCAATACTCATTAATTATTTATTATTACCTTTGTGCCGTTGGTGTGCTCTTCCTTTGCCACTTGGTGAACTATCCGAAGCATCATTGCTCACTTTATGAATCGCATGGAGGGCAGAATTCCACAACCATCATCAAAAAAACAGAAACGTGCATGTTTCACTCCCTGAAATTGGCAATTTCAGGAAAAGTGATAAAACTTGTAAAATTTGCAAGAGGCGTGTTGCTCATCATGGTTCATTTCAAGTTACACGTCATAATACCTGACAAACCCGTACCATTCCATATCACACACGAAAACGTGTGTCTGTACATACGAATTATGATACGTAGTACGTATTTCTACGAATTCATGTCTGGACAAGGCGTATAAAATTCTGAATGTCCACCTTACTTCGTAATTTCCTTGCTATTCATGAATAAAGAACCAGTTGATTTCTTGAATTATGACACATCTCTGAAATGTTGACATTCATTCCAGACGGTGATAAGGTGGTTTATTGGTTGGAGAGGTGATCGCTTGGTATTTAATAATGACATAGTAGCCAAACTAGTTTCGTGTAGTGAATGAAACTCGTATTAATTTTTAGCACGTTATTGTTATTGACTTTTTATTCATGCCAACAGAGTTTAATCGAAGGATTGGTCATGATTTCGCAATTATTGAACTATGTTTCCATGTTGTTGTTTGCTTTTTGAACAATAATATCAAACTATTTTGTAGGTATTTCGTATAATATTTGGTGTTGTGGCGTTACCAGTTTTACTCTTGGGTTATACGGCTGCAACGTGTATGATTCTTTGAACTTCAGCGAAATTTACTGACGCCAACTTTGTCGTAAAGCATAGAAATTTAACTTGCTGGTAGATTTGCAAGGAAATATCAGTAAGTATTTACAATCAATGGTTGTATGTATGTTTCTTGGTGTATGTGCTTAAATCAAAGCAAATCATAAAGCACCATTGCATTATAGGTTAATCATTGTTTTGCTTTTGATTCATCGTTGTCCTTAGATATTTGCTGTCGAAACGTTTTTTGTTGCATGGGTAGGCAGAATATTTCTTCTTTTGGAGAAATTAATTACTCATTTGTTTTAAAAGTTACAGAATTTACTGTTGAATACCAGCAGACAAGTAGATGCATGCATAATACATATGCCAATATGTGATTGTTCAGGTATTTGGTAACCTGTTGCCCAAAAACCTATCATATAAATTCCAACAATTTATTGTGAACTGCTTGAAAGAAATTTAGTATGAAAGGTTTTTGTTACACAAGTCATAAGTGTAAGCGTCTGGTCATTGCGCCCGTAAAAGGGTAGCTGCAATTTCTACTGCAACAAGGAATTCTCACGATTGTTGATTGTTAAAGAAATGCAATTCACACATCTTCGTATTGGTTTGGAATGGTAGTTTTCAAGGTCATATACTTCTCCGTTGAAAATGCACGAGCTTTTAAAACGGGATTTTTATAATTCCGTGTGTACTTTAAAAATGCTGCCTGGCTTTGCTTTGCAGCGTTTATGGTTTTAATACTTTTACACAATTATTGAAGAAACCGTCGGAAATATTTACTAATATTTCTCATTGTCAGCAAGATTTTATAAGATTCGTCACTCGGTCCACCTTAATGTAATTAGTCAAACAACAACATTCACTGGTGACGATATGGCGATACAAGTCATCAAATGAGGATAAACATGCATTAATTCGTGGTATTGTTGTCGTCATTCGTCGCTCCTGTTATGAGAAGTGGTTTCGTGATGATGTTTTTAGAATTTATGTATACAGTGTCAAAAGCAGTCAAGCCCATGTTAAACTGGTTAACAAATTGAGAGATGTTTACATGCTTTTGAGTACAACAATTCTGCTGGAATCCTTCAAATCGATTTAATTTGCAAACTTGAACCAATTTGAACAAGAATTGAAGAAAATGTGGCCTCTGGAGGAACAAACAGCTTGCAAACTATTGAAAACAACAGACTTTTATTTAATATGATTTAATCGCACATATCGATATACAATATTATTGCAACTGAATTTATTACAGGCCACAAGCGACGAGGATGTCTGTCTACCTCGTCAAGTCGATAATGAACCAACTAAATTAGTCGATTTATAGGCCAAGTATACAGAGTTAATTAATATTCCCTGTTGTAATTGGCAATTAAGTGGCTGTCGTAAAAACTGAAAAGTTTGCAAGAGAGGTGTGAATGTGATGTGATTTCATACGACTAAACGGACAAGAGCATAAGGTAACATTAAGTGCTGAATTTGCACATTGATCTACTTTCCACTTTTCAAACTCTAATCAAAATCAAACCAAGTCCAAACTTAATTGATCTATTTCCAAGCAATCTGCATATAAATATCTCTCAAGCTCTACCATTTAGTTGTACTACGAGTTTGTTTTCCTGTTCTCTGCACTCATCGTGGTGACAGTTCAAGAAAAAGCCACGCCACAACCAATCTGAAATTGTGGGAGCCAAGAATCACTCAATAGATGTGTGCCTATCCATCTGAGAGATTGAATAACAAGCCCCAGTTATAGAATGTGTCATCATTAAATGCAATAATTAGGCAACAAATTTAGGTATAAACGGAGTTAAACCAGGTCTGGAACAACATTTGCAATGCCTGGTTGAGTAGGCAGGGAGTAATAAAATCTCAGGAAAGATTTCAGTAGCAGTTTACAAGTTACTACCCTTACGGCATGTAAGCTGGCTAATAATAAAGTCACGATTTTTAAATGAAAGTGGAACAAAAAATGCTGGAAAGTGCTTATCACAGTGGACAGTGCCAGGCAAATTTTTGCTGGTTGATTGATTACAGGATACACCCATGATAATTGCATGCATTGTTTGGTCAATCATTTCTTCGCGATTCTGTATCTATCTTGGATTATCGATGATGTGGTACTACATATATTTTAAAGAATACAAGACTTAATTTTTTCTAAGCTATCAGAATGTAAATCCCCATCACTAACAAGTCCATCTCATCCAAGTTTACGCATCTTTTTAGTAGAAAAAGATGAGTAAATGCAAGTTGCATGTAATGAAACCTCAGAAGAAAAGTTCAACCTCATTGTTGCCAATTGTTGTTACACAACGAATCGCTCAACCAGAACATTTGCGAACTGCGGAGATATGTGATCACCAACCAATTCACAGAAGTGCATTGTCCATCAGGTCCGCTATTGAGGTTTTGAGATTAGGATTTTCTTCAAGCATTTCCAGAGGAATATAATATAATTTCATCCAGAAGTTTGCAATGCCGCATGACGAGGCAGAACTGTTTCAACACTATTTTTCCAAGGAGGAAGATCAATGTCATCAATCATTGATGAAATGACAACTTTTGATTATTATGTACTATTCCACTCTACTCGTGGTATGATTCACCTCCATTCAATAAATTAATCAATACTTAATTATTATGAATTGGGAATTTTTGTAAGGATGCAAAAAATAGGCGATTGTGGGAACGATAATTATGGTATCATCAAAGTTCATATTATCATATTTGGCAAAAGTATCCTGTAAAATGAGCTTATTGTGGTTCTCATTTTTATTTTTATTTATTTGAATGGCTGCGGTATTTGTAAATACTTTTTTTTTCATTCGACGATTTCCCATCATCGACATAATTAAGCCTCGTTCAGTAGTGAATTGATTCCCTTTCTGCGCCTTGTTAGTCAGTGACCAAAATTCCGTGAAGAGTGATGTCATGGTGGAATTGAGGCTTAGCCATGCATCGCATTTTTTGTTTGATACCATTGTCTTGTGTTTTGACTGGAACATCACCAAGTTAAAAAATGTGGGAATATGTTGAGAGCCACATTCAAGAAAATGCAAGCTAATTAATTACGTACAATAAAACGAAAACTAGTAAATGTTGCTGTAGACGCATACGTATGTAAAAATTATTGGTTATGCCGTCACTTTTATTGAACTTCAGTGTAGGAAGCATTTTGACGAGGAAAAAGAGGTGTAAGGTATGTGTATCGCTAATTCTGATCTGATCCGGCGATGACAAATTAAACAACAAGATTGTAGCGTACTATTCACATCATTCCATTCGACAATACATAAATTATGTGCATAAGGTGCAATTTTGTACCAAGCTGGCAGCAATAAAGGAGCCGGCGTCAACATTTTCCACTAATATTGCTTATTTATAGTAAATTAAAGTAGAATTGGAAAATGACGCATATATTTAAATTATGTTCTTGCCTGCATTCAAAGGTCTGACAACACTTTACTCCTCCATGCACACAAGTTGCTGATAATTAATGTTCTTGTAGCAGGAACAAACATGCACTGCCTACGACACACACGACCAACCAATGTCATTTTGCTGCACCACAGTGCACATACATACAAAAAAAAAGAAAATTGTGTTTGTGATGAGGTGACTTGGTAAACACTTGTACACAACTTATCTGATTACCTTTAAAGAAATAAAAGCTTGCACTTTTAAGTTTTGCACCATTGCAATTAAGCGAGGTGTATAAATTTACAAAATGCATTAGCAATTGCAAATGCTACCATAACAAGAAGTATTGTACAAACTTTGTATGAATGTATTTGTGAGAGGTTGCATGCACACGAGGTTGCTGCATTTTGAAGGTGCTGACCAATCGAGTAAGTCATATTGTCAATCTTAACTTGGAAATTGACAACGCCGTGACCAATTTTTCGGATAAATCTTTGAGACTCAAGGTTGTTCAAGCTGAAGACTGTTAACCGTTTACTAAATAATTTGGGAAGCAAATTCAACTTTACATATGTGTATCCGGAAATGAGTAATGGATAGGTTAAATGTTGAGCAAATATGCAAGAAGCAAGTTGGGAAAATCATTATAAATGTGCATACATAATTCAGCAGGTGATGCCAACAAGTGCATGGATGACTCATTACTTCTTTTACAATAGTTTTACAGTAGTTCAATCTGTGTGAGATTCTAAGTGCATCTTGAATTTTAGGATGACAGGCAAACCACGAATATCCCTTAAGCATAATCGTAAAGTAATTGTGGATAACTCAGTAATATCTGTGCGTACTTCTTTGTCAACCAATTTTGACACGTGAGTTGCTCTTGATGACCTTTTATTTCTGTAAGTTTAATAAAGATATGGTAAGAATGACCTTTGGAAACCTTCGTGCCTTCTTGTGACACTGACAAACTGTGTTCTTAAAGCATGCATGGTAATTGACCAACATTATTTGCAATGCAACGTTGACGATTCCAAGAAAAGTCGAGTTTGGCAATTTGTTTTACTTGTAATTTGAACAAGGAATTTCCAAAATAAATGTTAATAATTGATTTTGTAATGATAAATTTACTCACGAATTTATTTTAATACAATAACTTCAAGAATTACAATACTTACTCAATGCTAACGTATTTAGAGAAGAAATCCAGGTTGGGAAACTCAATTACTTGATATTCTTAGCGATCAGATATATTTCGCTTCGATTAAAAAGTTAACGGTCAATTGTCGGTGTTTATTCAGAAGTGTGTGTTTGGTGACCACGATATCCAATTCAATGGAAGTTTGTTTGCATGCGTATTATTATTTGGGTGGTGTTAGTAGTTCGTAGATATGTACATTCACTAAATTAACACACACACGTTAACTGCAGTGTTAACATGGCTAGTTACCTGAATTTGCACATTGTTTGTATTTACTTGAATCTAGACACATGAATGAATGAAGTTAAGTCCTAACTTAGTGTTTGCCTTTCCAAATCATCTTTCAGTGTTGCACTACTGCAGTCAGTTTAGGTCATGACAAAGGAAGGCAACAGATGAATCACTCCCATCAGCAACAGCATTTAAGAGAAAGCAGATTCTGCAGGCGTTGAAATACGTTACATTGCAGGGATGGAGGTAGGTCAGGGGATCAGTGGCGTTATAGGACATTCTGTTGACGATGTCACCACTCCACAAAACCACGAATGATAGATCTATCTATAGCAATGTCTGCTGCATGACTATTCATTCAAGTGGATGGAATGAATGACTTTGGGGAAATCCTGAAAGCTGAATGGATAACCCTCAGCTACACTGCCTACGATATTCCACACGTGTAAACCTACGAAACAAACCACGCTCATTCATTCGTCTTGAATATTGTATCACTCGAATGACAGTTAAAACTTAATTCAGAGAACAAAAGCAACTCATCGTCTGTTGCAACATTAAGTGGATTCACGTAATGAGAATAACCAACAATTTCAAATTGCAATGAAGCCTCAAAAGTGCAACTGCACCTCTGTCGATGCATTTTTCCTCATTAGATGGATGACAATGCAGCAATCAGTTTTCTAATCGAAAGTCCCGTTTAACTGCCCAACAGCTCCTATTTCATTTTTCGATTACGGACTGCATCCGACTGAAGCTTGTTATTTAAATAATGCATTGCCTGTCATGCCATGATATCAAGCAGTCTGAGGATGGATGCATATGTTTGATCGATGAACATATGTGGATCGAATACCGTTTTAATTTTAGAATGAGATTCCTTAATGCAATTCGTAATTGGAGAATCTTACGATGCAATGCAATAAGATATGCAACTTTCTCAATATCGATAGTGAAGAATTATTACCAAGTAATCTAATCACTCAATCTGTACAATTACATTACATGCAATTCTTTATGATGTAAATTTCCACCATACATTTTACACTCGTTGCAAATATCAATACGTAGCTATGTATTTAGCCGTGAAGAAAGTTCGTACAATTTATTTCCACATAAGAAAAACGGTTTATTTAATTTTTTGCAGGATGAGCGAGGGCGTCTTTTGCGCCGGACAATTATGCGGTACGCAATGATGGCCTATATTATTTGTCTGCAGAGGATCAGCTTCCGAGTCAAGAAGCGGTTTCCAAGCTTGGAACATCTCGTGGATGCTGGTAATTTTCCATATGAAATATAAATTAAGGTTTAAGATCAGGGGAGGAATTCAATTGTAATTTGCGCACGGCGTAAGTCTAAATTTTGGTTCAAAATCAGTGCTTACGCTTTGCGCAAATTATAATTGAATTCCTCCCCAGGATTTCATTCATTGGGCAAAAATTGTCATTGTCATCATCAAATGTTTTGGAGGCCGGAAATCCTACTCATTTTTGTAAAGTATTTCGCTGGGATTATACAAAAAGGATTAAAAACATGATTATGATGGGTACAAATATAAATATTGTGCTTCACTTTCCTCCACAAATGTGCAAGGTTTATAATAATACGTGTATCTATTTAACGTAGGCTACATATATGCTGGATAAATAATCGTTTCAATTTCATAAAAGTAGCAATTTTGATGGATTGCATGATATGATTATGAACGTAAATGTATTATGAAATTGGCATGAAGAGGACGAAAGGAAAATTGTATTTTCATCGTGAATGAAAAATTGTAGTTTATGCACAACGCACAACTTTCAGTGGAAAAATTGCATGCAACAAAATTCAGACACGGACGAGTTAATAATCTGTGTACATCGAGTCACCGAATGGTAGAGGCTTTTTTATTAAAGCATTTCTTTAGAAAATATAAAATGTAATTGAGATGTATGTACATAATATCTGGTGGTGTTTTCATGTGAATGTCTACAGTTCACAAATAGGTGACTCATTTCAAAACTTCCAGTTTTGACATGCTTATTTAGCGCATGCATTGTGAAAAATGTCCAGGATGCACTTGTCTGTCAGTTGTTTTCTTCCAAAAATGTGACCATTATTTTGCTTTGTCCTTCGCTGTAAGTGTGAAGTGCATCCACTACACATATGCACTCTTTGTCACCTAATTTGCGTCAATATTCCGTCTATTTTTATTCATTCATTGTGTTTAATGTTGGCTGAATTGTGGTGAATGCTATCAGATTACGGCACTAAACCCCGACAATGAACTAAATAATTATTTTCGTTCTACATAACCTACAACTGCCCTCCAATTATTTATTAAATTAGAATAAAGTAGACCTAATTGGCAGGTTACCAGAGTCGTCAGAATGAACTCACGGGCTGGAGGTGTAGCCCATTCACATTTACCGAGAAAAATGTGACTGTTACGTAGATCCTGGAAATTCAGTTTATCCGATGCATCCGTTTTTACGAACTGCTGATGGTGGGGGGTACCGCCTGAGACTTGATTGACAGCCATCCAAATGGTCTCATTCGTCTCATCCCACCTCAACAGACAAAGTGACAAAAGAGATGGACCACAAATGATGCCTGGCTCATTTTAGATTTAAGTCCTTTGTAATTGATGCATAGCACATTATCTGTATCTACGTATCATTATAATTGGCTCATTATTTTTATGGTTGACTTCGGGAAGGATTAAGAATGTATTTAACTAATCCTAAGAATTGATTGTCCAAATACGCATAATGCTGCGTTGATGAGTTATTATCATCAGGACGATGCGTACGTTTGTATGAAATGATTATGTAAAACTCAGGAGTTGCGAAATCATGAACCTTTGATGACCACCTATATAAGATTTTATTATCATTATCGTAATTCTCTTTTTCTAGGTTTGATGACTGACAATGAGAAGAAGATTTTCGATTTGATGGACAATAAGACAAAAGTGCTCAAGTTTTGGATGCCTGTCGTCTGGGCTTCCAATCTGATCAATCGTGCTCGAGCAGAGGGTCGAATTCATTCAGATCAAATGGTGCAAACCATTGTGACTGAGCTTTCTGACTTTCGGAGAAAGTTGGGTCGTGTCATGGTTTATGACACGGTTAGCGTACCCTTGGTCTACACACAGGTGAATCATCACATCGTTACATGTTATGAAGATATGTAAGCATGGGTAGCACATTATTTAATCCTGCTTAATCAACTCAACAGGTGGTCACTCTCGCCGTTTACACATATTTCTTGGCAGCTTTGATCGGCAGGCAGTGGGTTAACCCACCCAATCCAACGCTTATCTACCCCGGCTACGAATTGGATTTGTACTTTCCCATTTTCCTTTCTCTTCAGGTATGTAAATACCTTGTTCGTCGATGATATTGCTTATGTTTTACACAAGGTTTTACGAAAATAAATTCATTTATTCCAGTTCATTTTTTACATTGGGTGGCTCAAAGTAGCCGAAACGCTAATTAACCCTTTTGGAGAAGATGATGACGACTTTGAGCTGAATTGGTTGATTGACAGACACATAAAAGTCAGTGATCCAACTAAATAAAAAATGCAGCAAAAATGAGAGAATTTGTAAACTGGGATGATTTGTTATGATGCTTATTCTGGGTGTAGGTGTCATACATGGTGGTGGACGAGATGCACGAAGAACATCCTGAACTGCTCAAGGATCAATATTGGGAACAGGTCGTTCCAGAGGACTTGCCATACAACATTGCTTCGGAACACTTCCGTCGACACGAGCCTCAAGGTTCGACGGCGTCTTTGAAAGTGAAGGCGAGTGAATCCGTGTATGCCGATCTGACCTCGGTGAAGAGACACAGTGCCATCCCAGACGAGGTGTATGCAGATTATGTAAGTAATTGCTAAGTGATGCCATTGATACTACATAAGGAACTCGTGACATTTTCCGTATTATCCAAAAGTATACTTTGCAGGAAAGTGTGACGGACTCCCCACTTCCGGACTCCAGAAAAAACTGGATCCAACGCCAATGGTCCCGAGTTGGTAGTCTGAGATCTACGTCGAGTTCGTCCAGCAGAAATAGACAGCACTCCCATGGTCATGGTCCCCTTCCTACAACTGTGCTACCAAATTCAGGACATCGACCGTCTCTTTACGAGAGGATATTAAGCCGACGATCGAGCAAAGATCATCGCAACTCTAGTCGATATCTTCCCAATCGACTCAATACATTAAGCATTGCGAAGGAAGGGAATTATACGCTGATGGCCAATCCAAATTCTAGGTTCGTAAATAAATACTGTAGTTTATCTGAGATACAAATCTTATGAAGATGAACTTGACGATGTATGTACATGTTTTTGTAGACCAAGAGTGCCAACACCAGATGTCACGAAAGAAAATCAAGTCAACTTTCACCAATCTCACGCACCTCCCATGGAAAAAATGCCAAATCGAGCCTTATATTCCAATGATAGTTCTGTTATGACTCAAACCGTCACAAATCCTGGTTACGGTTCTCCATCCAATCGTAGGACTGTGACCACTACGACCACCCTGCCTCAAAATGGGACTTTATCCGTACAACCTCAAATTCCTCCACCCGTTCCTTCCAGTCCACGGATAGCTCACATGAAATATGTGACCTCTTCTGTACCACCACCACTTCCTCCCTCAACACCTTCTATTTCATCACCTTTAACCATTCCAACGCCGATTTCTCAGCGGGAAATGCTCCCACCTCCGTATGATGCAAATTTAGATGAATCTCCATCCTCATCCCCGATAAATGGAGGGACGATGTTGAGCCCTATCGCAGAAAATGATGGAAGTCCATACTCGACCAGTTCCACGACGAGGTCCTGTCGAAGTTCCAACTATCCGACGACCACGTCAATATTTGGGCTTGGGAGGAAACCATCACCACCTCCGTTGGACGAACTTCCTCCGATTCCACAGCCAACGATTCCAAGTATGGGGGTCAACAGTCATGGGGGTCGGAGTGGTAGTAGCAACAATAGTAGTGTAAAATCAGACAATTCCTCAACTACAGGGAAAACTAGACGGCTTGGTAGCAGCCGGCGAGTAATTGGAGGGGAGGAATTTCCACTGGACACAAAAGACCTCTTGACTCCTTCCTCCGTCATTGACGAGCTCGAGAGCGTGCTCAAGGAAACCATTTTTGATGGGAGGGTCAACAACGGATTCGTCCCCGACCTGATCGAAGAAGGGAACGCGAAGGAGGAGGATGACGATGACGAGGATGAGTTGGACAGCTCTCGAAACTACATGACAATCGCGGAGGTGAATGAGTCCAAAGCAGAACTGGAGAAAAAGTTACAACAATCGCAATTATCCAATAGAGATCCAGGGGGAGGAGAGGGCGGGGTAGGAGACGGTCCTGGGTCTGATATTCCGCCATCTCTGCCTCTCCCAAGATGTCCAACCTTTCCTGGTGCCGCAATTTCAAATACAAATAATGTAATCCATTATATTTAGTTTTAGCAACACTTTATACTTTAACCCTATTAAAAACAACCTTCTGCTCTAAACCAGATCCAGAGTAGTAGTTACCACGCAGCGTCCTCATCCGACCCGACAAGTTCTGACAAACCCACTACGTCTTCTCTTGGGGGAAAAGGTGGTAAAATTCCTACTAAATCCGCGTCATCCGCCGCCCTTGTGCCTCTTCACGACGCGGAAGTGGATGACGGATATGACGAGAAAGGGTCGTATAACGACGAAGAAGAGTTCAGCAGTAGCACAGTGGTGGACATAGAGGTAGCATCTCCCAGTCATAGTTTGGATGACAATAGTTTTAGCCCCAACAACAGCAATAGTCATGATAACAACGCAAACATTTCTACTAATAATAACAATACTATTAGCCATAATACTAAACAGAAGAGAAGTAACAATAGTAGTAACAGCAGTAGTAGTCGCAGTACCAGTAAAAGTGGTAGTGGCAGCAGTAGTCCCGATTTGCTCAGCAGTGGCAGTGGTGCCACTGGTACTCCGAAATATAGAAAAAAGTCTGCGTCCTCGTCATCTTCATCACAAAATGACCCCACCAACTCATCCCCCAAAGGCACAAACAGTCCTGTCCCACAGAACGAAATGACAATTAGTTCACATTCTCCAAAAAGAAAGCGGAAAGGTCGAAAGAAAGGTGGGACAGAAGAACAAGATGTTGTCGCCCCCGTTCTCGAACCCGCACAACCACAACCTCCTCCCGTACTTTCGAAAGACTGTGAAGTTTTTGTGTGAATTTAAAAATGAGATAATGCAATAATAAATATAAGTGTAAGATTGTGTACATGTTCTGTCTTTTAGGAAAGTTTGTTCCTACCCGTTTAGTTCTAAATGTATGTTTCCACAATTGTTAATTTTATATGTATTGTAAGGGAAGTAATTATGAATGTGCATGCGCATGAGAGGAGTAGTAGGATTTCAAACTATACTTTGTTCCTATTTTGTGTGTTGTTATATGTTTGATTTGGATTAACTTTACTTTGGAGCAGCTACTTTGCAAAATGTACCGAGTAGCACTACATTATACTTTTTTGATTAAGTTGAAATCATTTATTTTAGATTAATTTGTAATTGTGAGATGGAAAGACGGTAAGCATAGCATAATGAATGAGTTCCTATTGGAATTTCATAGAATGAAGAGGCTGGATCTGTCGCTTATTAATAATTATGTAATTTTGTTGCATCATCATTGTTCTGGAGAGTTGTATTGAAAAAAGACGCAATAAATAAGTGGCATAATTAGCACTTGCAACAGTGTTAATGTAGACATTACTATAAATTTTGCAGCAAATATGTATGGCCAACTTATTTATAACTCACAGGAGTCTTACGCACCAACAGCGTGACATTCTAGATCCTGGTACATATTTTTGCAGTGATGTAACAGGAATCTGAATTTCATAAGTTCATATTTTACATACATGAAAGTAGATGAATGTCCAGCGCCCGTTGAAATATGAACACAGTTTAAAGTTTGGAATCTAGCATTGCAAATTGTGTTTCCAAGAATCTTTAATTTAAAAAAAAAACTTTTTGCAACAAGACAAAAATTAATCTCCAAATTGCACTCTCATCAAAGCCGGTAATTATAACACAGCTCCGGTTACGAGCCACACTTTCAAGGCAAAGCTCAATTGTTAGCCGTGTAAAACTATGTACTCATCATTTTTTGCGATTCGTTTTTTTATATATTTTTTGCAATCATTTCCACATCGCACTCATAAAACTTCAATCACCAGCCAGCAGCATCCCTTGACCAGCGCAAATAAAGCAGACGAAACGAAGTATTTGTTTAAACATTGGTTTTAACGACACAAAAAACTCCTGTGTTTCTGTATATTCCGAAATTGAATGAATATTGAGCTCTGCGTCTGCCAGTCAACCCTTTGCAAATAGTTAGTGGTACACGTTACAACTTGTTGCAACTTGTTTCGCACAGGATATTCCATGCAACTAGCAACTTTTTCAGTTTCAGGGTCATTCCAATTATTTTTCATTATTGTCCAGTCATTCTTGACACAGATACTGCGCTGCATACTTATATACTTGAGGGGAGAGGGTGGAAATTAATGCAAATCCCATCATCATTGCGCATCCTAATCTGCCATACAACAACTTGCATTTATTTTGCGTGATTAAAATTCACAAACGGGCGACGTCATGAGGTGGGAGGGTTGGATGGGAGGAGATTGTAAATTACCACACAAACCCAATGCCGATTTATGAATAGTTGTCCTTTGGCAGTGTTCATTGAATGGTTGTGAGATTTCGTGTTCCAGTTCTAAAATCTGAAACTTACTGAGGGATTGTCTGCAAGATAAATATATTTCTAACACAGGTTAGTTATTTAGCAGGTTATTAGAAACTTTAAATTGTTGGTAAATTTGTAGCAAATTAATTCCATTAAATTCTGGTATTTATGTAAAAATAATTTACACTACAATTTAAAACATTTGTAATTGTCTCGTGACCAATTGCAATTCCATTGCATGTTGCATAATATTGCTACAAAACCACTTGAGACCATTGGCTGATTAACACAAAGCCGTCTGTTTGTGCAACAACCTGATGTACAGACCTTCTGCCAATCTTGCATATCTTGTTTCTGTTATGATTTCTGTTTTAGCACCACTTGTTTATTGTGAGCTTTTACTATGTTTGCATGCCTTCGTTATTGCAATAGATGATTAGTTGATTGATTTGGCGTAAAAAAACGAGCTGAAACCGATAACCTTATGAGTGTTTGAACCATACGCACACTAAATATTATACGACAAATAAGATACGCAGTTATCAGATTATTTATGTGCTTTGCAACCCGGATCTCATCCTTTATTACTACAGAGAATCCTTTTGTTTTTCGAACTTGTCGAAAGTCAAGTGTTCCATTGTGTTGAATAATGCAAGGCTCTTCACAAAGATCCGTGTTCATTAAATAATACGCATCTCGATTTAATATGCATATGTACATACATAAATTCATAGGAGTCGTTAATTGGGTAGTACATATGTAGTGAGCACACTTATTTTTCCCAGCCTAGACAATCAAGTTATCTATTCTGTTTGTCATGCTTTATCATGCCAGTCACACGAGATAGTCTTATATAAATAACACAAAAAAGGTTCACACAGACCATTATTTTTGATCACATTGGAGTGCATACGGTGAACAAGACTGGTGTTAATTAAATCCTGATTGAATATTGACTGATTTAATTATTCATTTAGAATCAAGACATTACTAATAATGAGTGACACCAAAGTTAACGGTTCCACCCATGAAGGTGAAAGCGAAGCCCCACAAGCACCACCCCCCGCAGAGTTGCCACCCCCCTCGCCAGAGGAAATAATCACCCCTGATGTGGTCGATAATATCATCAAGGGTTACAACACGGATTGTGAATTAGTCGACTTTTCTGCCAAACTGGGGACAAAAGTTGGCGATAACTACATGTCAATCATGTATGCGGTTGAGATCAACTTGAAGAACAGGAAAACGGGAGAAGCCGATACGTTGAATGTAATGGTCAAAACGATGCCAAAAAATCCAATGCGACAGCAAATGATCAATGAGAGTGGAGCATTCATCAAAGAATCCAAAATATACGAGGACGTGATCCCAAGGATGGTTGCCTTCCAGAAGGAGAAGGGGTTGAAGGATGACGAACTTTTTCTGGGATGGCCACAATGTTTCACCACGTTCAACGATGGGACGAGTGACTACTTGGGCATGGAGGATATGAGAGTCCAAGGGTATGCGTGTCTGCTAAATTATAGCAAAATAACTAGCCGATTTCACCCACAAGTATGTTGTACATATGTAATTAATTGACACGACAGGTATAAAATGGCAAATCGTTTGGCTGGCTTGGACGTGGAACATGTGCAGCTCGTTTTGAAGAATGTTGCTCGCTACCACGCCCTCTCCTTTGCCATATTTCGTGGGGACTACGACCTAATGATGGAAACTTATCCATGGCTCGAAGAGAAAATGTTTCCGTCAGAGGATAAAGTTCAAGAACCCATGAAAATGTGGATGAAATCAATGTTCAGCAATGAGGCAGACGTCGTTCGGAAGGAGGGGCTTATCAAGGAAGCTGATTTGATGGAGAAGATGATCGAAGGTTCAATTTATGGCATGTTGCACAGTATGCTTGGAATAAAGACGAAAAATCCCGTCATTAATCATGGAGACTGCTGGACAAACAATATGCTCTTCTTGTATGACGATGATAACAAGCCCAGACATCTCAAGTTTGTGGATTTCCAGATGGCACGATGCAGCCCGAGAAGTATTGACTTGGGCTACTTTCTCCATTCGAGTCTACCAATTGCCACGCTTAACGAGAAGGAGGAATATTTCCTTAAATTGTATCACGATGAGTTCATCCGGTTTGTGATAAGGTTGGGAGTAGAACCCTTAGAATACGGGTTGACTTGGGAGGAATTTATGGACGAGTATAAAAACTGCAAGTTTTTCGGGGTGGTAATGGGCTTTATGTTGGCTCCCATTCTGTCGGCGGATGCGGCTGATGTTCCTGATATGGAAAGTAGGTGTTAATTCACAATATAAGTTAAGAGATGAAAATTCGAGGTCTTCCTTAATTTTAACAAATTAATCTATAACCTGCAGATCTGAAAGAAGAAGACTTTGGCGAGGATGGGGCTAAAGATTTTATGAATCAACTCATGGGCAAAAAATCGGACTCGACAAAGAAGATATGCAATCTTGCTATTCATCATTTACCTCGATGTCCACAAATGATGAATAAGTAAAAGAGTCGCTCTCGAAATTTTACAGGTTAATCGCAATAAAGGCGTAATTCTATTGACATATGAAGCATGCATGCACCAGTAAATATGTAACTGTATCCCTTTCTCATATATATTTGAATAATCAAACTTTTAAAATTTATAATAAACATTGTGGCATAATTTTAGATTATTTTATAGTATAGTAAAAATCACTATCTTAAAAATACGAACATTTAATATTTTAAAATAAACTTAAAGAGACCTTTATATGTAGATCTTTAGCACTTTCCTTATTAAAAAACTGTCTCAAAAATAAATAAATAATGCTTTTAGATCTTATTGTATTTTGTGCTTCTGTATTTTTAAAACATGAGCGACCTTCAAGAATACATATGAATTAGTTTTTAACTACAGCAGACGTAAACCATAAATGAATTTAATGAATAACACTGAAGCAGTTTTTCTGAGATTTTGAGCAACACTGTACGAACTATATAAATAACAGCTAAGTATTTTTTTAACATACCAAGTTCTACGTGATAAGTGTCGCACCTAGTACATACATATTTGTACATATGTAAATGTATATCAAATTGCATTATTATCGGTGTCGGACAATGTTGAGTCAGAATCGTCTTCCTGCAAATCTGAGAGTTTTCTGACTTTTCCCTCATTCATGATATCCAAACAAATCTTGGGGGCATTTAATTTAGATATGTCAAGGTCTATAATTTTCCCAGAGGTGGTAGCTGTTGTAAAGGCAGGAGGTTGAGTTGTAATATTGGTGGATTTTTCTAAAAATGTTCTTTGGGAAGACTTCCATGATGGGGCGCCAGTTCTCTTGCTCAGTTGAAGTGGATTTCCTTGGTCGTCAAGTTTACGTTTTTTTGGAGAAGGTGCTTCATCATGAGTTTCTTCTTGATCATAATTTCGCTTCATGATGGGATTCGTTTCATGACCTTTAATATCTTGCGATGGTGTGCTTAACGATTTCTCCGAATTTTCTTTTAAGTTTGATTCTTCATCAGAATCATCAGAACTGCTTGAAGAATTTGACTCTTCTTCAATTTGTCCAACTTGCAAATATTCTGGGTTGGAGTTTAAAAATGGTTGTATGTGGGCAGAAGTTGCATGATCTTGTGGAAGCTGACCATCATCTCCTATTGCTATTGCTAAATTACACCATCGACAATTTGCTACTCTAGCGAAAGTGGTATAGACACCATGGACAGTGGTGTAATGTTCGTACAAATCGGCCTTTAGGATTACACCAAAGCATGTGAAGCACTTGACAAATCCATGTTCTTCCAAACATTCCGAGGCTCCTTGTACTCCAGAGCGTTTCCGGTTACATATGTCACATTTGACTAAATTCTTAATTTCCTCGCTAGATACTTCAGTAGAGTTTAAAGTTGAGGCATGCATTATTTGCAAATGTTTCCTAAATTCTCGCTGAGTTTCGATAATTCCTTTACATTCTAAGCACACATAATCATCCTTTATACTCGACAAAAAAATTCCTGTGAAAGCTTTAATTTCTTCGTCTTGTCCATTTTCATAAAGGGGCGATTCAATCCCTTCTACGGTGGTGTGCTTAATATCTTTGTCCGCTTTAGAAACATCTTTACTTTTCTCCTTCTTGACATTCCTCCTGCTGGCGACATTAGGTTTACGGCCTCTTTTTGATCCTAAAAATAATCAAAATATAAGAAATTTGTGCATTTTTACATAAGCAGTTTTTTGCAGAAATTTCAAAAGTGGCAAATTACCACTTGAACCAACGGAAGGAGTAGGTTTAGCCACAGTACATCGTGGTCTCCCTCGTCGTCCTCTGTTAGTCGTTGTCGATTTAGGCCTTGGCAACGTTGTGGATGCAGTTGTATCATCTTTAATGCATGTTTGAGGGTAATTTTTCTCAATCAACTCCTGTTTTCCATTCACTGCAATTTCCGGAACGGATAGAGGTGCATGTAACTGGTCCTCATGATTCTCAGCGTCTACTCCAGGTACATTCAATTCTGGCCCTTCTTTCACTATTGGAGTTGGTGGTGTCTCCGGAATACTTTTACAAATACTGAAATTTTTATCTGGAAATCCAATCCTTAGTGCATCCATCGCTGACCTTATGACTTCATTGCTGCCCTCATTGTTTGATAATATTGCCATTGTTCCCGTATAACAAAGTTGCAAAATGCTTAGTATGGTTTCCACTGAAACGTCAGGAAGTACAATAGTTGCAACTTCTCCAGCGTTCTAGGTAATATTTACGACCGAAAACAAACGTTTAAAAAATTATACGAACACAGTTTTCATTGCTGTATTCAAAATGGTACTTACACGTCGACTTAAGAGCATCTTAAGTAATGGAGAAACCGATGCCAGAACGACTCGATGAGCTCCAACTTTCCCATCTGCGCATGAAATGACAGTGTCAATGTCAGGGCGAACTTTTATAACGTGCTCCAAAACATGACATCCTGACAATTTTTCCATCAGTACTAAAATTAAAATTGGCTTGAATATCAGTTTGTTAACAAAATGGTTAATTTACATAAAAATATACTTTCGTGTTTTGGTTCGTTCTCACGGAATAAGCAATCCGAACTTTGTTTTTCACCGAGAGTTTTATCGTTTTCAACACTTTGTGCTTGCACTGATGATGCTGCTTCGTGAATGGTTTCATGGTTATCTGGTGTGTTGTCCAGGTAAGTTTCGTTATTATTTGTGCAATTTTGTTGAGAGATTTCCGTGTCGACGACAGCATTCTCCAAATTGTTCGTTATAAGCTCACTCATCGTCGTTGTCAATTTAACCAAAAGTTCACTACGAAATCTGTCGTCTAACGCCTGTCGTGAATCAAAGGTTCATAAGAAATTGTAATAATGGTAAAACTGGGTATGAAAGTTCTTCAAAAAAAATATAAAATTATTAGTCACAGAATGGCTAAATGTGCAACAGTCAGGTTTGGCAGGAGGAATGGAATGCATGCAAATTATAATTTATCCTAAACTTATGTAAAATGAGTGAAATATGAATGGTGACGAATATGAGTATTTGTTATCCACTCGTGGCTCTAACCACCAAACGCACATTTCTTCAATCTTTTGGAAGATAATCTAAATCAGAATTATGTATATGTCCTAGTCCTACACCAAACTATAAATGGGACATAGGACGTATGGTTTTATATTTCACATAAATAAAATATGTACGAGACATGGTATTTTTCATTGTTACAATTTCATTTTAAAAACGATTGACAATTACATAATGTACTAATTGAGCATATGATATGTATAACGAGATTAATGTGTAAATTAATTTGAATTTACAAATTAATCTAAAATCGTCTAACATCAGAGGTCTCGTTTACAAGTCGAGTTTTTGGAATGGGTCGAGTTTTAACATATGAGATATAGTCCCACACGTAGAAAGAGAACAACCCCAAGAAAAACCAATGATCCACTGTGAGTCCAAATAGTTTAGGAACTTCTTTCGGAATAAAGCTAGGCCAACCCTGGTTACCATCCAGGAATGTCGGGAGTATGTAGTCACACGAATTCACTGCTGGATAGTTCAAATTCAAAACCCGATGAGTCGGTCCAACCACCTCTTCCTCAAATTGACTCATGCGAAATGAAACTGCAAATGCAGCCAAACAGGCAGCAGACTGGTGTCGAAAGTAGAGAATTGTACTCCTTACACGGCCTTTAAAACAAAATAATTCAGCGAATTTAGTTAAAAGACGTTCTCTCCCTTTTAGCCAATATTCGCTAATTTTCATTCTCACCATCTCGTGCTAATACCCAGAATGCTCTCGGGAACTCTTTAGGACTGTCGATTTCGCCCACGTTCTCAGCCTCCGGTTCAAAATCGACTTCATCGTAGACTGCTTCCAGCTCAAGGAGGGTGTAGGCGTGGGTTCTGTCCGATCTGATGTACCTCGAATGAGCATAAGCATTGCACATAGAAATGTAAAGGAGAGGCAAGTACAGCCACCAGGCTTTCGGATAACGCCACGCACAGAGAATGCAAGTAACTCCGTAATTCATAGCGTAGTAGTGCGTGTACTCCTTGATTCGATTCCAGTAGCTGGCATACTCTGAGATGTGTTTGGGTTGAATGATAATTCGGCTGTGACCCTCGGCCATTGCAATTTCCATCTCTTTCAGGTGACGAGGGTAATGATCCCGTCGATCCACCCAGTCCCTGGCTTTTCGAATAATGGACCATTCCCTTTTGCTCGTAGGGTTGAGGTTAAACTTCAACCATTCTGGACCGTACCGTCGCCAAAGTCGGAATCCCTTGACAAAATCAAACGAGCCATGGGGACGATTAAATTTGATGATTATCCGTCACCAAGTTGATTTATAACACCTCCCCTACTTACGAGATGTTCTTCCTCTGCTTGAATGACATCAAAACCGTATCGGTTGGCCACGTCGTATTTTTCGAGTGGGGGGGGATTGCCTTCATCATCCGGTATATCCAATGGATCCCGAACGCTGCAACGGTCAGCTCTGAAACCTTTGACAAGAAGCTCCGGGAAGAACATTTTTCTGAGGCAAAATAATTAAACTAATTAATTGCAATAAACAAAATCACTTTTATAGTTAAGGTCAAGGAACTAAATTTGCACTCATGTTACCTTTACCTGTTTATCCAAATTACTGACTGAAATAGTTCTCAGAAACACTTCGTGTCTAAAAGCTGAAATTTTTATTAGAGTGAGAAATTTATAAAATTTATTTTACGTTTTTTTTCAAAAAATTGGAATAGAAATTTGGTCCGGATAAAAAGTTAGTGGATTGGGTTTTTGACTGGCCGGGATTCTGCCCTTGCCCTCGTCGAGCAGCGAAACTCGAAGCGAAGGAAAAAACACTTCAGCACAACCAAGTGGACTCTGCCTGAAAAGAGAGCAATTGCAAATTGTTCAAGTTGATTGATTATTTATACTTGACAATTTGCAATTGTACGTGGCCTAACCTTGTTCAGAGTTCACTTGGCCACGTAACTCACTAATTTCGAGGAATAAATAAATCTACGAGCCGTTTTTTAACTAGGATAATCTAATCTTGGTGCCTGAGGAAGAAGATCATAAAGTTTTTAGCTCGACAACATAACATGACACATGACACACCCTTGTAGTAATGGTAAGTTGAACTTAATTAAGTTAATTGCGGAAAGAAATTGATAGTTCTTGAGTTTGTTCTTTGTTCTTACATTTGGAGTTTAAAATTGTTGGATAAAAAGTTCATATGTGAGTTGTTTAGTAGCCTAGTTAACTTTTCAAATCGATTTAGATTCGTTGGGGATTTATATTTGTGTAAATTTTATAATTTTGATTATGTGGGATTATAGTATTGTAGTAGGTGGGATATTAATTGTGTTAATTGTCTTGTAATATATATATTATTTTATTAATAAGAAATGCATTCATAATAACTTATTATTAATAAAAAATCTTTGTATATCTTAAGGGCAAAGGAAATCCAAAGGAATATTAAAATACCGTCACTGAGCAGAATTGTCTACCATTTTCGTTATCTCATTTGTTGCGCACAATCATTTACTGGGGACTGAAGGAGGGAAGAAGGAAGGAAAATGTCGGGTTCTTCTCCAAATGTAGGGGGCTTATCGAATGATCCTTTAAACACTGTCGGGGATAGTTCTCCTCCTCCACTAGATTCACAAACAATGACGGCACGATACAACCAACGCAATCCAGGTGTGTTATTGTCCTCGTATTTATCGAGTATGAAATGTTATGAATTTCTTTATTTAACTTTCGTTTTTGTGCAAATTTTCGTAGCCGTGAAGAGACTGATGAGGGAAGCTGCAGAAATGGCAGTTAGTGACGAGAGATGGGATATTGATGCGAAGCCCCTTGACGATAATCTGTTTGAGTGGCACTTTACCTTCAGAGGCCCCCCAGAGACGGTGTACAGTCGTGGAGTGTATCATGGCAGGGTTATATTTCCATCTCAGTACCCGTTAACCCCACCTGAGATAGCTATTCTGACGGTAAGAATTTATGTCTATAAATTTGCAAATAATTGTCAAGATTCAATTAATATGTTTTCTTGTTAAACTTGACAGCCTAATGGCCGTTTCGAGACTGGAACAAAAATTTGTCTCTCCATCTCTAATCATCATCCTGAAACTTGGTTGCCTTCATGGAGTATTAGGACGGCAATCACCGCACTTCGGGCGTTCATGGCCTCTGACAGTCCGGGAGCTATAGGATCTCTGCAATGTAGTGATCAGGCACGACGTCAAATGGCGACGGAGTCAATGTCGTATAATTGCTCAAGCTGTGGGCACACAACTGGTCTATTAGCTCCAATGCCTGTAATTTGATTTGTTTAAATATGTTGATGAAAATAAGGTGTTAACTTGTGTGATAATTTGTATCATTTCGCTATTTTGTAGGAACCGGAATCAAATTCAACCGTGCCTCAGGAGAAAAATGATGCACTCATACAAGGAAACGAACAAACGACAGCAGATAACACCATCAGTTCCGGAGTTAATGCTTCACCAACCACAGAACTCGATGCTAAATCAATAACTACTTCTTCTAACGAAATTCAAGAAACTAGAGGAATAGGTGAAAGCTTGATTATACCAAATGAACAAGCTGAACAAGCTCTCGTCGGCAATGAATCGGGACTCGCTTTACCGGATGTCAACAGCGTAGGTCTGAATGTATCACCACCTTCAGTAGGACATGGAGCTAGACAAGTTCAACGGAGGGTCCTTGTTCCACAAGAATTGGCAGAGATTGAGCGTCAACAAAACAACAACGTTTATATAACCTGCTTAATTTTTGTTATAATCTTAGCGATTACAGTGCTTGCCATCCTGGCTTTAATTAAGCGATCAAATCGTTGGTCATCGAAGTGAATCCTTATAATAAGGCTCATGTCTAATAGAAAATTCTAACTTGTCTTTTTTAATATCGGTCTGCTTTACCATTCCAAAATTATGTTTTTTTTTCAAATTCTAGTTTGATACATTATAGAAATTCTTACTTTAACTTTCCGCTCTCCTACTAGGAATCAAAGGCGTAAAAGTTATTCATTAAGGCCTAAATAATTTTCTGCCGATTGAATTAAATATATTGTGCTATTCATGTATATTATCACAGTAAAAGAGTATACGAATTTATGAATCCTCCCAGCGCATAAGTTAATACCAATGTTACACGGCCAGTATAATTTGTTCCTATACAAATAATTTATATATAACTTTTCTTGTGAAAATTCACTTTAAGTGAAGTCAATTTTTGATTTTGTTAAACTTGTATTTACCTATATGATCTTATTTATTATAGAAATGACTATAGTTTCATCATGCAATTTTCTGTCTCACTAAAACTTGGGGTTTTGTCACTTTAATGATGTACGCACAAAGTAAGAAATACCAAAAATAAAAACCAACTCCTTACCAAAGGTCTATAGTAATAATAGTATTCTGTGAACAGAACAAACTAAATTATAATAATAATGTAAATAACTCACATAACCAAACCTAATGAAATAAAGGCTGAATACTGTTAAATCAGTTAATCTGTAGTATTGTGTGTCTGTCTGTAACAGCATATCTTATTACCACTTACATATTACCACTATATAAATATGTAATTGTATGCACAATATCAGCAATAATATAAAGATTTTCGATAATGATATGGCATAATTTAGATTCAGTGTAATACCCTGATAGCCATTCAGTTGAGACGCATTGTTGGGGAGTGGGCTGGTAATTGACAATTTTGTAAGATAGTGAGGCGTGGGTGCGGGATGGATCCGGGGTTTAAGTTTCTATGTACATACATAATATTGTTTTGTATAGAACGCTTTCCCCACAATAGTGACCTTGTGAGTCTCATCCTGCAATATCTATCGGTCGGTAGTCTGATCACGCCACAAATTACTATACGCATACATAAAAATACATCGTGTGTAGGCGCATGTAAACGACAGAAGCATTATAATGCGTTGTTCTAATTATTAGAAAACGTTTGTTTTCAAATTGCTGCACTGATAAGCCGTGTGGGTTGATGTATTACAATAAATATGCCATAATCTGCATATGAAGACTAACTAATTGTATGTATTTAAGATGCGTCCAAATCTCATGTTTTGTCTGAAAAAGCTCTTCATTATGAGCAAAGCAGGTTGGCCCTCTCAAAATCTGATCACTTCATAACTGCACACTATTAATAAGACTACTTATTGGCACATCTGGGCTCCCAAATTAATTTAGATCTGTATACGATTATTTGATAATAAATAAAACAGCTATGTATGATTATTTCATTCGAGTCTCAGCTTAAATTGTTGTATAGAAATTCCATGCAGAACTTCTCGAACGTATAGAATTGAGTCATTATTATTCTCATCTTGTGAAAGTGCGAGGCTTCCAAACCATTCCACCCAGATTATTAGGTTGATTATTAATCTCAGGATTTTGCGAGTTTATCAAACTTACTACGATGCATAAAACCTATAGCTCGAAAACCCAAAGATAAAGTTCTGGTTGTTGTGTCACCTGCGTCATTATGACAATGGCAAAGTTGTACGTAAGCCAATGTCGCAGGCATATAGTACTATTTAGTATTGAAGAAGAGGAGAAATTGGACTCTTTTCTCATGCATAATTGCCTCATGTCTGTATTGTCGTATTGTATCATCCATCTCGAGTTTCATCAATTCGATATCCAGCCAGAGCCATCGGTGTTTGGAGCACAGCACAATAGTCGAGCTTTTGAGGAGGTGGATGAAAGAGAAAGTATACGCAGTGAAGAATATCTGCCCAAAGTAAAGCATGCTCACGTGGATCATTCGTTTCATGAGATTTTATTTCTCTGTCAACTACATAAGGATCAAATCAATAGCGAAATCCGCTCGGATTTATGTACTTACTTTCTTCATGGAATTATCGAGACGAAGCTCGTCCTCGAGTAACTGAATGGTTATATTATATCCAACTAACTAATGTATGCAAGTAAATACCATGGAATACGATAAATTACACTATACAAGCAAGTACCGCACTCGTTTTAAGTGATCACATATTTATTACACAACATAAAAATATATAATATATAAAGTCCCGTCATTAAAATTTCAAATTAAATATTTTCATTTCTTGACTATGATACTAAATATTAAATTTCTTTTTGTATAGATTTGATAGTTACATTTTCACAATTTTTTTTACATATTGGAGATGTCTGATTGTACTTGTTTTGTAATTTTGAACTCGATTTTAAAAAACGACATGAATAATAAGAGTAAAAAATAAACAAGAAAACAAGAAAAAACCCAATATCTAGTGTAGAATCCACCTTAGGGAGTAAAGAATGACTGCAAGAAGTACATATATTATTCTAAGGTGATCACAAATATGTATGAGACTCAAACAGAAGAGATGCGTGGAATACAAATAATTATTACAGAGTATTGACCTACATATGTACTTATGATAACTTGATCTATAGGAACGAAGAATATCGTATAAGCAAGATTTGGAAATTTAGAGTAATAAATATTCCACGAACTCCTCACAACACAACTCTTCGTGAATAGTAGATTACTTATGAGGAGAACAATCGAATTGACAAAAGCCTGGCGAATCTTCGTGGGATAGAGAAATAATCAAAGCTCGACATAAACCACATCTGCCAAGTTAAGTCAGAGCAGAATTCACACAATATGGACTTTCTTTCTTCTGTACATGCATACGTTCTGTAAAATATGAGACAGGACAGCCTGCTTTTTCAAAGATGGGTCAAATCGGATCACAGAAAAAGCAGGAAGGACAAGAATCGATTTAGCATATTATTTATATGTACATACATACAATAAATAGTAAGTATTAGCACTATATTTTTTTAATGGACTTAATTTTTAAGGGTGTTGGTTAACATCGGTATCATTTATAGAATTGGAATCACAAGCGTGTATATATGATTTTTTGTCAATACAATTTGTGTCAAGTTGCCCATTCGTCAAAAATTGAAATTTTGTTTCATTTTAAACTTATTTGATAAAGAATTTATCATAAAGTAGTACTCTTGACTTTTGTCTGAAAAGCTATTTTTCAACTAGATGAGGTAAGTACTTGTGTAGATATGAACTAGATTATGATATACATTATACATTCGAACTGATGGGAAGGAATGCTCCAGAGATTCTCTTCTATTAATCTTGGACTTTCACTCGCTGACTGACTGACTACAGAAAAAGAGAGACAGACCAAAGAGACACGGGTAAAACGGAATTAATATAATGTCAGTCATCAGAAGTTGATTAGAAGAAGAAGAAGATGACGAAGGAGAGAAGAGAAATGGTACGAGAAACCGTTCCGCCAGACACGCCACGCACCTATTTGAAAATGAAAACGTATCTCCGTTATGCATACATACATCACGTCAAAATTGGGAGTGGAGAACCACATGAATTATAAAGCGTTGGATATATAAGGAAAGGACATACATATTTTTCGATAAAACTTAATTATGATTTCCAGGAAGAGGTTCAATTATCCATGGGTTGTTGTGCCGAATCCATTTTCATCGCCTCGTCTCCGTCTGCTGGGCTGGTTTGATGATGAATGCCCAGATTCGGATTTTCACTATCATTATCCTCATCACCATTGAAGTTGAAATCGTTGGTTGGTGGAGAGTTCTGAGAATTCTCATTATCCTGAGCATCGACCATTTCCACTTCCCCTCTGATTATTTCCTCCTCCCTTTCATCACCAATCACGCTCTTGTTGTCCTCCTCCGTCTCCGTCTCCTGGTTGTTGTTGTCCATGGTATTCATCATCTCGTCTTCGCATTCCAGGAAAATCTCATCTCTTCCCTCGCCCCCCATTTCTACTTGAACCAATTGGTCTCGCAAATATTCGTCCCCAAGTTGGTCACCAATTTCAAGTTCCGCCATTTCTTCCGGAACTATTTCAATCTCCATGGCCACTTCTTGCAAAGATAGTTCGATGGCAGTCTTAATTTCCTGGTCATGCAAGTCCGCATCGCTGAGTTCTTCATTACAGACATTCTCTTCGCCTGGTGGTTCATTACTACCTTCTCCATTTGCGGGTGGTTGTGGTAGTGGTGGTGGCGAGGCGTTATTGTTTGCATTCTCTCCCAAGTTGGCAATAACGTCTGCAACAACTTGTTCCTCCTCATTGCTTGGTTGTTGCACTATTTGTTGCTCGGTCTTGATGGAGTTGAAGCTGCTGCTGGGGAGGAAGAATGGGAGTGGAACTGGAACTGGGATGGGGACAGGATACGGAATAAGCAGTGTGACGGGTGGGAGGAATGGATACGCGGAAAACTCATTTCCGCTCCCACTGTTGTTGCTGCTACTACTGCTGCTGCTTCCCCGGCTTACTTTTACCTTGGGCTTCTTCTTCTTCTTCCTCCCACTTCCTTCCTCCTTTTCGTTCCCAGCATCCTCCTTTTTAACCTCGTCAGGGTCAGTTTGGGTGCAAGTGGTGCAGGTCGAGGCTGGCGATGAAGAGCTCGAAGTCATACCTTGTCTTTCTGTTTGTTGATGGCAAGATTTCATAACCAAGGCTAAGCAGTCTCCACCACTGCCCTCGCCAGCATCGTGCTGGGGAACGTGAACCAATGCATTCAAGTGAACATTGTTATTTGGCGAGTTGTTGCAAACTCCTCCCCCGTTGTTGGTAAGGTTGCAAATTTCCTCAGGGGGAGTGATAGGAGGATTATCGTTCCCGGCTGAATTTGCTGTGGTAGCAGCATGATTGATGTTAATTTCTCCATTTTCCTGTCCAAGCAGTGGTGCCGGGGTTGGTTGTTGTTGAGGATGTGGTGGTGAGCTCAGTCCCATCAAGGAGCCGGGAGAAAGTCCTAGAGAGCTGAGGTGCAAATTGGAAATGGACGCGTTGCCGGAGCAACCTTGTTTCTGATTTGGTGAAAACATCATTAATCCACCAGCGTGGAGACCGGAGTGGGTCATCAATGCTCCTGTGGCTGCTGGCCCGTGCCCTTGCTGTTCAAGGATTAACTTATTTTTAAAAGAAATGATATGAGCGATGCAAATGTCATGCTATGCCGAACGTGTAAATAGGTGTGATATGGAAAATTGAAGCAATACCTGTTGCATAACCATGGACGATGGCGGAGGGAGAGGGCGAGGACCGTGGTGGACAATATGTGGCGACATGGCGTGTTGTTGCCCATTCAGGGCTCGAGCAATCTCACTGTTTGCATTAATCTCTGAGAGTCCTGGGGGAAAGTGAGGGTTGTTATTTCCATGTACATTCATCATACCTCCTCCAGTAGAGTTCATCAGCATGTTCTTGTTCTTACTTCGTGAAGGTTTGTGCTGTTCCTGGTGGCCATGACCGCCATTCGGGGGAGGGGGGAGGGCATGAGGGGGATGGGCGTGATGCTGAATGTAAGGTGTCAAGGGTGCACCCGCAGAGTTAAAGTTGATTCCTTGCATGGCTGAGATTGCAGCCATTTGCAGCATTGTCAGGTGGTGTGGATGTGGGACAAACTCCATCTGGAGAAAGTTATTGTGTAAGTTGTTATTCGCATTATTCGCCGCATTGACATTTGCGTTGGTCGCGACGGAATTGGAATTGCCTCGAGACCTTTTTCGAGGAACGGGTTGTGGGGCTGCATTTCCAAAGCTATTGGGGTTATTACTTTGGTGAACTCCTCGAGAGCCTCTTTGTGCCCCAAATTGCATCCCCCGGTCACCATACTGATCCACCATGACGGGTGGACTCATTGCTCGACGCCGTCCTTCTCTTTCAGCAGCTTTAGCGGCATTACTGTTCGCATTGTACCCAGGATGCAATCGACCCTTCAGGGGAAGCTGTTGCACCCTTTGTTGTTGAGACGACTGGTCATGGATAGTTAGATCTGGTCCATATGAAGAGCGTTGATGATGCTGTTGTTGCTGATGATGATTCAGAATGCTCTGTTGTTGATTTGGAGAAAGTGAGTTTGCTGCGGAATGTTGCGAATGTTGTGAATCTACAGAGGGCGAAGTCGTACTGGACGTAGAATGGGTGGTGGAATGATGGTAACTGATTTCTACGTCGGGTGAAGTTTTAATTTGGGGAACCGTATTTGGGGGATGATCATCTCCATGACCAGTAGCTTGGGACAGTCCCTGCTGCTTGTTCTTGCCTCGTCGATTTCCCTGTTTCTTTAACCACAATTCTGGCGTGATTAGCTCTGGTGGAGGAGTTGGGGGTCCGCCACGTGGTGTTGACTCATTGTTTGATTGACCCTGTGACGCCATAATTCTTCTAATGCTGTTGTTGTTCCCACAATTTGAATTAGCGGCAGGGTCAACACCATTTACCTGGTAGTCCTGAAAAGGGGATTTTTGATAAGGGAACTATTAAATATGTAATATTATTTGAAATATGTGTACAAGCATAACACTTGAAACAAGAGTTGACGCAACATTGCAGTAAAATGTTTTGTTGTTGAAAACTAAGCCAATGAATTAATAGCCCGACAATGCACCATTTCCAAGAATCCGTATAAGCCACAACAGTTTCACAAAAGCCACATTGTTACAAAAACTAACCAGGTCCTCTAATAATAAATAAACATAAAAGCAACATTTCCTAGACATACATAATTCGCAATAAATATGTAATAATTAGCTATCAAAAATAAATAATAAAACGGCCAATTTTAACGAGATGTGCTCACCTTGAGTTGGTCCAAATGTGCGGACGTTTCTTCGCAAAATAGTTTGACCTTGTAGTTGTTGAGACACTCCTCGGAGCAAAATCGGCTCTCATCCACAACACCCCCGAAATGCTTCCCAAGGAACGTTCCCGAGCACCAAATGCAATTCGAGCGTTTTTTAAAGCTGTCCCTTCTACACATTTAAGTGAAACAACAAGCTTAAACTATGCCAGGTATTTCTAAATCAATCGTCATGAGCATGCATCAAAGTGGAAGAAAACCCCACGGGACTTGTAAAGTTTCTGACAACGCGAAATTTACCTGTACATGTGGAAGCAAAGCTCTGTACAAAAATCGGATGCTACCCCGTTTTCCACCAGCGTCGAGTTCTTGCCACACCAGATGCACAACTTTCCACTGTTGGCTACAATTAATTTACACACACGTGGGTTTTTTATTATGTGCATTCGAGTCTTATGGTTATGTATTTATTTTAGTGGTGCAAAGCTTGAGCCGAACCTGATACTGGTTTCCTTAAATCAAGCACTTCGTTTCCGGACTCCTAAATATTTTATTATCAAAGAATGATTTGGACAATCCGTCACTTTAGGACTTAATATTTACTTATCAATTCTAATAAAATAAAATTGGTCTATTCCTACTAAAAGTTGGATAAAGACTGGCTGAGGAGGACTGACGACGACTCACCACTTCGAACTATTTACGACCAGTTAAGGTTAGCATAATAATCAGTCTCACCAACGTCTAAACGTGATAAATAACGCCTTTCGTGTTCATTTCCACTCTGCAATCGAACTCTCTCCGATTCCAATTCTTTATAATTTATTACTGATAAGGTTTAGAATGTCGTCTGTGCTTATTTTTTCGAAGATTATTACGACGTAATTAAAGCAAACTGTTATGGTAAAAAAACCAGCCAATAAAAAATAATCTACATGCATACATATACTCGGTAGGAAAAACCGACTCAAAACAAGGGAGACTTGACGAATTAACGAGATGAATTTCTATTATCTCAGCAATAACGAATTGGACACTTGAACTATGCTCGGTTTTGATTTTTAATGTTATTGATTATGTATACATACACTGCCATGTATGTAATAGCGATTGAACTTGCTGGGAACGTTAACAGCTATAATTTGAGACGTTCCAAGTATTGCAAAAACTTTACGACATGTAAGATAACACACAAAAATATCCCATGACGTCTATGCGTGTCCTGTGGAGACAAATTAAACTCAATTCTATATCTCGGTTTCAAATTCAGTTTTTCGACCATAAAATCAATCAGGGTTGAAATTTAATCGGGTGTACATAAATGTGCACCAATTCTTCTTACTCAATTTACTATAGGTACTTAAGTATTTAATAAAATACTTGATTTCATGTAACCGACATTCTAAAAATCCTAACAATCAGCAATTAAATATGAGAAAGGAATGTTAACCTTATTTATGAACGAACGTGCCTTACGAGTTTTTATTGCAGAATAAAAAAAACATGTTTGAAAATACCATGCAAATGTAAAAAAAACAAATGACAAGCAGCTAAAAATATCTTTGAAGAATTGGGAGAAACGAGAAAAAAGTTTAGCCATTATTTCAACAATACTTTTGTATTCAGCTTTCATCTCAATTTGGCATTTGGATTGAATATGTTTCTGCAATTCCTATAAACCTTCCGATGAAAGATAAAAAATAAACTTTTTCGGGATCTAAAAGTAAATACAGAGTCGATTCGCATACATATATCATTAAGAAGAAATAAAATGTTGCTAATCTATATCCATCAAAAATACGCCATATCGCGTAATACATAATCATCTAAAAATACATGTTTCATCTTTCAACAAGTTGTTATAAAAGTTGGGCACGTGGAGTTCCCTTCCGTTCTGAAGTCGTGATTGATACTTTCACAAATAATTTTTTTGATGGCTTAATCATTATTGTTTTCAATTCATTTCCTACTTTCGTCACCAGAAAGACCTTTCCTCGCTCACGTAGGCAGAATCACACAAGCAAACTAATTTTCGACTTAATTTGTCGCATAATGAATAATTTCGTTATGATTGATGGTATTAGTCTTTCAAGCCTTCCTTCCAAAATTAATAACGCTCAATACGAAATTTTTGATCTGGCATCTCCAGCTTAGTCATTACGTGCCAAACTGTCCCAAACTTGTGCATGCGACGTAGTCCTAATATATTAATATTAACAAAAAGAGGTTGTGAGCAGATTTGAAAAAGAACACAAATTGTGCATATTTATAAATCTCGACAAAATTTGATCGATTCAACATCAAAGAGACGAGACGACGACAAACTTCCTTGTATCCAATTAAATCCACATCTCTTACAAGTATTTACCTCGTCCTCCTCACCCAAGATAAAACAATCGGGGACAAACAGGTTTATTAAATTGTGTTCCATTTCATTCTTCTTCTTCTTGAGTTTAGTTTATGCAATGTTTGTTTTGTTGCTGGATACAACAATACAAACCACTTTAAAACTGCTCTCTCAAACATATCTACAACATATCATATGGGCTCTATACATGCATATCCACTGCGTCCCGATTTCTGGAGAGGACTGTTTTGAGGCTCTCTTCTGAAGAGACGAAAATGACGAACAAGGCTGACACAAAATAAAATCAACATTAGGAGGAGAAAGAAGAGACGCATATCCGGTCGAGTGAGTACAAACAAGTCCAAGTTTTAGCTGGGAGAGCAGAAAAGAGAGATTTCAAGTGCTATCCTGGAGTTGGCATGGCATGTCATCTCAGAGCTTTCTCTCTCTCTCTCTCTCTTCTGCTGCCTTATGCATCATATTATAACTCACTCACTCACTCTTTCAGTCAAATCAATAAAATATGTTTTAGGGAAAATTCTGGCTAAAATCAGAGTCTGTTTGGGTGCAAAATACACACAAGAGGACTTAGCTGAAACTTGGCAAACATATCCGCATCATCCGGAGGGGATAGATTACGGAAGTTCAAATTCTGCCCTCTATTATTTTTGGGAATTTAGAGTCGTACAGATTAATGTGACAGTATATCCTTGGGATGGAAGGTCCTATATCGTAATTAATAAGGTAGGAAATCTGACCAGTTTGACGTAACAAAAACTTCGTCTAATCATGTACGTCAACAATGCCCGTTATTTGTGTCAACATCTTCGTTGTTGAACATTCCCTTAAAAATGTGATGATCATTATAATTTAATTGACAAGGCGCAATACAAAAACGAGACTTGGGTGATCAATATTTTGTGGGAATATGTAATGGCCCTTCACAGTGGTTACATAGGATATGCATATTACGTAATCGTAATAATATGTTTACATGCGGCATAATATGCATGAGAAACTAGTGATTGTTTGATAGCTTATCCATCTTCAGATTTTTCCCAATCCTTATCCTGCACGTTTGTGAGTAAATGAGTCACTTACATAGTAAAGTATGCATACACATGTAATAAGTACGTAATGGGAGAGGAGAGAAGGTGATAGTGTTTCACCGGTTTATTATTTCGGGGCGAAGATCGAGTTGCTTTCTGCTGCTACCCGGGAGGGTTTCTAATTTCTTTGAGAAGAGGCAACCATCCAAACTGCCTTCACTACTTTTCAAAGCTTTAATGCCATTGCTGCTATCCACCCAAAAAATCTAACCAACAACGCAACATAATAGAAGTACATATGTAAGAGTGAAATATCCAAATGCTAGTATTCACCCGATACTCCGGGGTCTCCTCTTTCCATTTTTAGATCGGATTACCCACCTCTCTCTCTCTCCTCCACGATACACACACAAGCAAATCCCAAAAACCTTTCTCCAATTTCCATCAGCCATGCTGACCAGACCAGACCAACCAACTATGCATATGACATGAATATATATATCTACAAGTTTTGTCAGCATTTCTGTATAAATGCATGATATGATTCCTTCACCATAACGTAATCCTACTTCCATAGAGCTTACTGTTTGCTCAAGTAATAAGAATGTGTAGCTAGGTATCTATATGTGTTTCTTTTCAGTGGTGAGATGTGTACGTAAGCCGTTCGTTCTTGGGAAAAATGAGAATTCTATATAGAATTTATTTTACCATCTAAATGTGACGACCAACAGGAGTAAATAAGTGATGATCAGATACTAAGTATTTTCCTGGAAAGTCAAATGTAGTTGAGCTCTTTACAAATGAGAGGTTCATAACTTGCTTGAACCTGGGTGCACGACCCAAAGTGATGTCAAACCCCAGAGAAAGCGGCAGCAGTAGGAGAGAAAGAATGTTTTTGCTAACCCGTAAAGTAGGAAAAATAAGCAACTTACCTCACGTGGGTGGTGTTGTTGTTGATTATTATCCACAGTTTCCTGCTTGATCCGCAGCCCTGTCCCACCTCCCCCAATCATGCTTTCATTTCCATTGGCCATCGTATGATACACTCCCATGTGTTTTGCGTGGTGATTGTTGTTGTTTACTGTCGTCGGGTCGGACGAAATTGGCCTCCCGTTGATGGCCGTGACGATAATTGCAGGGGATGAATCGGACGAATCTGTCTCAGAAGCTTGCCGTAGGCGATTTCTCTCTTCTTTTCGAATAAGAGGAAGAATCATAAGATTAGATTTGTTGGTCAGGATTTCCGTGACGCGTTGTTGCCTCGTGTCCGATCCAACGTCCAGTTTCCCCACTTCGCACGCCAAACGGCTCAAATAGTTCAATTTTGACAGATCCACGTTCTCGTCCAGGATGGGTTTATTTGTCCTTGTAACGGTCACTTCTGGCTGAGTGACAATCACGGTTATTTCTGGTGACCCGGATGATTTGAACCCATTTGGATTTAGTTGCAAGGGCTCACAAGTGATCTTATTGTGGGCAGGGTGGTGCTGTTGCTGTTGTTGTTGCGGGTGATGAAGGGGGTGGAGTACTTCGGGCCCACAGGGGTAGACGGGGGGTGGTCGGATAGCAGTAGTTCTACTATTCAAATTGATGGGCTGCGAAGAAGTGGATGGTCCATAAGCGGACGGGGTCACATTAGTACCTCCACCGCTTTCTCTTAATTGGTTATGCTGAGGATTGTATTGATGACGAATACTTAATGCTTTGGAGGGCGGAGGAAAGCTCATACCATGATTCTTACTGTTGAGATTGATGGCACTAATGCTTATTTCCGGGATGAAAGGTCTCGGCTGAGCGGACGCTCTTTTGTGGGGGAAATACTGCTGGCCTTCAATGTTGTTGGGCTTTGAAGCGGGTGCAGAGTCGACTTGATTTGCTTTCCCTGGGACGTGGTGGAGAGGGGGATTCTCGTTCAGTACGTAATTCAGACTAATATTGTTAGAATCGCTGCCAACATGGTTAATTCCAGTCAGATTGGATACATTAACGGTTTGATAACCGGCTTGCACCTGTTGGGAGAAATTAGCATAGTTTTAAATAAATCTCATAAAATGAGACGAGTAGTGAGACGCCACGCACAAAGTTTCCGTATCAAATTTACGCCATCATGCAACCACTACAGACGTAAACGTAACTCTCACTAAACATGACCTACTACAACACCGAGCACGATTACACAAAGTTGGAATGCGTTTGTGGAGGAGAAATTCGGAGCGTGGTGGTTACATACCTGTTCGGGAGCAGGAAACCATTGGTACGGGTGCACTGCTGGATGGTGGAATTGAAACTGATGGGCTGGTTGTTGTTGCTGCCGAGAGTCACAACCCGTTCCAAAAAACTTTCCCCTGTTGTGCAGTGGCGGTGGTGGGGGAAAGATGTTGTACCCATTGACTGGTGGCAGAGGTGGTGGTGGTGGAAGGTGTAGTTGTGGCTGAGTCGTCGTATGCTGATTATGCTGCTTTCTCGACCCCAACTCCAAAGTATTGCTCCTCACCTCTTCGTCGCGGTGCTTGCGATGCTTCTTGTGAATTTCACTTTCTCCACCTTTGCTGAACTCTGTCAGAGATCTCGAGCTGCCACCAACTGCAGGGAGGTTTGGAGGAGGAGGAGGTTGTGGTCGTTGCTGTGCTACGCCAAAGTGATGAACGGTATTCGAGGGTTGCAACAAGTGGTGGTTTTCTTGAAAGTGGTGGAAGGTTGGAAGGTTGTTGTTCGTTGGACAGCAGGGAAAGTATTGATTGGGATTTGGATGATGAGGTAGCCCCAAAGGTATGCCATTTAAATTCCCAATAGCGGAAGAAGTTGAGGTAAGGTTGATGGGTTGTTGAGATGCTGATGACGACGATGGTGGTGGTGGTGGTGTTGACAAAAGTTGCGAAGAACCAGGTGCAGCCGTCGCCGTCGATGAGGGGGTTCTTCTTCGATTTTGCCTGGATCTCTTTTCTCCAGGTTCAGATTTCTGGTCGGTTCTTCTCCTTCGTCCAGACCCTCCTGCCATCTCCGCCTGTTTCTCCTGAAAACAATACGCATTGTAATAATAAGATACGTTTGAGTTGGAAGACTATCCTCATTACTTTCTAAGCCGGCACAATCTTTAACAAATAAACATGCATGATGTGGGCGTAGATAGGAAGTTGGGGGATCATAGTTCAAGGTATACGGATCTAGCCAGGCATTATACGCTATGCATTCAGTAAACGAGAAACTGTGGCCGCGGTTGACAAAATTTGCTATGCAATTTTTTCTAGGAAATATTACTCACGGCAACTAATTGAGCCGTGCTGGATCCATCTGTTTAGAGTTTCTGTATCCAAACTACAATGATCCATGTGCCGTCGTATAGGTTTTATATATTATATATTATTATTTAACTACGTTAACTAGTACCAAGAGGCAAGGACCCTCCCGTTCTTTTCAACAGCCGTGGCGTCTACAAGTAACCCTAGCCGTTGTAAAGAGAGACTCCATCCTTGGCACCCAACCAACCATGTTTTCAAGAAATTGAGAAGAAACTGTCATATTGTGACATGAATCATGCTCTCACTCCAATTTCAACTGTTTCCCCAAGAATTAAGGATGGAATATGGAGAAAAAGACACAAGACATCATGCGACATATCTGTTACCGGTCACTTACCAAAATGCGGGGAATTATTATTAACGAAGTAACTGTATTCTTCTTCTTGTTATTGTCAACTCTGAAGAGAGGAAAAAGCTACCTCTTTTCGCCCCCGCCGGATAAAGTATGCACATGAAGAAATAAGAAATCTTGTTTTTTGCACTCCTCTCTGTGCTGTGTCAAATATATCACAAGTTGATTACGAACTACAAAAAACAGCAACAAGTTACCAACATCCGGAACCAAACTGAATTGTTTTAAAACAACAAATACTGTAGTTCCAGCAAACGACAAATAAACTAATAAACGGGAAGCACGAGGAGTGCAAAATAAGTCACAGATCACCGCCTAGATAAACCAACCAACTAACTCAACATGGTAATTTTTGCCATCCGATCCCCGTCAATGAGACCTTAATCTTACACGTAGCTATTTGAGCACTGCTTCATTTGCGTTTTGTACTTGTCCTCAAATTTCGCAGTCCTTCAACTTTAACATGTTCACCCATTCAACATGAATGTCTTGCTCCATTTACGCAAAGGGCTACGTGATATGCAAAATCGCCGTCAGTTTGAGTAGGTATTTCTCTCAATCTTTTTAGAATTTCAGCCTAATTTAATCTGAGCACTTCGAAAATGCAAAAGATTCTTTCCTTCATACATTCGACCACCTTGTTGCTGGCCATTAGAAGTCTTGGTAGCTGTGACCATCTCGTCTGCGGTTTGCTGGCAGCTTTATTAGTGAAGTGTTCCTATGTCTGTATAACTCTTGTACATATTTTGTATTTACCTTTGTGCGTTCTGTTGCTACATATTTATTTATTTGATGGTCTTCATATTCCAGCCATCTACAGGGTGTTAATAAAGTCCGATCCCATTTTTCCTGTAAAAAAGTGAAGGCTAGTATAAAAAAAAACTACCCGTGATACTTACAAAAAATGTTCGACATATTTACCTTAGTATTTGGTCTTGTTACCATTTACTTTAACCATGCCCTCAACTCTTTGTTTAAGGCTCTGTGCTAATTTTTCCAATGTGCCTCTGGAAATCGAATTCCATACATCTTGAACTTTTTTTTACTAGCTCTTCCCTCGTTCGGGGTTGTGGCTCTTTGTATACATTTTCCTTAAGTATGGACCACTGGTTCTTCAGGGGATTCAAATCTGGGCCGTTAGCGGCCCACACCCCCTTGCTCCAGACCGTTGAAACTTGCGTCTTGATGAGACTCAAACTCGCTTTTGCTGTATGGGCTATAGCACCATCCTGCATGAAAACTATTTTTCTTTCATTCGGAAATATTTCCTTGTTCCCCATGCTATCGAAATAGATAGGTAATATTTTTTCCATATAATGCTTTGCATTGACTGATTGGCCTTTTGGTATGATATGTAGAGGGGTCACGCAACGTGCACAAAATCCACCCGCTACCATAACTTTAAGCCCGAATTTTGGGATCGCTCTTGATGGTACATCCGATTTGTTTTCTGTCCTGTAACGAACATTTTGTTGGTTCAATTTTGGATATAGTTCAATAATAGATTCGTCAGTCCAAAGGATGTGACTGCGCAATTCTTCACCAAGTCTTTTTTCACTCAAATGGGCACTTTTCTGAAGGAGTTCTTCAAATTTCAGACGGTCATCGATATATTTTTGTGACATGAGAGGTTTTTTTGGTTAGTTTGTAAGCTGTGTGACCCCACTTCGTAGTTTTCACAAATTTTTGCACGGTCACACAGTTAATTTGCTTCTTCTTCTCTTTATAGAGTTTTGAGTCATTTAACTCCCTTGCTCAATTACGTAATGAATTACCGGTTTTCTTGCAAAGTCTGTTTTTAATCATTCTTTTTGTGGTAGGTGACACCTTTCTGGGTCGCCCTGGTCGCTTTTTGTCGTGGACAAAATTTTTATTCTTCCATTTCCAAACAGTTCTGCGGCTGCAGCCCAATTTTTGCACAATTTCTGTAGGTTTAAGCCCCTGCTGATGCAATGTTTGTATCTCAACTCTAAGATGCTCATGACTTACACGTTTAGTTGTTCCTCCCATGGTAAAAACTTGAAATAAATAACTTCACTGGTTCAAAAGTTCCAGCTGAATTTGTAACAACCACGCTCCAAAAAATGCATGGGATCGGACTTTATTAACACCCTTTAATAAGAAGGGGAGAAATATGATACATGAGCAAAAGTACGCATTCGGAATCTTGTACCGTACGACTACTGTGGATTTTAATCCTGTTGATGATGACATTGCCATGCTACGAGTAAACTTCCGAATTGTTTCCTTCCCTTGACCCCCGGTGTCAGGTTGGTTTTTTTTATCATTTCATTCGCAATCATTTTACTTGGAGACAAAAGAAAATAATAAACAATACACGCTCACCAGCAAACTAGACGTGCCTTGCCTACAACAATAGACGATGACGAGAAATCTCATATTTTTTGGGGAATGTGAAACTGGAATTCGAATCGAAATCTTTATTAAAATGTATTGATTAAAGAAATCTCTTTCTCAATGTAATAATGACATTTATAAGTCCAATTGTTATCTAAAATGAAACCTAATATTACAAAATTTGTCATTTTATGGCTAGTTATACGTAAAATGTAATCAAGAGTGAAAAGTAGGATAAGTTACTCTCAAATATTTAATAACTAACTGCAAATGTACTATATACCCAAACACATATTAATCCAGACTGGGTAAAATATTTAATGAATGTATGTCATCATTATACTAGGAAATAAAAGTCTCAGTTCCTAACCCGTCGTAGTCTCATTCCCAGAAATTCTCATTTTTCATCAACAACCAATGTCTAATTTGTAGAGTTCTTGCTTTTCCACGAAACTCTTGTAAGATTGAGTAATATTATTACGTAGAATCTGTACGTATCATGTGACCCAATGTAATGCCATCCGATCTCTTATCTGATGAATGACAAAAAGAACAAATGACTGCACCATCATGTACTCGCATTGTTGCTATAAATGTACAACACCCGACGAGTCAGTGCGTGGATTTATTGAGGTTCAGCTACAAAGAGATTTTTATCAAATTCAAGTTGCCCCATGAATTTTGACACCTATCCAGCATTTTGTTTTTCATCGAGATTATATTGTTTGTCGTTCGGATGTGTGTAAAATAAAGAATGCAGTCATAAATAAATCATTGTTATTTTGTGGATAACAAATTTTGCCTAAAGTTAGACCCCAATTGAACTGCAGTGACTTTAACGATATTCTTGAGATTTGTCACACTCTCTCAGAGTTCCAAACCAGCACCCTATGCATGGATAAGTCAGGGTTACACAGATACTTATAAAGATTAAGAATACAATTGTGTTTTTCAAATTCAACCTCTTAACGGCTGCATAATTAGTTTCGGAGAAATGGGGCAATAAACTGAGAAGAGAGGTCTCAAATTATTGACTTGTAAACTAAAATCTCAATTTACAATCCGTTTTTGGTTGCCAACTCATATGTACAGAACTGTATGAAAAAGTATTGAAAGCTGCACTTGGCTAAATCCGATACCCACCAACCCGACCCCAACCAAGCCCAGAACCAGCGTTGCTTCCTTCCAGGCACAGCTTGCTTAAATGAACCAATTTACATTTACACGGCGGATATACAGCTAGTGAGACTTTGTCTCTAGTTACGCTAAAAGGAGAGAAGATGCTGAGCTGAGACGATGATGAGAATTTTGTTCGTTCCAACCAGTTTATTTCGTTACTTGATCCCTTATCTTTGCCCAGTATGAAGGGTTAGCAAGCAAACAAATATTATGAAATATATATTTATTTTTTGTATTGGGGTACGTATTTATTAAGTATTTAAGATATGCGATACTATGAAATACATAAGTCTCGGATAAGCTTCAGCGAGTTTGAAGGCCCATATTGAGGTTTTGACTAATGAAAAGTAGGACCAACGACATAATAACGACAGCAATAACCGACCAACTGGTGAATTAATTTACTTATTATTGTAATGAATGCATCAACAAAAGAAAGATAAATTGCTCTATATGATACAAACAATAACTGTCTCAAGCATCTGATCTGAGCTAATTGCATCATAATCAATTGCGGTGGTGGAAAGTACTATAGAAAAGTAAGTAAAAAATTAAAACAGTTTTCCCCATAAATAAAGTAAAGCTGCAATCTGGCTGAATATTATTGCAGAGTTGACTTGATATTCGATATCTGGTCGTGAAATCTGAGCAGGAGAGATGGGATCGGGTGAACGCAATCAATTATTAAAATGGTGTAAGGATCATGAAATCGGAGATGCCTTAGCTTACGATTAGTGAGTCTCTCTCTCTCTCCTTATCAACAAATGCATATATTATGCTTAGCCCTTACTTAATGTATTTTGATGTAGACACGTATGTACATTGTGTGTATGCAAGCATATCCAACTTTGGTTAAACAAATAATTGTGCCTACTTTTTTTTGATAGGCATTTAGTTCGTTTAGATAGCAATAATCTCACAAGGTGCAGATGCATGTGGATAATAATAAGATTGTTAACGTGAAGTTGAATTGTATATGTACATGTGCAACACTATTAACCTGTGACCCCCTTGCTTTCACCTATTGATAACTTGGGTCATTATGGAAAATAATTAGATGGACCTATTCCATACGTGTGATTGACTCTGAGAATGACACAATGGAATTGACCAGAGAACCCTTACTTTTAATCAACACTGACGCCAATAAGTCTGCCAAGCACATTTATTCATGCAAACCATACGAAAACTTATTTCTTTCTTACCTTACTTGTGATCTGCCTTATGGATTTTTATGGTGGATAAGTATGACGTGTGTAATCGTCAAAATGTACGTATAAAAATCGTACATAAAAATCAATAAAGTTGGCCGAAAGAAATATGGAACGTTATTATGTCACAATGAACTGGAATGTAAAAATTCCAAGCTTTATGAAAACAGTCATGAAAGCAGCATGGCTTATGGCTTGGCTTTTGCAGTCATATTTTAATTCCCTGTTTACAAAACATTTCCATCCATCCATCAAAATTAGAGAGAAATATGGCACTTTGATAAACAAATTTATTTTAAAGTTAAACAATTCTTTAATCGAACCGAACGAAATTATTTATCACGCCATGCACACATAACACAGTATCAGGTGCAAAGTTGAGAACTACGCCACGTAAAAATGGTGTCAGTAGGAACTACCGAGCTGTCAATTTCCAAGTAAAAACAAGGCATCTCATTCATTTGAAAAATTAAATAAAAATAAGTTATCAGCCCGAGTCTGTCTCATGAAACCGTCGTGTCCGTCTGCAGTCCGATAGAAGCAAACGGCTGAACCGATTGAGTTCAAATTTTGCAGACATGTATGTTAGAAAAAGTTAGGAACTAAATTCGAACATGAGCAAAGATCGGTCAAGTGGTTGACCTGTGGGGGTCATAAGGTATTATGCACCAAAATTTTAAAGTGGTGTTAGAAAACTGAAATTTGGCACACATGTAATGAGAGTTTCTGAGGTGAAAATGGAAAATTTTCAACCAAAAGGACCCTAGGGGGTGACCAATACTGCTTTTTTAAGTTATTATTTTCAGCTGAAATTTAGCATGAAGGCTAAACATGACTTCTGCGTAGCAAATACAACTTTGGAAGTTAAAGATTTTAAAGAAGTGGTCCCTACTGGTCCAGGGATGTCAAGGGGAAGGATTTATAAATACTCAAAAATTTGGTGCCAAATAATGCATTTAACAAACATTTCCCACTAATCCTAAGTAGTAGTCCGGTCAATTCAGACCCGGACTCTGTCCCTGATTCGTCGGGCTCAATGAACAATGATGTACACTGGAGATTTTTTCAATAGAATTTGCCCCAGCTACAACACGCTCTATGGCGAAACGCTACATAAAAATTGTATAAATTTTACATTCTTGCTTGCTGGACTACTTGTTAAATATGTGCCTTATGATTCCACTCGATTATTTATCACCTAAATTTTATGCACATAAATAATGTTTGAAACGAATCAAATTGAAGATAAATGCTTATGATGAGTTTTTGAGAAAGATGAAGAGAAAGATGGTCAACTGGAAATGCTAAATCACTTTCCGCATGAATAGTTATCTTTCTCCACAACTCCCCCAGGAGAATTAGACTGAGGACATGTGCATAAGAACAATATCACAACATTATAACTCACCCGTATTGTATTGTTGGCAAGTCGCAAAGCACGATGGTCAAATGAACCACGAGGAACGCCACGACAGTTATTCAATGTTCGCAGCACAACAATATGTTTGCATTTCAAGCACCGATCGAACACTTATTAAATGCAGTTTACTTAAAATCCAATCAAAAGTACGGACTGATTGTGACAAGCTTTGAATCTTTGACGGACTTTGAAGGACAAGTATTATGAATTCATGTAATAATGAAACGTGAACTATAAAATTTTTCTCTATGCTCTCCTCCTGCCAACCCCCGACACAGGCAGCAAATGAACGAGAAATTAAAAGTCGTATATTACTGCGTCAAGAGAAATCGTTGAAAATTGTTTTGAATTCGGTCTGATTGTAGCTCCAACCACCACCATTTGTTGCCCTCTTCATTGTGAAGGAGCATTTTTTAATGGAAGCCATCAATTTCATGAATAGAGCGAGTCGGAGTAGAAGCCATTCTGGAAAATATTTTTCCCTTGAACTTCACGTTATCCGTGTGATTATGACCCATTGTTGTCCCATTATGGTTACGACTTTCATGCAGTTGGTTCAACATGAGTATGAGTTTTATGCGTTTGCCCTTTGTCTTATCATGGCGATAAGTAGTCTCAGTATTAACAGTGGAAGTGTGAAGATATTAAAAATGTAAGAAAAAAGCCATAAAGATTAGAATAAATAAATAAAAATGTATGAAAAACCTTCCGGTGTTGACAACAAGCAGCCTGCGAAGACAAAGGTGGTGGTTGGGACTTGGGGTTGGGAAGAGATTGACCACCAAAAGTGACGATGACACTTGTTTGTCTCACACACACGCGTGGCTGATTAAGCCAAGTCCAGACCACGATCCGATAAAACGTCTCAACCGATTAATGCCAGACTTAACAAGCATAAAATGACTGGACATGCATGCTCTTGATAAAAGAAGGAGATTGACAGTGGATATGTAGGCACCACAAGGAATAAAGTCGCAAATGTACACCCCATTTGGCACCCGATGAATGAGAAAGCTTGGGGTTGGGAAAGCTGAGAAGGAAGGATCAAAAGTTGAAGATGTCCCCCGTGGGAAACGACAACGTGGTTTCTCCTCAGTTGTTATTTGATAATCAGCCATAAACCAAGGTGCGAAGCGACTAAAACTACTACAGATAAAGGAATGCGATGGAGGTGGAAATATCCATTAGGCGACTTATTCATCATTATGCTTCCTGGAAGAGTAAATGAGAATTGTTGACAATAAACAATATGGACTAATAGAAGTTTGCATAATGTATGTGCATATGTATATGGGAGCTATGTAAAATTGTGATATCTAGATTACGTGGAGAATTAAAAACTATCATGAAAATAAAATATTGCAATCCATATATGCTTATCCTAGAATATATTTTTACTTGAATTAAGCTATAACTCACAAACAAGGGACAATTTTGTATGTAAACGACATGTAACAAATTAAGGTAAAACTTGTAGGCATTTTAGTAGTTCTTTCAGTAATACGAATAGAGATTTGAAGGTTATTGATATTAAATTGGATTAATTCGTGTAATAATTATTACATAAGAATAAAATAATAATACAGCACAATTAGGAAAGTTCTGAAAGTACAAAATATGAAATTACAAAATATGGCTTGAATTAAAAACAACTTTGTAAAAAACGTGACAAAAAAAGTACGTCATTCAAAATATAATTTCCCTTAATTAGCTTCTTTCCTCCATAATCGAACAAGTACTAGAAAATACTAATGCTAATTTCCTGAATTGTTATTGCAATGTATATGATTTGTAAAAATAGTTTGCATAAAAGCATAATATTAAATATCGATTTGTACTTTCAGTGCTTACGAATGAGTAACAAATAGCATACACACTTATTACAATATTCATTCGTTGTAGCAATAAAAGCAGCACCTACATAAATATGGCTTATCAACACAGTAAGTAATAATCATGACTAAAAGCATGATATACTGGCCATCACAAATCGTAATCACAGTTTTTCTAAGATCATAGGTAACACGTTGCATATAATACATTAAATTTTTAGGATGAGCACAAGTTTAAAAAGCATGGTTAACATAATTTGCTAATACCACTATAAAATTACTCCTGGCACGCAGCATTTATCTTTTCAGTCGGATTCCAAAGCGTAACTTGTTTATCTTTTGAGCTCGCTAGTATTGTGTAGCGTTTGGACAGATCATCAGCCATGGGACTAAAGAACACTATGCTAGTTATTTGCTCTGAATGATATCGAAGTTGATGAATGAAGGTCAAAGAGCCAGTTTTGTAAATTCTGATGACCCCGTCCCATCCTCCAGTCACGAGAAGCCGACCATTTGGGTGGACATCCATAGCCCCTGTACCCTTTGTTGGAACTGCTATTTTATCTCCGAATTCAAGGACCTTGGTGGCATGATTTAAAAGAATGGGATACATGAAGGCATTGTTTGTCCCAACCACAACCTTGTTTACGAGAGGATAAAATGCGGAACACAGGGGACTTATTAGTTCGTCTGAAGTCTGGTCCGATTGCTGTCGATCTGGCATTCCGAGGGTCGTTTTATGGTTGAGATTCAGGTTGTTTTGCCAAGGAATCAAAACCACTTGTTCCGTTCCATTGTCACTGACTACGCGAATGACATTAGACATCTTCAGTGTTCCCTCCTCTGTTCCGTACAACAAAAATTCTTCTCCATCAGTAAGGGATACCAGTTTCAGAAACATGATCATACATTTCACATATTCAGTTTTCAGCAGTGGAGGCAATGTGCTGCTTTCTTCTTCTGATTGTTTCAGATGTGATATTCCGATTACCCCAATTTTATCATAACCATAGGGGAAGAAAATCAGGTCCCTATGTACTTGTAGAGTGCAAAAACCAATATGGGGAGCATATGTTGTGAGCACGGTGAATGGGGGTGGAGATGTACTGCTATCTTCTGTGACATATTTATTTATTGCAAGTCCACCATGGCGACTCTGACTAACAATAAATAGGAACTCTTCGTTGTTGTAGGCCCGAGAGAATACATCAGCTGCTATCAATTGCTCTTGATGCAACGGAATATTTCCGAGCTTTCTCTTACCCTAATTTCAAGGAAAGATATATTCATAAATTTAAGAATAAATTTAAAGAATTATATTTTTTTAAACGTTAAAACTGCTTTCTTACGTCATTTGACCATACTTCAACGTAACCGTCCAATGCCACGGTACAAATAGCTGATACCTTCTCTCCTGATACTGGAAATAATATTGGGAAAGTCTTAGATACAGGGGAGAAACAAGTAATGATGACGTCCGGGGTGTCTTCAGGTGGCGACTTTAATCCAAGTTTTAACATAGCTTTCAAACTGTTTTCAACAAAATAAATAATATAGATGTATGTATGTGTATAATAATAATATATATGTATTTGATTTATTTCTTCATTTTTCTCATACTTACATGGTAGTCATTGTAAATGTTGATAGGCACAATAGGGCGAACCAAAGTATCAAAAATTCATGGACTGCACTGTAACAAAAAACGCAAAAATTATTGTATAACACAAATGGAAATTATACTACAATTAACGACTAATCGACTATAATAAAAAAATCTATACTCAAAATCCTAATTTAATAAAATTAAACACAAACAAATATGAGTCGAGTTGCCAAAATATCAGAATTAATTAATAGAATTGTTAATTAACAGAATTATTAATAGAATTGTTTGTTAGTTACAAAAAGTAATTACAATTATTTTCAATAGTAGAGTTCGTAGTCATTAATGATATTGTAACGAACGCTACAGTATCAAATAAATTAGTTTGCTCAAGACTTCAACAGCAATGAATTTCATCTGGAAAATTGGAGCAAAACAAAATTTAAAACGGTTCCGTTTTAAATTTTGTTCTCCCGAGAATAAAATGGGAACAAGCATTAATGCGGCATTACCTTAAATGATGAAAATCGAACAGTAATTCCAGCTCAAAAATGACAAAAAGTTGGGCAAGAAGTAGAATTTTGAGCAATGATTGACATGGCCTATTTCAACTGAGATACAAGATAATGCGGAGACTATAATTTTGCTTCTCCCATTCTCGAATGGCACTGGCACAAAAAGCAACGAACCCAAAAGCACATTTAAGTCGCGTTTCTTTCACGCGAGGCCAGACCAATGTTTTTCCTTCGCGGAAGCAATTTCGCTCTGCCCCTGGTTTCTTCTCCTCCACAGAATTGGAGGAGTAATTCCTCATTCCACCACCGATACGATCAGTGATCACCATTGGTGATTCACCAACCAATTTTCTACCTGCATTTTACTTCTCAGTTTTTTAAATAAGGTCATAAGGACCTTCTTCTAAAGAGAATGACACCACAGAACAATTTTTACGAGCACAAACAAGACAACGGGGACCTAAACTATAGAAATGAAGTAAAAATCTTGTTTGGGAGGCAACGAAGGAATTAAAAATGAAAAACAACCCAAATGCTTGCAAAAAATACATCCCCCTCCCAATATGATTGATAAGCGAAATAATAAATGAGTATCGACTAGAAACATAAAAATAAATTTTGAAATAATCTGACCAGAACTGTTCCACGCCATCAGTCTCTTTTTTAGTGAGAAAAACAATAAACCGGGGAACCGGATAAGTGACTTACCCGATAACTGCAATGGCTTTCCTAACTGAAGATCCCAGAGAAAAAAATCGAACAAATTTTAAAAAATTACAAAAAAAACGATCCGATCAGCAGCAGCAGGGCAGCAGAGTCAGTCCAGGAAGCTGAAGTGTGAGCTGAGTGTAATTCAGATTACTGAAGTGTATTACTGAAGTGTGAGAAAGTGAGTCGTGTGAGAATTTTCTGCTGGACTCTCGTTGAGTGAGAGGCGAATGCCCTAACAAAATTTGCCGACCGGCATCATGTCCAGCCAGACTTACAAAAAGGTCAATGCTCTTCTCGCCGCATGTTTTATATGAACTTTATACTTTTATTCAACATTAATTCCAACCCACAAGAATTATGATTACAAGTAAAAAAAATTATGATTTCCAGAATACTTTTCAAATTGATAGAAATATTAACTGATTGACATTAACATTGGCTAAGAAAGCGGCAGATAACTTATTTTGATTTGTTGGTCGAGTTGTTCGTGAGATGATAATATTTTAAAGTTTGCTCATCAAGAGGACTTGGCGTGTTACTGAGAGGATCTCTTCCTTCTGATGATTTTGGAAATGCGATCACATCACGGATAGAATTTGCATCGCTCCAAAGTGCTACTAAGCGATCAATTCCTGATAATGATGTAAATTTAACAGAGATGATTAGAAATGCACAAGATTATAAACATACTACTTGATTGATAACCATTTTTTAAGTACCAAGGGCAAATCCGGCATGAGGAGGACAGCCAGAGTCAAGAGCGGTTAATAAGTAATCAATATCTGACGTTGGAAGTTTCAAGATATCGAAAATATGGCGTTGTAGACGAGAATTGTGTATTCGGACGGATCCACCACCGATTTCATTCCCTTGGAAGACTAGATCATAGCTTTGACCCACAGCCTAGCAATATTTATTAAACTAATTAATAACAAGGCTAATATAAACGATCAAATCATTTGCTAAGATTATTACGTTCTCTGGGTTCTCATAAACATCACTCTCTTTTAACGGCATTGTGAAAGGATGATGAGCTGCTTCCAGTTGACCAGTTTCTTCATTTTTTACAAAGAGTGGAAAGTCGATTATCCAACAAAAACCGCTTGTGTTGGGCTTATCAGTTCCATAATTCTTTATGGCCTCTTTATACGTCATGATATCAAAATCTCGCTTTGGTGACAAACGTAAAGCATATTTCAGCAAGTCTTCAATCAAATCCATAACTTGTTCTCGTGTTGTAAAGGATAATTCTATGTCGAACTGTGTAAATTCTGGTTGACGATCCGGTTTAGCACCTTCGTCTCGGTAGCACCTTGCCACTTGGTAATACTTGTCCATACCTCCAACCATCAAAATTTGTTTGAGCAGTTGTGGAGATTGGGCAAGGGCATAGAATAAACCTGGATGCCTCGTTGCAACTGGAAATTCGCGTGCTCCCTAACAAACAAATTAATGATACAATAAATATAATGATGACCGGAGATATTCGGTAAATTAAACTTCTTATTGTTCATACACCAGGAGTTCTTCGAATCAAGGATGGGGTTTCAACATCGATAAAATAATTTCGATCCATGAATTCTCTCATGCTACGAATTAAACTAGCACGGAAGCGAAGTCGGCGTTGCAATAGTTCTGTTCTCAGATCCAGATATCGATAACTCATTCGCAGTTCTTCATCAGCCTACATATATGTAATATAAATAAATGACACTCATCAGTCAATCATTTAATGAATAAATAAACTAAATATTACCAAAATATCAATCTCACTAAAAACATACCTTTGCATAATCATTAAAGGCCATTCTAAGAGCAGTTGGTTCATTCAATACTTCGTAATCATCTACTACAACTTCAATATCACCAGTCGGTTGATCCTGTGGTAGAAAAGCATTCAATTGACATTTATAATATGGTCAGATATTTCTTAACAACAATATTAAAAAATTACAGGCTTCTGTTGTTTATCAGGTCTCATATGCACCACTCCTGCAATACGAACAACTGATTCCAAAGGTGTGTTATCTGCAGCTTTTACTAACTCCTTTTTCTATAACAAGTAAAGCAATGCATATATTAACTTGAAACCCCATTACGCGTACACATTTTCAGACCTCAAAAACTTACTTCAGCCGGAATAATTAGTTGTGTAGACCCATACACGTCTCGAATCACCAAGAACTTTCCTTTCAATCTTTTATATGTTATCCAACCATACAAGTTAACCCTTCTGCCATCATGAAATTTCTTAAGTTCTCCACACGTATGGCTCCTTAGAGTATACTTGGAGCGATTTTCTTGGATTTCGCGACATGATATCTGATACTGATGTTGGACTTTTTCCTCCGTGAAATTCAAGTCATAACATTTTTCTTGTTTCTGAGAAGGTGATGACGAATCGTTACTATTAATTTCCTGTGTTGACTGCCCACTTCCAACCGATGATGATGAGGTATTCCGTTTCAAAAGTTTGACTGCTTTTCTGCTATGATAAAATTAATCACTTCACATAAATAATGCTCTGACCATAATTGTTATTCCACTAATTAAATGCAAAAATACCTTATCCGACTAGTGTGACTGCTGCAACCCAGAAATAGAGATGCTGGGCGTTGCAGGATTGGAAATATACAACATCCCGTCGTGCTGAGGACAGAAACTTGTCGAAACAAGGTGCTCGATAATGGTCGAATTGTGATCATTGTTGTCCAATTCCACTCGTTGAATTAAGTACAACAACCTAATGCAATTGTCTGTCTTCTCCAGTCACTCACCACAATTAAAACACCGAGTTCAAGCTAGGTTAGGATTCCCGTCTGACCCAGTTCTACTATAAATTTTAAATATTAATTATCAAGATAAAAACCTAAACAATTTATCATGCGAGCAGCCGACTTTTTTTCTTTCCTTGCAGGAGCGCCTCAGGATTCAATCTGTGCAAAATTTCTATGACACTCTTCTTTTGGTGCTCCGGCATTCGCAGTGGTCTCCATGTGCCAGCCACGAGAAATCATGTTGTACCGCCCGCCATCTACCATCTACCCAATGCTATCGTACATCATCGACTTTTTTATCATCTATCTTTTTTTCATCATCTACCTTTCTAAAAATCTCAAATTCCCCAAAAATGTTAAAGTGCCCCAAATCCACCCCCACAATTTTTATGGGGCAACGTGAGATACATTGGGGCAACGTGATATTTTATTTCATATTGGGGCATCGTTCGTTTTTTAGCGAGCGAAGCGAGCAGGTTAGGTTAGGTTAGATCTACTAGGTACGGGAAAAGTGTGAAATGTTTAGTTAGCCAACCTAACTAGCTAGGCTAGTTACAACCTAGCTAGCTAGGATAGATACAACCTAGGTAGCTGGGCTAGGTACCTGTGCTAGCTAGCTAGCTAGGCTAGGTAGCTGTGCTAGCTAGCTAGGTTAGCTAGCTAAGCATTTCACACTTTTCCCGTACCTAGTAGATCTAACCTAACCTGCTCGCTTCGCTCGCTAAAAAACGAACGATACCCCAATATGAAATAAAATCTCACGTTGCCCCATAAAAATTGTGGGGGTGGATTTATAAATACCGGAGATTTGGGGTACTTTAACATTTTTGGGGAATTTTAGATTTTTAGAAAGATAGATGATGAAAAAAAGGTAGATGATAAAAAAGTAGTTGCTGTATGGTAGCATAGGGTAGATGGTGGGCGGTACAACATCGAGAAATTCAGTCGGAGTCGCCTCACCGTGCCAACAGCAGCAGCATTTTTTCGTCTTCAAGTCTCCTCCGAGATTCCTCAACTTGAAATTTTAATCTCAACTTCCTGGTTAACTTGTGCATCGTGGTTATCGTCAGTCAGCGGAGCGATAAGGAAGGAAGGAGAGGTGATCAGACAATCTTATGATTAGTCTTATTTAGGAATCGAAGGAGAGGTGAGTTTGACCTTTGGAGGTGATGGGGGATGAGAGTTAAAAAAATATAATACATGATTTTGCGGGGGTAGACAGACAAAGTAGAAAGTGCAGTGGGTAAATTTACGCACCTTTGTTTTATATTTTTCCAACATTTCGTTGAAACCATTATTATATATCAAGTTTCTCTTTCCTGTACAGTTAAATACACGAGCATAAATTTAATTAAAATCTTTTCAGAGTGAAGATTGGAGAACGATGAATCCAACTCAGGCAGATGAGGTGAAGAGTAAAATGTCGTGGGCGGATCGAATTCTAAATCAAGATGAAAGTGATAGTGCATCAAGCTCCGATTATCAGAGCTCAAAGGGTGACGAGTATGATGATGAGGTCCAGCATTGGGAAGACCTTGGTATGTCGTTTAGCACAATGCACTTTGATCAAACATCCAGTAAAGTCAATTGTATACCATTTTTTTCTTTGTTGGCTTTGCAGAGGAAGATTTTTCGAATATTCCACTGTGTCTTTTTTGCCAAGAACACATAAATGTGTCAGATATTTATACTCATTTGAAGGATGATCACAATTTGGATCTTCTTGAACTGCAAAAGAAGTATAAAATGGACCAAGAGTCCTTTATAAAGATGGTGAATTGGGTTCGCCATCTTGGGAAATCAATTTCGTTGGATAAATTGTTTGATGAGACTGATCAGGACTTGAAGCTCGTGGTCATGAGAAATGTGCTCTTTGACTATAGCACTGGTAAACCGTCCGGTGTTAAACCACCATGGGATGATGATAAGTGGTTGGAACCATCCATGGAAAATGATATGTTTCTCACCTACTGTAAGTTTTGTACAGCTACTTTCGTTATGGTCAATAATATAACGACAATTATTAAGTGACTGATTGATTGATTTTTATTGATAACAGGGCTTGATTTCGATGACAAAGAAGATGATCCAAGCCTGTTTGAAAATTCGGCATCTGTTGCAACAGAAGCACCCCAAGTCAGTCCGGTAGTAATGGATTTGCTTGTAAAAGACGAGTCCGACGGGGCGTTAGGATCCGATTTAAGAAGAAGCTTTCGAATTAAAACAACGACACCAGAAATTGAACAAGCGGAGGCTTGTGCAAAGGATGTCCGAGACTTGGAGGCCAAACTCCAAACATTGCAAATTAAAAACCAGAAAATGAAGGAAGTAATGTCCCGTATTGCTGGAGACGGAAATAGCAAAGAAGACAAATCTCCTGTTACAATGCGGCCTTGCGATGACAATGGTGATGGTAAACCTTCATCGCATGACGAAGAGTATTTTGAATCCTACGATGGAATTGATATACATGCTGAGATGTTAAAAGTAATTGACAATTAATAATTGCGACACATTAATTCACTATACTATTCAGTGGTAATTATGTAGGTATTACATGGTGCTGTTTTTTTTGTTAGGATCATCCCAGGACATTGGCGTACAAAAGAGCAATACTAAATAACAAGAAAGACTTTTTCGGAAAGCGCGTCTTGGATTTAGGATGCGGTACGGGTATATTGTCAATGTTCTGCGTTGATGCCGGTGCTGAACGTGTCTGTGCGGTGGATATATCAAAGATAATCTTTGATGCAATGGATATCTGCTAGTAAGCGAGCTTGATGAAGTTTAATAAATATAATTTGATGCCTGATTTTTAATTTAATGTTCATATTGTTCATTTTTTCTCTAATTAGTGAAAATAATAAGGAAGAACACATTACATTCTTCCATAAAAAATTGGAAGACATTGGGGAAGACGAAATTGCAAAAGTCGATATCCTTATCAGTGAATTTATGGGATATTTCCTTCTATTCGAAGGTATGCTGAGTAGCTATACTCAGGCACGCGACAAATTTCTGAAACCTGAGGGTAGCATGTATCCCAACTGCGCCGATATGTATATAGTGGCTGTGAGCGACGAAGGTATGTTTATTTTACGTTTAGTTGTTTCTAGGGTTGTCAATATGTCATGTCGAGGAGTAAATGTCGTGTCATGTCGAAAGTGTCAATGTCATGTCATAAATGTCCGTAAATGTCATTGTGCCGAAATATATGACAAATATGACGGACAAATTGGACATTTATGACATTTATGACAAATAATGTAAATAAATCGCCAGACCCCTTGTGACTGCAATCTGTTGAAAATAGACCACAATTTCGTTCTGCACCTGGTCCGTGAGAAACACACATGTGGGGTTTGAATTTTTGTCTCAACTTTCCTTCCGTCCGTTTATTCAAATGACGTTTTTGAAACCTGATCATCTCCGTGTGTTTTTTAATTAAGATTTTATTTCTTGCAACAGTCGATAATTTCAGCATTTACGAGCTTAGAATTTTTTTACGACAAAATGGAAACAAAATAGTTAAGTGTCTGTATAACTTAAAAAAAGAGTTAATGAATCTTCATTCTAACCTCCTAATTTCATAAACCTCCCATTGTAAAATTATTCGCTTTTAGAAGAAATAAAACCTTCTAAAAATCACACAGCGATGAACAGGTTTTAAAATCGCCATTTGAATACATGGAAGATGGGAAAGTTTGAAGACACAAAAATTCAAAACCCAATTGAGACTTAGAGAATGTTAAGCTCATAGTTGGGATATGACTTCGAAAATATTAGCTTAATTCATATAAACTAGCTTATCATCTCTCCCTCAATGGCTTGATTATGTAGCAGCAGCACCAAGCCACAATTAATTGTCGTTAAACTGTTGCTACCAGAGTAAGTTCAACAGAATGAGAGATGAGTCAAAGAACATAATTCGATAAACTCTAGGTGTTTTAAAACAAGTTTTTGAACATAAATATATAATTTCTTGTTGATTTACATATTAAAAACAGATGGATAGAATTGAGACTAGAAAATATTGCTGCTACAGTGGTTCCACGTATGTTCGTAGAGGGCAGTTTTTTGTAAATGTCATAAATGTCCAAAATGTCGATGCCAATGTGTCACGACATGTCATGACATTTGACAAATTGACACATTGACAAATATTGACATTGACACGCTTTTTTAAATGTCAGACATTTGTGACATTTATGACAATTATGACATGTCGACATGTCATGACAAATGACATATTAACAACCCTAGTTGTTTCATATTTTTAGCCAAATTCTGCAATTTAATTTTTACAGATGATTACCAAAATAACATCGGAACATGGAATAATATGCATGGCTATAAGATGTCCGTTTTGAAACGAAAAGCGCTTCTTGAAGCATGCGTTAAATCAATGGAGCCATGTGCAATCGCATCGGAGGAAGTGCCGATTAAAAAACTAGATCTGCATACTTGTAAAAATCGAGATCTCATTATTGATGACACGTTCCAGTTGAAAATCACTCGTACCTGTTCCTTGACTGCCATTTGCGGGTATTTCTCTGTGGGTTTCAACGACGGGAAACAATACAAAGAAGTGCTAAGTACTTCTCCTAACGCTCCATTGACACATTGGAAGCAAACAGTATTTTATCTTCCGGAAAGAATGAATGTATCAGAAGGTAATTTGGCTTTACTTTAAACTATGTGTACCATGTATTGTATGTATTGTATACCATGTGATTTGTTTAGTTTCGAATTGATAACTAATGTAGCGAATATCTGTGATTAATTTCAGGAGATGTTGTGCCAATCGAGTTCAGATGCACCCCACACCCTGAGTGTGATCGTTGGTTGAAGGTCGTGATGAAGATCGGCCGCTACTCTTGCACGTTCGAGATGAAATAAGCAGCTTACCACAATGCAGAATTTATTTATGCACTAAAATTTGTTACTCTATCTGTAATATATATATATTACTTCATATTACGATGTTATCCTGAGGTTTTGTTACAAAATTATTAGTGTTTTTACATTAAAACTTGGTACTACACACAAATTTATAGTAAATGGCGTGAGTTTTTTATATAAACTATAAAGAAGTATTGAAATAATAAAAGATTTGAACTGTGATAACACATTATTATAATTATGTAGAAATAATTTAGTCACTATTGTGATAAGAAAGGCTTTAAAATATTTGTGATAAACCACTCTTTGGAAAACTGCAAGTGGTCCCCAGGTGAAGATAAAAGATGTAACTTTCCGTTAGCCTTCATTGCTTTTAGCCCCAGTCGATCCTACATACGCATTTTTTTACAGAAAATATGAGGTTTTAACTGTTGCAATTTAAAAGGTTGAACATGTAAAAAAATACCTCTATGAATAGGGTCGAATTTTCTAAAGGAATCATTTCCTTGTCAGATCCGTCCTTGAAATAGCCAAACCATTCGGATTCTTTGGGCTGAACAATTGACTCGTCTTGGAACAGTACAAGGACGAGGTTATCAAGTTTTTGCAAATTTTCCTTGTATGCCTCGTTGATCACACGCTCATTGTTAATGTCCGCGAGAAAGACGCTTTTTGCCACGTACTCTTCATTCTTGAAAGGGTCGTGCCAATATTCTGCCTGGACCAGGAATTTCTGAACCCATCTACCATTCAGTGAATTGCACAAATACATAGTATAAATTGGCAAAAGTGGAACTATGTGGCCCAGTTCTAATTCTAACCAATAATTGAATTTAAGTTGCGCAAAAAAGTAAGCCAATTAACTCACCCAGCGTAAGCAACATGGGTCAACAACTTGTCAATGATTTCACACCATTCTTTTTTTGGAGCCGAGCACTTGGGGAGTCCAAACACTCCTGAATTTCAGATTATATATGCACAAACTTAAAAGATTGTAAAATTTGTCTAAAAAATTAGTTAATATTTGGTCTTCTCGAACAAAATCACCTTGATGTTGACCACCCAACGAGATTAAGTTGTACATCTTGGGCTCAGGACATCTTTGTGCAACTGCTCGCCTGAAATATTAGATTGGTCAGTGTGCTCAATTTATGCAAGTAAATTGCAAGTGAAAATGGACAAACTCACATAAACTGTCCTCCTTGGGATAATCCAATCCCGTTATATCCTCCTTGTAATGCAGTGTCGTTCTTTATCATCTCACAGACCATTTCGACTTGGGTGTTGACGTTAAAAAAGTAACCATTCTCAATATCCTAAGGTCAAAAAAGGTTCGAAGATCGTGCAAATTTTATGAAATGCGCTAAAAATCGGATTCATTATTAATGTAACCTCTGCAACGTTGGCACCAATCTGAAGAGATTTTACATATATTCCAGGCAACTCCGTCTCGATGAAGCCCAAAGCTCTCTTCACATTCCAGCCAGAGTCCCCTTAAAAATTTATGTATGGAAATAAATTTGAATCAAATTATAAGTTTTTAAAAATGGAGTTACCCATTCCATGCCAATAAACTATTGGTTTATAGGCCGTGGTCTTGTCTGCTTTAACATTTTGCTGTTGAGTGCTCTGGGGGAGGATAGCTACCTTATTTTGAGTCTCGGAGGAAGGACTTGACCCGACACCAGTTGAATCACTGTGTGCTTCTCCGGAAATCTCATTGTCACTTTCAAATGACTCTGGACGGCCAACTTTATATATGACTTGAGCGGCTCGTAATTCTACCGGAAGCAGTGACAATACTGCTAATGCACATGATGCTACTATAACAATCCGCAGCATGGTTTAATAAAATTGCGCAAAACTTTAACTGATGGGCAAAGTTTCAAATTTCCATCAGCAATTCCAGCAATGAGTTGGAAACAAGACTTGTCTATTTGTCACCAGAAGTTGTCGTTTTATCTGTTGTACTCCCCAACTTGTACATACATTCATATGTAAGTAAAAGTAATGCAGGAGAAGTGAGAAACCATATCAGTTGTGAAGAGTTATAATAATATATAGAAGACTTGGCCCATGAAATATGCAGCGATATTATTCAATTGGATTAGTAGGGACAGTGAAATTCATGCACCAATTAAGGAGCAATGTACTAAGGATTTCAGCTTCTGTCCATGCACAATCTACAATTTTTAACCCCTACTAAATCACTAATTCAGTTATCATATTGGTCAGGATTCTGAGGTTTCTCAAGATAAGGTACGAACTCCAAGAGATAAGAGGGACTAAATATCCACACTTCCAAACGACTCCAAGACGATGGTTATTTATATCTTTGAGAATCATGAAAAAATGGATATAAATAATATAATCTTAAAGATAGCATCGTGTAATAACGTTACCTGATTTAATTAATTAAAAATATATTAATATGTATAGTGGAAAATGAAGGAAAAAAGGACTGCATATATATTTTAGACCTATTTATATTCATTTATGTTAAATACCTTCCTCCGACTTTTTAATAGTGATAGCATAATAAAATTATGGGCACGCTAAATCAAAGCACTAACATAACCTCAAAACCGGCGAGGACGGTACTGGATTATTAATTTGAAGGCAAAATGCAAAGGGACTATAATATGTTTTTATGGGCGTGATACTGATTTGTAGGCCATGCATTTCTCGGAATCTTGCGGAATTTGTATTTATAAGATGGATATTGATTTATAATATGCAGTAAATTAATCATGCGTTGTATATTCTTGTTTCCTGTTATTTCTCCCAATTGATAATGCACTTGGCCGGTCCTTATTTTAAATATACTTAAAATTGAGACAAATTTAATCAATGCTAACGATTTCTAGCAAAATAGCGTTAAAGCGTAGTCATTAGCTAAAGACGCTATATTTAACAATCATTCTAAATATTATAAATTATGCATTATGTAGTGCAAATTTAAATTTGTATTTAAATTTGTGTCTAAGAACTTCAGTTTATGAAGTTGCTTTTCTTTATCCACCAGGATTCTCACCACTACCTCTCCTTTCTCATGTTATGTAGTTCAATCCCGGGATGCAAATCAGGGAATATTTCCTACTTCTCATGTCGAAAAACTTTGATTCATCTCGCCGGATTTCTAAATATTAAGAATGACAGAAGCATCGTTTACTGATACCCTCAACTTTCAGGATGCCACGCACTGCGCACACGTGATGATCTGGGCTTCCCTAAAGGACCGACTCATCCTGGATAAGTATCCTGGTCGGGCAGCAGTGTTGGTAACTAATTTTATATAAACAATAAATACTAATGAGTAGTTTGTAAAATAAGACGTCCTGTACTTGAAGATGCAGATGAGGTTTGATGGCTGCCTTGGGTTTCCAGGAGAGATAAAATGACGGATACGTTCCATAGCTTTTCGCATCGATTTCATTGAATCAAATAAAATTAATTGTAAATGCAATTGTGGGTACAAGGACAAATGTACCACAACATTTTTTGAATTCTGTGCAACCACACCCCCTATAAAAATAAAGGAACAAAGTTCGGAAAAATGAGAAAGTCAATGTACATCGTGTAGAATAAGAGTTAGACCTATACTTGCATTTGCAATTTGACTTCCCCTTGAAATACGAACATTTTAATGCATCAAGAGTTTCAAAATTCGAAAATTGGCGGTTTTTTTACGTACACAGAAATCCTTAAAAAACGCATGGTACCACCCATTTACTTCGGACAACCCGATGCCAGATTTTTCTCCTTGGGAAGAGCTACATTTTCAGCTTTTGTTGCCCGAAGGGAATCGATGGTACCACGAGAAATTTGGGGTCAAAGTTTCTGAGGGAGGGGCTTATTTTGCAAGAGCCGTAACATACATACATACATAGTATGGCTGCTTGTGAAATACTACCCATAAAAATAATGATAAAGAATAAAGTTATTAAAGTAGCCTCAAATCGATCTAATTGTTAAAATTAAGCTTTTCTGAATTTATAATGGTGATATTCACTCAAAAATTAACGCTATAGGGCTTACCTACAGACTTATCAATTTTTCAGATAAGCAAACTTAGTTTATCTAAATCGCCCCAAATTTAAAACTTAAGCTTTTCTGAATTTATGATGGTGATATTCGCTCAAAAATTAATGCTTTGAGGCTTATCAATTAAGTTATCAATTTTTCAGATAAGCAAACTTAGTTTATCCATATCGCCCCAAATTTAAGACTTAAGCTTTTCTGAATTTATGATGGTGATATTCACTCAAAAATTAATGCTTTGAGGCTTATCAATTAAGTTATCAATTTTTCAGATAAGCAAACTTAGTTTATCCATATCGCCCCAAATTTAAAACTTAAGCTTTTATGAATTTATGATGGTGATATTCACTGAAAAATTAACGCTATAGGGCTTATCTCCAGACTTATCAATTTTTCAGATAAGCAAATTTAGTTTATCCAAATCGCCCCAAATATAAAACTCTTGAATTTATGATGACGATAATAGGAGGTATGGTGTATACTAGACACTGAACGGTAATTTCGGGTTACATATATAATAAAATGAGGCGCCTGGTTGGATGAAAAGTTTGCATGGAAAAAGTGAGACGAAGAGAAATGGATTTCATACGACCCTGACTCGAAATGATGATGGATACCCACCGCGAACCACTTTTCTCACTCTGTCTCACATTCCCATGCGAAATATGGAAAACGGTTTTGTGAAACACTTGACGTGGTATTCATCAGGAGGCATTGTGGATGACCGAATAGAAGATATGGACCCTGATGTTGCAATGGGCTTCGTGACGGCTGGCTTGAATCGGGAACTTGTCGAAGAAGTTAACGCCGACTTGAGCATCGTAAAAGTCACTGGCAGGGACTATGTGTATACTCTGAGTGACAAAGTTCCGTATGTCACTCAGTTGGTAGTTGAGCCTACATTATGTCATTTTTTTACGAAGGAGGTAAATTTTCTTAGTACCTTTATGTATGCATTTATCAGTAGTGTCGATGGTGAGGTAAGCAGATTGAATGATTATTATGTTTTGCTAGGTTGAGCTTTCCCAGTTTGAAGATTTAGAACGAGCTGCCTTGTCGGCGAAAGATTTCGGCGATGAAGTGATGGGACACATTCGAGGTATTCATGCATATTTAAAATTAAATAAATAATATATGTCTAAATGATGAAGGAATTTCATTATTTCAGTTCCACTTTATACGATGGATGACGGGAAACGAGGTTATCCAGAATTTTTAAAGAATAATTTTATTGGACAGGCCAAAGCCCAGTTGATACGAGGACTGTCTCATATTAATATTTGGTAGCACCATGAAATTCGGTTACTAAATGAATTTATGCAAATTATGTAATTCTCTGGTGCTAATAAGTTATCCAAGCAGTACATTAATATATTGTATTAGTTGTGAATCATTCCGAAACTGTGAATAAATTTTTTAATCATTTTAACGGTTAAATCTTCATTCGAAAATTTATTTAAAAATTACATTTAATAAGTGGTTAGATTCCGTATTGTAAAAACAGTACAGCAGCTAGACTTAAATTTAATTTTGCAATTGAACTATCAAATGAAATTATAATCATGTTAGTTGAGAACATTTTTCATCATATATTTCATTCACAAAACGGGGAAATTCTGTCCGGCTGCAATGAACATGAGACTTAATTATGAGTCTCAACTAAATATGTATAAGTGACTTATACATATTTAGTTGCTGAAGTAGGGAACAAAATGTGTACACAAATGGTTTATTGAAACCTGTAAAATTAATGGCTCAATAAAACGAGTTTTCTAATTTCATAAGGTATGAGAACAATGGGTACATAATTTGAATACATAACGTTGCGAACTGATCGTAAAACTCGTAGTAAATCCGGTCCAGTTTAATGCTTACAGGATAAAGCAATCGGAAGCGTCGCAACTATTGTCTAATTATTTCGGAATCTTTCATCCACGTCAAATTCGACGGTGGTTGGTTTTGTAACACTTTCGATCATGGGTATAAAATGGTGGGGTTAGTGTTACAAATGTCAGCACTGACATTTTTATCCACGAAGCCTTCCAAGTAAACTGAGTTTGACTAAATTCCGAGTAATTATCATGAAGATATTTATTATTGCACTTCTTGCTTCCGTCGGCTGTGTACATTGTAAGCCCACGTAAAAATATCAGACCAAGTAGTGTCTAACCAATATAGATTATTAATTATATTTCAGGTCGTCCACAAGGATTGCTTAATAATGCATTAGCCGGAGGTGTGGCTAATGGGGCAAACGTCGACGTTTTGGGGTCCGCAGCCCAGTCTCAGCAAGTTGCATATTCTGGGTACCCAGGTGGTGGTTATCCCGGGGGTGGTTATCCTGGCGGTGGTTATCCCGGTGGTGGTTATCCCTGGGGTGGTTATCCTGGCGGTGGTTATCCTGGCGGTGGGTGCAACAGTGTAACATAAATACCAGAATTCATGAGACGACACATTTCGTTTAGGAGGATATGGACCTCAAAATGGGTATAATTATACTCCTAATTATGGAGGAGGATATGCTCCGGGTAAGATACTATCACTACGTTCGACGATATGGAAATTGACATTTTGATCACTTGACTATTAGGCTACGGAGGTCCTGTAGGTGGTCCAGGTACTTGTCAAATAAAATGATTTTTTATCGTGAAAAACCTGATTCACTGATATACTCGATAACTTTCCTCAGGTTATGCTCATCAATCCTCTGCTGGGGGTGGACTCGTAGGCACCTTAGTTGGAGCCCTTGGTGGTTAGCAACGTATTGAATGAAGACAAATCTCTATTTCATTAGACGAGATCCCAATTAGATCAAACATAATTCAATTGCTATTACATTCAGAATAAAGATTTTAACTCACTGACATCAAAATCGGGACAAATGGTTATCAAACTAAAATTGTATATACAGCAAACCACACCTATAAATAAAGTATTCGGCCACTCAAAATTCACTTATCTTGTATACAACATGTTCTTAAATCAACGACCATCAAGTTGTGACCTCTCATTTCCTCCTATGAAATTGCATGAAATTATTCAAGAGTTTAACTGAAGAGTTTAGACCAAATTAAGATGAAGACAAGATATATTTTATTTTATTAATAATTGAAAGAGCGATTTACAAATATTATACCTAAAATGTAATTATGCACAAAATGATTTTATAATATTTATTAGATTTTATTAAATTCTCTGATGAAACGACTTAAATACTATTATGTATTACTCACAACTATTATGTATCACATCCTACATATATAAATATGTAGGATGCTATGTATAATGAACCAATGCATCGAATTAGACTTTTTTTTACCATACTGGCCAATATTTAACTGAATTAGTGTTTTGCTAGGGGCTAGGGGTTAAAAATTGTAGATTGTGCATGGACAGAAGCTGAAATCCTTAGTACATTGCTCCTTAATTGGTGCATGAATTTCACTGTCCCTACTAATCCAATTGAATAATATCGCTGCATATTTCATGGGCCAAGTCTTCTATATATTATTATAACTCTTCACAACTGATATGGTTTCTCACTTCTCCTGCATTACTTTTACTTACATATGAATGTATGTACAAGTTGGGGAGTACAACAGATAAAACGACAACTTCTGGTGACAAATAGACAAGTCTTGTTTCCAACTCATTGCTGGAATTGCTGATGGAAATTTGAAACTTTGCCCATCAGTTAAAGTTTTGCGCAATTTTATTAAACCATGCTGCGGATTGTTATAGTAGCATCATGTGCATTAGCAGTATTGTCACTGCTTCCGGTAGAATTACGAGCCGCTCAAGTCATATATAAAGTTGGCCGTCCAGAGTCATTTGAAAGTGACAATGAGATTTCCGGAGAAGCACACAGTGATTCAACTGGTGTCGGGTCAAGTCCTTCCTCCGAGACTCAAAATAAGGTAGCTATCCTCCCCCAGAGCACTCAACAGCAAAATGTTAAAGCAGACAAGACCACGGCCTATAAACCAATAGTTTATTGGCATGGAATGGGTAACTCCATTTTTAAAAACTTATAATTTGATTCAAATTTATTTCCATACATAAATTTTTAAGGGGACTCTGGCTGGAATGTGAAGAGAGCTTTGGGCTTCATCGAGACGGAGTTGCCTGGAATATATGTAAAATCTCTTCAGATTGGTGCCAACGTTGCAGAGGTTACATTAATAATGAATCCGATTTTTAGCGCATTTCATAAAATTTGCACGATCTTCGAACCTTTTTTGACCTTAGGATATTGAGAATGGTTACTTTTTTAACGTCAACACCCAAGTCGAAATGGTCTGTGAGATGATAAAGAACGACACTGCATTACAAGGAGGATATAACGGGATTGGATTATCCCAAGGAGGACAGTTTATGTGAGTTTGTCCATTTTCACTTGCAATTTACTTGCATAAATTGAGCACACTGACCAATCTAATATTTCAGGCGAGCAGTTGCACAAAGATGTCCTGAGCCCAAGATGTACAACTTAATCTCGTTGGGTGGTCAACATCAAGGTGATTTTGTTCGAGAAGACCAAATATTAACTAATTTTTTAGACAAATTTTACAATCTTTTAAGTTTGTGCATATATAATCTGAAATTCAGGAGTGTTTGGACTCCCCAAGTGCTCGGCTCCAAAAAAAGAATGGTGTGAAATCATTGACAAGTTGTTGACCCATGTTGCTTACGCTGGGTGAGTTAATTGGCTTACTTTTTTGCGCAACTTAAATTCAATTATTGGTTAGAATTAGAACTGGGCCACATAGTTCCACTTTTGCCAATTTATACTATGTATTTGTGCAATTCACTGAATGGTAGATGGGTTCAGAAATTCCTGGTCCAGGCAGAATATTGGCACGACCCTTTCAAGAATGAAGAGTACGTGGCAAAAAGCGTCTTTCTCGCGGACATTAACAATGAGCGTGTGATCAACGAGGCATACAAGGAAAATTTGCAAAAACTTGATAACCTCGTCCTTGTACTGTTCCAAGACGAGTCAATTGTTCAGCCCAAAGAATCCGAATGGTTTGGCTATTTCAAGGACGGATCTGACAAGGAAATGATTCCTTTAGAAAATTCGACCCTATTCATAGAGGTATTTTTTTACATGTTCAACCTTTTAAATTGCAACAGTTAAAACCTCATATTTTCTGTAAAAAAATGCGTATGTAGGATCGACTGGGGCTAAAAGCAATGAAGGCTAACGGAAAGTTACATCTTTTATCTTCACCTGGGGACCACTTGCAGTTTTCCAAAGAGTGGTTTATCACAAATATTTTAAAGCCTTTCTTATCACAATAGTGACTAAATTATTTCTACATAATTATAATAATGTGTTATCACAGTTCAAATCTTTTATTATTTCAATACTTCTTTATAGTTTATATAAAAAACTCACGCCATTTACTATAAATTTGTGTGTAGTACCAAGTTTTAATGTAAAAACACTAATAATTTTGTAACAAAACCTCAGGATAACATCGTAATATGAAGTAATATATATATATTACAGATAGAGTAACAAATTTTAGTGCATAAATAAATTCTGCATTGTGGTAAGCTGCTTATTTCATCTCGAACGTGCAAGAGTAGCGGCCGATCTTCATCACGACCTTCAACCAACGATCACACTCAGGGTGTGGGGTGCATCTGAACTCGATTGGCACAACATCTCCTGAAATTAATCACAGATATTCGCTACATTAGTTATCAATTCGAAACTAAACAAATCACATGGTATACAATACATACAATACATGGTACACATAGTTTAAAGTAAAGCCAAATTACCTTCTGATACATTCATTCTTTCCGGAAGATAAAATACTGTTTGCTTCCAATGTGTCAATGGAGCGTTAGGAGAAGTACTTAGCACTTCTTTGTATTGTTTCCCGTCGTTGAAACCCACAGAGAAATACCCGCAAATGGCAGTCAAGGAACAGGTACGAGTGATTTTCAACTGGAACGTGTCATCAATAATGAGATCTCGATTTTTACAAGTATGCAGATCTAGTTTTTTAATCGGCACTTCCTCCGATGCGATTGCACATGGCTCCATTGATTTAACGCATGCTTCAAGAAGCGCTTTTCGTTTCAAAACGGACATCTTATAGCCATGCATATTATTCCATGTTCCGATGTTATTTTGGTAATCATCTGTAAAAATTAAATTGCAGAATTTGGCTAAAAATATGAAACAACTAGGGTTGTTAATATGTCATTTGTCATGACATGTCGACATGTCATAATTGTCATAAATGTCACAAATGTCTGACATTTAAAAAAGCGTGTCAATGTCAATATTTGTCAATGTGTCAATTTGTCAAATGTCATGACATGTCGTGACACATTGGCATCGACATTTTGGACATTTATGACATTTACAAAAAACTGCCCTCTACGAACATACGTGGAACCACTGTAGCAGCAATATTTTCTAGTCTCAATTCTATCCATCTGTTTTTAATATGTAAATCAACAAGAAATTATATATTTATGTTCAAAAACTTGTTTTAAAACACCTAGAGTTTATCGAATTATGTTCTTTGACTCATCTCTCATTCTGTTGAACTTACTCTGGTAGCAACAGTTTAACGACAATTAATTGTGGCTTGGTGCTGCTGCTACATAATCAAGCCATTGAGGGAGAGATGATAAGCTAGTTTATATGAATTAAGCTAATATTTTCGAAGTCATATCCCAACTATGAGCTTAACATTCTCTAAGTCTCAATTGGGTTTTGAATTTTTGTGTCTTCAAACTTTCCCATCTTCCATGTATTCAAATGGCGATTTTAAAACCTGTTCATCGCTGTGTGATTTTTAGAAGGTTTTATTTCTTCTAAAAGCGAATAATTTTACAATGGGAGGTTTATGAAATTAGGAGGTTAGAATGAAGATTCATTAACTCTTTTTTTAAGTTATACAGACACTTAACTATTTTGTTTCCATTTTGTCGTAAAAAAATTCTAAGCTCGTAAATGCTGAAATTATCGACTGTTGCAAGAAATAAAATCTTAATTAAAAAACACACGGAGATGATCAGGTTTCAAAAACGTCATTTGAATAAACGGACGGAAGGAAAGTTGAGACAAAAATTCAAACCCCACATGTGTGTTTCTCACGGACCAGGTGCAGAACGAAATTGTGGTCTATTTTCAACAGATTGCAGTCACAAGGGGTCTGGCGATTTATTTACATTATTTGTCATAAATGTCATAAATGTCCAATTTGTCCGTCATATTTGTCATATATTTCGGCACAATGACATTTACGGACATTTATGACATGACATTGACACTTTCGACATGACACGACATTTACTCCTCGACATGACATATTGACAACCCTAGAAACAACTAAACGTAAAATAAACATACCTTCGTCGCTCACAGCCACTATATACATATCGGCGCAGTTGGGATACATGCTACCCTCAGGTTTCAGAAATTTGTCGCGTGCCTGAGTATAGCTACTCAGCATACCTTCGAATAGAAGGAAATATCCCATAAATTCACTGATAAGGATATCGACTTTTGCAATTTCGTCTTCCCCAATGTCTTCCAATTTTTTATGGAAGAATGTAATGTGTTCTTCCTTATTATTTTCACTAATTAGAGAAAAAATGAACAATATGAACATTAAATTAAAAATCAGGCATCAAATTATATTTATTAAACTTCATCAAGCTCGCTTACTAGCAGATATCCATTGCATCAAAGATTATCTTTGATATATCCACCGCACAGACACGTTCAGCACCGGCATCAACGCAGAACATTGACAATATACCCGTACCGCATCCTAAATCCAAGACGCGCTTTCCGAAAAAGTCTTTCTTGTTATTTAGTATTGCTCTTTTGTACGCCAATGTCCTGGGATGATCCTAACAAAAAAAACAGCACCATGTAATACCTACATAATTACCACTGAATAGTATAGTGAATTAATGTGTCGCAATTATTAATTGTCAATTACTTTTAACATCTCAGCATGTATATCAATTCCATCGTAGGATTCAAAATACTCTTCGTCATGCGATGAAGGTTTACCATCACCATTGTCATCGCAAGGCCGCATTGTAACAGGAGATTTGTCTTCTTTGCTATTTCCGTCTCCAGCAATACGGGACATTACTTCCTTCATTTTCTGGTTTTTAATTTGCAATGTTTGGAGTTTGGCCTCCAAGTCTCGGACATCCTTTGCACAAGCCTCCGCTTGTTCAATTTCTGGTGTCGTTGTTTTAATTCGAAAGCTTCTTCTTAAATCGGATCCTAACGCCCCGTCGGACTCGTCTTTTACAAGCAAATCCATTACTACCGGACTGACTTGGGGTGCTTCTGTTGCAACAGATGCCGAATTTTCAAACAGGCTTGGATCATCTTCTTTGTCATCGAAATCAAGCCCTGTTATCAATAAAAATCAATCAATCAGTCACTTAATAATTGTCGTTATATTATTGACCATAACGAAAGTAGCTGTACAAAACTTACAGTAGGTGAGAAACATATCATTTTCCATGGATGGTTCCAACCACTTATCATCATCCCATGGTGGTTTAACACCGGACGGTTTACCAGTGCTATAGTCAAAGAGCACATTTCTCATGACCACGAGCTTCAAGTCCTGATCAGTCTCATCAAACAATTTATCCAACGAAATTGATTTCCCAAGATGGCGAACCCAATTCACCATCTTTATAAAGGACTCTTGGTCCATTTTATACTTCTTTTGCAGTTCAAGAAGATCCAAATTGTGATCATCCTTCAAATGAGTATAAATATCTGACACATTTATGTGTTCTTGGCAAAAAAGACACAGTGGAATATTCGAAAAATCTTCCTCTGCAAAGCCAACAAAGAAAAAAATGGTATACAATTGACTTTACTGGATGTTTGATCAAAGTGCATTGTGCTAAACGACATACCAAGGTCTTCCCAATGCTGGACCTCATCATCATACTCGTCACCCTTTGAGCTCTGATAATCGGAGCTTGATGCACTATCACTTTCATCTTGATTTAGAATTCGATCCGCCCACGACATTTTACTCTTCACCTCATCTGCCTGAGTTGGATTCATCGTTCTCCAATCTTCACTCTGAAAAGATTTTAATTAAATTTATGCTCGTGTATTTAACTGTACAGGAAAGAGAAACTTGATATATAATAATGGTTTCAACGAAATGTTGGAAAAATATAAAACAAAGGTGCGTAAATTTACCCACTGCACTTTCTACTTTGTCTGTCTACCCCCGCAAAATCATGTATTATATTTTTTTAACTCTCATCCCCCATCACCTCCAAAGGTCAAACTCACCTCTCCTTCGATTCCTAAATAAGACTAATCATAAGATTGTCTGATCACCTCTCCTTCCTTCCTTATCGCTCCGCTGACTGACGATAACCACGATGCACAAGTTAACCAGGAAGTTGAGATTAAAATTTCAAAGGATAAGTTGAGAAAAAAGACGAAATTTCGGAGAAGACCTGAAGAGAAGACGAAAAAACGCTGCTGCTGCTGGCACGGTGAGGCGACTCTGACTGAGGAGATTTCTCGTGGCTGGCTGGCACATGGAGACGAACCGGACAACCGGTAGAGTTGTCAAGATTTTCATTTTCGGTCGTGTTGCGCAATGCCCCAACTGCAGCACGCAACTCCGGCTGGCATCTCACCCGCACCACCACCATCAACTTCACCAATAAATGGAGAAAACTCTCGTTCCCAAATTTTGAGTGGGTCGTCATTCGGACAAAAAGGACAAAAAGGAGACATCTGTGAGGCCAGAGGGGTGGGGCTCACAATTGGGACGAGAATTAAGGCAGGAAATTGGTAATTGTCTAACAAATTCAAGTTAAATTTGACACTCAGTTCTTTTAAGTATGATAAGATATGTTTACTTCTTGTGACAAGAATCTTGTCTACGTAATCACTTATTGTTAATATTAATTAGCAACTCGTTATTGTAGGGAACTCATTTCATAACAGGACAATCAATGGTGTAATAATTAAATAAGAAAGAAAAAAGTTATTCTGAAAAATGATGAATCAACAAGCAATGGATTCGCTGTATTCGGCGACATACATGGAGGATTATCTCGACTGCGTCGAGAATTTGCCGGACGATATCCAGAGAAATATGAGCAGAATGAGGGATTTGGACATTCAATATTCTAGTAAGATACCAAAAAATGAAAAGTTAAATAGATTCATGTAATAAAGAAAATACAGGGTGGTTAAAATGTCACGCCACAATGGAAAATTTTTCAATGGGAAAAGTCCCTAAATCTCCATTAGTTACAAGATTTCGGATTGAGATTTTTATAAATTATTATCAAAACTGATGACAAAATTCTTAAAATGTTGCATTTTAGAGACAAAATTTCGGTAACTAATGGAAATTTACAAATTTTTCCCATCGAAAAATTTTCCATTGTTGCGTGACATTTTAACCACCCTGTATGTTGACAATTTAATTGTTTGACTTGCTGTAGAATATATGAAGGAGCTGGAGACTGCAATGGAAGATTTAATGGAGCAGATTGACGTCGAACAGGCGGATGAGCGAGAAGACGAGGAGGATTTAGAGCAGCTGGAGAAAACTCGGAGACGCAGAAAGTACTCGAAGGCTAGGTCATCCGTTCAAGAGATTCTCATGAAGGCACAGGATATTGGGGATGAAAAACTCCAGATTGCCCAAAACGTGCAGGATAATATTGAGAACAAAGCGAGACAATTGGAACTAGATAAGAAAAACTTGGGTGAGTTGGTCACCAAGTTGCGACCTAGAGGTAAGGTTTTCGTTTTTGTTGCGTTTTGAGTTTTCCTCGATTTTTCCTCTATTCCTCGAATATACGTCACACATTTGGCGAATTGAATCTGAGCCTGGAACGAGTTCAACTCTTCCGTTAAGGTTGATTACTGTTAAATTTTGAAATGTTCTTTCAATTATATTTATTATTAGATGTTGTTTAAACTCATTTCTTACTATTTTGAGCCTACAGCAAGTCGAAAAAACTGCTTTATTGTTACGCCTTATTTTCTGCTTTGATATTTTATTTCGTAGTGTATCGCAATTGTCTGTCGAATTTTTGAAGTTCTATAATAATATATTCTTATCATTATTAATTAGAATACGGTCGGGAGAATGAGAACCAAGAAACTCCTAAAGAGGAGCGAGAACGACCTGGAATTAAAAGAGCTCGTCGTGCTAAGCATGAAGTATTTGTTCCGTCTATTATGGGTCCTTCCACTCTGGAAGTTACTTCATACGTGGATTCAATCCAGGATGAGCCGAAACCAAGCACAAGTCGGGGAGGTCATCACTATAATTCTCACGCGAATGAAAAGACTGTCCATCATAGCACAGCCGCTAGTTCTGCAACACATGATACTCAAGATCGTAAAACGAGCACGGCTTCCCAGCCAGATCAAGTTCCAACAACAACGGCTCGAGAACGACATTCGACAAAGGGCAGCCGTAATAATGAAACAGAAAGCTCGACTCCATCACGAGCTTCTGAGCGAACTGTAAGTGCATCAGCAAGCGTGGCTTCTCCAGCTAAGCAGGTTCAAAAGGCCAATGTAGTCGAGAAAAAGGGGAAGAAGCGCAAGTCGACTAAGCAAAGTAAAAGCAAGGACGCGTCACCACCAGATGATGCGGATACGATTGATCCTGATGAGCCAACATACTGTTTGTGTGATCAGGTAGATTTACTTAAAAGTCAAGATTTGTTATTTTCTGTGTTCTTAAAGTACCTACATTTTATTATTTGCTGTATCTTGTTTCAGATTTCGTATGGTGAGATGATTGGTTGCGATAATGATCTTTGCCCTATTGAATGGTTTCATTTTTCTTGTGTGAGCCTCACACACAAGCCGAAGGGAAAGTGGTACTGCCCACGTTGTCGCGGGGATAAGCCAAACGTAATGAAGAACCGCACCGTTTTGATTAAAGAGCTCGCAAAGTACAATCGCGAGAGAGAAGAAAAAGCATAATTTGATTATAAATTCTCGCTTATTTTAACTATAAATATTAATCATGGTTAATATTTAATCGCGCCGTTTTAAATCTGTCAAGCAAATCTATTCAGCTACTAGAATATTTATCATTGTTTGCACCTCCCACAACGTCAGGAGGAACTTTTTTATGAATAATATTAGGATATAATAATCACCTCTAGGTTTGAGAGTGTTTATTTGAGTAGATAATGATGGTTGTTTGGTTTTACTTGATTAATATGCAAAGGTGTTAAAGTACAATTATTTGATTAATGGTGTTTATTTTGTACAGTTTCGTCTAAGTTAGTTGATCTTACTGCTAGTGGTTACTAGTAATTAATTGTTACGGGTGTTTCACAATTGTAATTTAGATTTCCCTTTAAGTATAATAGCTTACATTTTTTTCATGCACTTTAGTGGATAAAAATCTAAGCTGTAATAGGTCCTGTAGTTTGTATTGTTTGTACATGCTTGTAACGTCATAAGTATTTCGATTAAAACTTATTTCCAATTTTTCGATATTTGTAATACTTCAAAAATAACAGCATAAATTTGGGATTCATTGTTTTTATATACGCTTGGTTACAATTTGTTATTTTAGTTGAGTGATTTTTTACATGTCACTATAATTGTTATTTGTTAAACGGTTTTGTAATAATAAAAATAAATGTTTTCTCGAATATTTGACACCTTCCAGTGAATATTTATTGCTGCAAAACAGTGGCTGAAAAGAGGATACTTTATTCATTAGCATTTTGATTGGTTAATGTATCGAATGAAAATTAACTTTACATGGTCATTTAATTTTGGGAAAATTGTTGGGCATGAAACGAATCCATTCTCATTGTTCCAGTTTTCCCTATCGGCCCAACACAACCGGGAGTTCTGCCGCATTCGTGCAACGCATGATTCAGAATTTCTCATGCAAGAACAAAGAATAAAATCAAAAATTCAAATCACATAATAAAATAAGTTTTGAGCACATAGGAAATAGTCTGAAATCTTGGGAAGATAAGCTCATAACTACATATCGTCACATTAAAAGGAATTGTCAAGTAAATTGCTTTAATTTGATTAATTTAAGAACTAGTGGTTATAATTTTTTGTTAGAGTACTCAACAGGTTTAAGTTTTTGAGGTTTAAATAATAGTAGGCATTTGTTTTTTAGTATAAAACCTCTGACTGAGGATGCAACCTAATACCTGGAGCAGAGTTGGGTCTCGAGTGGCGAAATTGGGACTGGAAAGCTGGGCGAAAAGTGACATCCCACGTAAATCATCAGTAGCAAGTACATAATTATGCACAATATTAATTTGAAAGCTAAATCTGCTTTAAAATCTAGAGATGAATAAATATGGTGTAATTGTTGATCAGATGTACTGTTCTCACGACCTGGGACCTTCACTAACAACCAGTCAGTCGAATGTTTCAAGCAGCTACATACGAGCGCAGGGGTTCTAAACACGAACCAATTTGAGGCCAGATCTCCAGCTGAAAGGACATCTGGTACAGGTCCAAAAGGACAGCCAGCACCCAGTCGTGTGGAGAAAAGTTAGTTTTATTTCCTAATCTCTGGACTCACTAATTGTAAGAGTAAGATTATTGTATTGTATTATTTTATAGCTGTGAATCACATCACTCTGATGGGTCGCGTGGGTGCAGATCCTCAAATGAGGGGAACAACAGAACATCCTGTTGTCGTCTTCTCAATGGCAACCCATGCAAATTACAACTACCAGAGTGGTAAGTTAAAAGTACAAGACGCTAAGCTAAAAGTAGCAAACAATTTCCCTTCAAAGTTGACAATTCTTTTTTTAGGAGAAATGTTGCAGAAAACGGATTGGCATAGAATCTGCGTTTTTAAGCCATATTTGCGAGATACTGTGTACAAATACATGACGAAGGGTCAACGGGTCTACATCACTGGTCGAATTTCATATGGAGAAATTAACGACGATCAAGGAAAGGCCCATATGACAACCAGCATTATTGCAGATGATGTGATTTTCATTACAGATTCACGAAGCAAGCAAGCTCCTCCTACAGATGCTTAGTGAATATTATGTAGTGCCTACATTACTAGCATTTAATTAGATATACGTATGCTATTAGTAGTATTTGTCCTGCTTTTTAATGCTGTCTTTTTGAGCACTTCCTATTTTTCATAAGCTCAGAAAACTTGCGCAGAAAATGCAAATAAAAATCTTTTTCAACAATGTTTGACAATCACGTTTTATTTAATTCCGTTAATTAAGTTTCATCATCTGAATTGGAATGCACAACTCACTTTATTTTTTGTTATCATACTAGAGACTTAACTAATCATAGTACATATATAAAGTTATGTTTATTAGGTATTACTACTATATTTAGACATCAGTTAGTAGCTTGGAAAAAAGAAAGCATTTTGCAGTTTGGTTTTCGTTAACGAATTATTGGAAAGCAATCCCCAGTTACAAAACTTGGTTGGTTGTATCATAATTTTTTTCATTCATACGTATATTTAATTCCACTAACTGCACTTCCAAAAGTAATTAGAGTTCAGACTTAAGGTAAATTTTTAACCAACTTTCTCCACTGCATAGTCACAATTTCAATCAAAAAGTTTCTAGATTCAATGCATAGCCCTATCACCCACCCCCCAAAAAAATCCCCCTTCCCACAGTATAAATCAACTTATTCAGCAGCAGTAGTGTTCCAAAGGTGGAGACAGTGGAGAAAAGTGGAGTTGGTTATCGGTGGCTAAAAAACTTAGTCGCATATATGTAGACAAACCACAATAATGTAATAATGTTTCGATGATGATGATGATTGTACTGACATTGTCTCCATTCTCACAACTCAACAGCATTAAAAATTGAAGGTCAACATTTAGTGCGTTAATTAGTTGATTATTAGAAGCTTTGTAGCTGAGGTTTACCCATCAAAATCTTACAATTTACCTAAATTCTATCACTTTTTCGTAATAATACATACAGTGGTTTAAAGTTTGGTATATAACAAAACTATAGATTGCCTATCACGGTATTTATGGTTTGTATTTGTAGGTATATAAACTCACATTTTTTCTAAATGGTATCCAAGAATACAAGAACAGAAGACAAAGAAAGTATGATCAGTATTATACTATTCGACTTTGAATGTACACCACCATCATCATACTACCGTACCGTATATGAGTAAATTTGCACGAAAATTAAATAATTATCAACCTTGAGTAGTAATAGTAAGTAAGTAGTACACACAGTGTATAGTAGTAGGAATTACTAATAACAATAGTATAATAACAATAGTATTAATGGAGAACTTATCATAATTTGTTACAAAATTTTGAAAAATGATAAAATTCATTGTCTTCACAAAACGTTATATAATTTTCCTAAAGTATTCAAGTAATCAACCGGGATTAGATTTGTTTGTGATGTATGTATAACAGATATACGCACGCATAGTAATGATTATCATTTTCATAGGTAATAAACTCCTACCCATTACTGATACACATAGACATTTGTAAAATATTTTCTTGGTCGATGATAGTCATTCAGGAGAGTCAGAGTACTAAATTATTTACTACAGGTAATGGGGAATATAGAATTACTTCCAGTTTTTTTTACACTATTACCTTTTTTATTATTTACAAATACAGGTATAACGCTCACTGATTGAGTGTGATGTGGGTGGGTGAACAACTTAGAAAGACAAAATATTGACTCTTTCGATATAAATCTGCATAAAGACTAAACGTGGGTTTTTTATGTACATATACACAACTGTACAATTCGTACAAGAATTTACTAAGATCGTTACGTAATTGTAATAACTTAGTGCAGTTATATACGGCTGTTACATTATTATATTTTATCTATACCTAACTAAATACATTATACATAAGTATCTGTACATCGATAAACCCTAACTCTAGGTGTAAGATCAAATTGTTTTACAAGAATCTGGTCTTGCTTCGCATTATACCGACGCCAACTGCTCAATGTTATCCTCAATTTTTGCTCGCAACTCATTCTCCCATTAGTAGTGCCCACCCGGATTTTACTTGAATAGCTTGTACGGAACAGGGGGACAGAGAAAGACACATTTCCAAGTTAAAATTCAAAGCTAGGTGTGTGTATATAATACTCGGAACTACTATGAATGCTCGATTGTTGTACAACATTTAAAGTTTAATATTTACTATATATACACAATTCTGTGAAACCAAAGAAAATGATATCAGTTCGTTGTATAGTAAACAATTTTGGTTTTCAATTTCAACTAAATAAGGCAAATATTTTAGCAAATACGTATTGTGTCGGACTGTCTTCGATTTGAACAAAGGAAAAAAACTCCAATGCAAGTTGTGCACTGTGAAATAAATGTTTTAAGATATACCGCGAATCATTTGTTTCGCTATTTTTTTTATAAATTACTTGGAATTGAGCGATTGTATTCGTTATTTTGCATTGCCTTCCAGTAAGGATTGGGATCTAGGGATTGTCATAGGTTTTAGAGTGTTGCGATTGCGATGAAAACTTGGGTTTGATTGATCTAACTCTCGTCCCATTAATTAATGAGTGTGGGAAGGTATACAATTTATGGCACTAAACGCATCATAACCACCTATTCAATAATAAATACTGCTTCCAGTCTTTCTGGCATGCAGTGGATTAATATATATTGATTGTTACATAATGTTCTCCGTTGATTAGAAATGAAATCATTGCATGGTAGTAAAATATGAGTCGTGTTTTTTTTGCGAAGTTGGTTAGTTAACTGTTAACTATTACAGTGGTGTAATTCATGAAACAGAAAAATTCTACTTTCCAATACTGTCCTACTACTCTCTGTGTTGGGCTGGTAGATATTGATTGAATCTTCGTACTATAATAACAAATTTTAAGGTACTTCAAGTATTTTGTAAGAAGGAAAGGATACCATCATTCATCACCATTCATTTCTTTACTCTGAACTTATTTACACTTTCGGGTATCTATTTAACAGAAGCTTATTGCGACAAGACATATTCATATAGATAACTATTATTACGAATGAAGGACTCGTGTTAATCGTCGTCTTTATCCTTCATGTGACGATCCGTGGTATCCATACTCAAATCTGTTGGAACATCTTCATAATCATCGTTAATGAATTGGCTAGGCTCCATCTTGACGGTGAGTTGGACGGGTTGGTCATCCTGGTCGTCATGATCCTCATAACTTGACTTTGAAGATTTTGTAGTCAAAGACATTGGAGAACTTTGTGTTTGGCGAAGCATTGACAAACTACTTTCGTAGTCATTGTCATTATACGAGACAGAGTCTCCAGAGGGCAATGACTTCCTTGTGAGGGACACTGGAGAGGTTTGATGTCTCAACATGGACAAGTTTTCATACTCGCTTTCTCCAAAGTTGTGGGTTTCTGCTTTGACAGTCATTGACACTGGAGAATTTTGGTGTCGCAACATGGAAATGTTTTTGATGCTCTTGAGCTCACCGGGGTTTCTTAAGAATCTGTAAAAATGAAGCAGAAAAGAAAAGTGAGTTTTAATGGTTCAATGGAATTTCTTAAGAAATAAAGTGCAGAAATCATGAAAGACAAATATTACTGGTAGCAGTGTCGCTCCCCTTGAACCTTGCGGAGAATGTTGACACGATAGTAGTATCGCAGAGCTCGGGACATTTTGTCATAATTCATAGATAAATGATTCTTTTGGATACCCCAAAGTCTGGAAAGGTTAAAAAATATTACGTACTGATTGCTATATGAGACTTTATACATCAAATCAGACAAGTTTAGCTCACCTTGCAAGACCAGGTGGGTCGACAATTTTGAAAATCCCCGTTTCTACATTTTTCTATAAAAAAAGTGATCATTAGATTTTATCAGGAAAATTCAACTAAAGCAAATAATTTAAAGACATTTACTCACATAATTACTTACCCAAGTGATAAAACTACTATAGCGCTGAGCTGGGTCATTCAACAATTGCTGAAGAAAGTCCCATAAAAGTCTTCCATCTGAAAATTAATTAAATTCGATCATGAATTAAATTCGTACATGTAAATATGTAAATAATCGCAAGTTTGAGCTGCATATATGTATATCAACATTTATAGACTCACTGTTATTATATTCTCCTCCATCATTGTTGGAATTGTTGGTCAGCTTTCCTCCTCCCCCTTGAGGGAACGACACTGACTTGTTGCTACTCAAGTTGGCAGTTGACTGTTGGGCAGTGGTTCCGTTGGAATTTGCATGGAGATGAGTACTTTGGTGGTTATTGGTTCCATTCGATGTGAGCTGCTGTTGTTGAGAACCACCATGGGGGTGATTATGTGCATTGGATACAGGTCGTGGGGGTGGGCTTAAGGAGCCGGTAGATTGGTTCACGGGTGATCTCTCTGGACTCTCTCCCACACTGTCATATTCGGAGTCGTCGGAGTTGTGTCCAGCGGATCCATTGGATGAGGAAGCTGAGGATGAAGAGTGGACTCCATTGTTAGCACTTCCGTGCTCTTGTGGACTTCCGGCTTGACCATCCAATGAAGGAGCTGGACTGAGTGTCACTGATGTGGTTCCTTGTTGTTGAGAGGCTGCAAAGTGTTGTAAATCCGCTATGCTCCATGCTCCTGGAAGAGAAGTGACCAGGAGAAAATTAGTTGCTAAAATTCTTCAATTTAACGAAAAAGCGGAGGAAGAGTGAAAATGCTTCACAAATGAGACTTGGGTATGGTACCTTTTCCTGACAACGGGTGCATGCGATGGGAAGATGGCGTGTGAGGGGTCAAAGGCGACTCAGATGGCGATGACGACATAAGAATTTGAAGCGCATTGTGAATCACGTCCCCAGAACAAGGTGCCCGAGACTCCAAATCAGCTTTGGTGAGAAGACAGAGAGCTTTTCCTGCAAGAAATAATTAGTCCATGTTTAAAATTAATAGTTAATCCATGTACTACAATGATTTCCATTATTTCGTAAAACGGGAGGAACGCTGTAGTGGACTTTGCATACACCAAAACTAAACTAGATGCGACTTTGTATTATTATTAATTTATCAGTGTAATTGGTCCAAACCGGAACAAGGCACGCGAATGAGTAGTAGTCATCCCTTTCGAACTAAAGTTCTCGCCACATTCGCAATTCTCTTGATCACAAAAAATTCAAGGTTGTCTGAAACACGACTTTTCTAACAGACTTCACTTGAACAATGGGCAGCTGTGAGTGCAAGACTCAGAAATCATCATCTCTGGTTCTCTCTTAGGAGGAGTGCGACTTCATATCATCTATTATCCATTCATTATCTGTTAAGAGAGGCTTTCTTGTTGAGACACAGAGGATCTATTTCATGCCCATTCAGGGCAGCAGGATAAAATAATAATAAAGTTTTAACCAACAAATCGTGATGTTTCAATAATTAAGAGAACCATGAAGAGATGACCGAAAGGAAAACAACCCATAGTCGACTAGGCATAGAATCAATCAAGTGAATCAAGTATTTAAGACGTGGTCCACCAACTTTGTAGAGAAACACATCTCACTCATTTCTCAATCATTAATTTGTCCTCATCGTTCAACATGGACCGAAGATTTCTATACTTAAACCGTATATTTTTCTGACTGGTAGCTCGTTGTTGTTTGTGAAACTCTTAACAGTTAATTTGAAGCAGCTTTTGAGCAGGCTTACTCCTGACGTATTTCCAATCTCACAGCAATAATACCAGGAGTACAGAAAATCATTTGGTCATTCGTTCACTGACTTTCGAGAAGCGGAAGTGAGTGGAACAGAAATAGTGTCGCCTCTCATATTCTCATCCCATCGCACTGCACCAACCACTGCCACCCTTATTTAATAAATTCATGAGGACAAAGAAGAAGAGACACGCTGACTGTGTGTGGAATAAATAAAGAAAGTCTTCCTCTCTTAAGAGAAGAACACGAAGGAAACATGAAACGCAAATATTAAACCAAACATGTCTAACAATAGATCTTTACTTGACTCAGTTCTGCTGCTGCTGCTGATGCTGTTCTAGCCTCAGGGATAGTTTATATTAATCTGTACTTCCCTTTAAAATTAGTTAGTGGGTTACAAGGATGAGAGATTGGAAAGATGAGTGATGATGATGATGATTGTTGCAAATTCTGAGTCTGTGTTACTTTATAACTCTGCCAGCCAGGCTGCTGGTGCAACCAAGAACCTTACCTGTGCCGTATCTCACAGAGAGGAGAAAAAATGAATGAATGCTTTGCGAATCAAATATTATTACGAGGAACAAGATGATGATGATGATGGGTGATGTATATAGGATGCAAGCTATTTTTACTCCATCATCCATCCATCCATCCATTTCATTCTTCTTCTTCTTCTTCCTCACCCTTCCTCCTTTTCAAGACTTAATTCGAATTTGCCATTTTGCAACACAATAAGACGCCGGATGCGCCAACAGAACAAACAATGGGATGCAGCGGCGTTCTTCGGTTCTTTATTTTTTGTAACACTTTTTTCCTTCAAGTCAACCCAGTCACTAGTGTCGTGTATATGCACATATCTCGTGTGGCGAATAAGCACTTGGTGAGCAGAACTGATTTTAAGGGAAGAGAATGCATTATAAAATAAAAATAGTGCTGTTGCCGATGTTTATGATAAAACACTCCGTTGAGTCAAGGATGGATGCATGAATGTATTGTAAGTAAGGCATGCCCAACAGTAAATCCAATTCAGTTTAAGAACATAATAGACCAAATGCTACCCTCTGAGAGATTACAATTTTTTCATATGTGCATTTGCCCATCAATTTGCAAAACTCTGACATAAATAAACGCGGGCTAAAAAATATTTCTCTTCTATTAATAACAATTGTACATTTCGTCTTGTAGGCAATTTAAGTTTTCCATAAGGATGTTCCCAACTTTTATTAGCATAGAAGCGAAAACGCCGCAACGCCGATCCTAATCCCCAAAAGATAAGATGTGTCTATGCATTTGGAATGAATTAACGTTTTCAATCAGCCCAGAATATATTCAACATTTGTACTGATTCTATTAAATCGTTTGTGGAATTAAACGTCGCATTCTTGAATACACATACAACACACGTTAACAAGATGCATATGCATGTATTAAGTGACAAATCCAAGTTGTCTTCACCTTCTCCAGATTTTATGCCATTCAAAATAAGCCTAATAATTTTATCAAACAGTTTTGACTTGACTACTTAAAACTGCAGTTATTCATCTTCAATCATCCTACACGAAAAACAAAGACAAATAAGCGTATTCCCTAGCAAGTATGTAGATATGATGGCATAGGTATTTATGATGAGTTTGGTATTATTAATAAGTACCATGGATCCACCCACCACACTTAATAAATGGAAATGCAAACAATTGCCCACTGTTCAACAAACATTGCACTCGAATATAATAATTGGAAGCACACTGACTAACTCGCTTTACGCCAAACAATGCAGGGACAGCTGCTGCTGGGAGTTTGCTTTTTTAAGTGAGGTGCGACATTTCTTCTTTTCATGACCTTCATAAGCAGCGTCTGGCTGGGCGAACGAACCAATAAACTGACGACGGCGACGACGCCACAAATAAATGTGCATACAAATGATAGAGCCAAAATTGGTTGGACAATCATTGACACGTTGTGTGCCCATTATTCAAATGTAAATCCTACCGCAAGCCTACTATATTACCTACCCTACAAAATAACTACCACCAGAGTTCAAAACCACGGCTTGTCAAACCAACACAAAGCGTTGTGAGCAAACCTACCAACTTGTTGGTAGCAATTACTTAATTGTGGAATATGGGAGAGATAAGTACATACACGAATTAGACACGAGGTGTGAGCGAGTGAGAAGAGGAATTAGTACGACAAATTCCATTTCCACTGCAAGAATGCAGGATCTCCAACCAGGAAAGAAATTGAAGGTTAGTTCAAAGTATTAAATTAAATACTTTGGATTGCAAAAGAAGCAAAAAGAGGTCTGGTGTCAACCAACATTACTTCTATTTACCAACCAATGTGCAAACATTATTGTGTTGTGGGGCATATTCTGTCATGTCATTTTCATATGTGCCATAGTGCTATTCCCATCAATAATAATATAATGGTAATAATAATAATAGTGGGCTACTCTTCGCATTCAAAGTGGCATCCGATATTTAAATCCTTTCAAATTGGACGTTAGTATTCCTATTATCATCATATCATAAGCAACAGAAAGTGGAAGTCGGGGGGCGACGCGTATTTAGGTTTTGTTTGCTTGATTGATGCGTTGTTCTGCTAATAACGACGACGAGGACTATTTACATATCCTGGTTTATCAGTGAACCAATAAACAAAACTACTTTTAACGTATGCACGATGACAAACTTGTGCAGCCATGATCCAACCCACGAAAGAAATCGGAATACTGATATTCGATTCTCGATTCTAACTCACCGAGTTATTTTGTACAGGAAATGCTTTAATAATTTATTTGTTTGCATAATTCGATTAAACATTCCTCCTCAAAACGGGGAATGTTTGTTATTTACCTTGAAAGATTCCTATTCTCTTTCCCACCGCATTTATGACGTTCAATAGATCCAACTTTCGATTGATTTTGCAAAGTTCTTCTGATAGCAAAGTATTTAATGATCATTATTTGTAGGAGCAGTTAAATAGTTCCAGCAGTTCGGTGGGATTAGCATGCATATATTTCGTCTGGTTAAGCAAATTGGGTCAATCCAATTAGATTAGGAACAAGTGGTGGTGGTGGTACAGTTAATTAACGTATTTGGGCAACTTCCTGCGTGCGGTTGGTTACTGCTCAATAAGCTAAAAGCTCAGTCAACTCATAAAGGAGGTTGCTCTTCTGAGAAATGATGGGTGTTGCTTAATTACTCTTTTTACACAACGTGCTCTCTGTTCTGCTGTATTTAGCATCAATATCCATCCCCCACAAATAACTTAGGATTAGATTATGCAATATTAATCTGCGGCTAACCTTTACCAGTACTTGGTAACAAATTTGAAATGAAAATGACGGCAGACAAAATATGAGTGTAAGAAAGGATTTCCTCATTCTCTCTCTTCGTCTCCTTTGCTCAAAAGCTAAAATATTTCTCAAGAATGAAGACGTATGTAGTAATACAAATGTGTTTAAGAGGCAAATATGAAGTCTAAAGAGGAAAAGGAAGCGAGGAACTATCAATTTGGTTCTAGCTAAAATGTGCGAACTTTTGTTTCTCTGCTCTGTGTAAAGTTAGCGTGAGAACTGCACACAACACACTCCTTAAAAAACATCAGTGCTGAATAACGCATGTCGATACGTATGTATGCTTAGCAAATAACGCTAATAATACTGCTACCATTACTTTAAGCACACTTTGGGAAGTATTATTGCATATTCCCCCACCCCACACGGACACGACACATTTCTCATAATAGCTCAAGCTATTTTTGAACTATATGTATGCACACCAGTAATTTCTCCAGTTCCGGACAAACAAACCACCAATGCACCTCTTGTCGTCTGCATACCTATAAATTACGACGCTGGTCAAAAATAACACTTCCGAACCTACTTTCTTCCACCCATGTATGACGATAGTTATATAAAACATGTTCTTCACGTATGTAGTAGATACATAAGTAGGCAAGCATGACTACATGGTCGAGATGACTGAAACTGATGTATGAAATGTAGACTTACCATTCATCTGAAATCGCTCCGTGTCAAAAGACGGGAGGTCAAACTCCCTTTCACACCATTGCATAAAGGTCATCACATCCTCTCTCGTCCAAAGACGGGGGTCACTGGCTGCAGAAGAATAAGAGAAAGAAAGAATTGTTAAATCATAATGCCGTTGACAAAAATAGCTTGATTTTAGAACCATGCTCACCTAGATTTAATGGGATTGTGTGTTTAATGTCGTAGGCGAAGGGTAGCTGTTGTGCAAGTGGGGAGGGGATGCTCGCGGCGGCTGCGGCCGCCCTGGAAAAAACGGCAGCGGCGGCAGAGTTGGGTGGGTGTGGTCCATGGTGGTGTGAGGGTGGTCCGAGGGGGTTGTATCTCCAGAGGAGCTCAGGGCTGAATGGGAGCGGAAGAGGAAGTCTTTCCATCCCAACCAGACTCAACGGAGGAACTTTCATCATCCGGACGTGTTTTCCGGTCGGATCTTCCAGCAGAATTATTCACTCTCTGCAAATATACCGGCGCGACTCTCTCCAAACACTTGACTTTTATGTCTTATATCTTCAGTTTTCGATCACCTATGAGGCAAACAAAAACATAGAAAGTTAGTCAAGAATTATACAACTTTTTGGAACATGTTATACTCTAAAGATACATATTTTATACAATGTAGAACATTATTTGAAAAATATATTATCGCTCATCTTCCGCCATACAACTCCTCCTTAAATTCAATCGAGTTCCGTTTCAAGTAAACCATTATTTATATCGTCACATTATTATATGTTAGATAAATATATTTACTTGTATACCGCATTATCTTGTGACTATATGTTCGAAATAATATAGTAGCATCATTTCAGGCTCATAATGTCATCACATCGTGTTATCTAATTTACTTCTTCTTGCAACATTGAAATTGCCTTTGCTACGATGAGGAGGACTACAATAAATTTTGTCGTCACTCTGCTGGACTGAACCTGCATTTTGGAGCAAAGGAGAAGTAAAATTGAGAGGAGAGTCAAACCCGTGGAGAGAAGTAGCAGTATATAAATTTGATGACAGAACAGAGTTTTGGTTCATGGTGCGAAGAAATGTTCAAGTTGGAATGAAATGCTGCCAAAATACGATATGGTTCCCGTTGCCACAGGACATTGCTTCCGCTTCCGTTCGTCTCCTCTCTCAGGCTTGCAAGTGGAAGCCGTAGTCGTATGAGAAGTAAGGAAAGAAGCAGGAAAGTCCCCTTTAGCTTTGGCACAAGATGCACAACTTCTTGACTTGACACTCACCAAAAGATAAGGGACAACCGACAACTCTTTCGCTCACATTATAAAAATTCACTGGAATTTGCAACTCCAAACACACCAGTCAACCACATCATTATTCAGCAGAGAACCGCGAATGCATCTCTGATATATCCCTTCTCTCTTCAGAATTGCATATACACAATACATGTTACTTGCTTGGAGAGCCAAAGTGACCTCGTCTCGAGCAGTGAACCACTTAGGAAAACTTATTACGATCGAGTCAGTTGACTTACTTGGTCACAAACTGAAATTATTTTTTCAATTAAATTACTTTGCGGACTTCGGTCGGTCCAATTGATGACAAAGTTTATGTATTTATTAGTTGATGCTACCACTCTTTTCTTCCACTAACTTCCATACCAGGCAACACACACGCAGAGATCATGCAGAATAGCATAATAAATGTGCAGACTTCTGCTGTGGTTTCGTTGTTGGAGAAAATGTACAAAGTCAATCCAGTTGAGTCAATTGTGCGAGTTATCGTCAAGCAGCAGCATTAACTTGCAAATATTGAATATTTTCCCATTAGCAAATAATTTGATGGTATGCATAAGTTGACTGGTATGTCCTTGAACAAATGACAATCTAATTTATCTGTTTCCTGTTCCCAAATTGTCAAACTGGAATTAGCCCTGATGTGATAAAAGCGTATCATCCTCATCACCACCACCATCATCTGGCCGATTGTCTCCTCTTTAGTTACCTTCTCTCCGTCGTCATTATGTTACGCATGAATATTATTAATGTGGTGGTTTTTAAATTATTATGGCTACAGAATTTATAAAAGAGTTGGGTGGCTTCCCATCCATCCACCACCCAGAAATGAAATGAATGAGGATGGACGAGTTGACGGAGAGAATTTTTAAGACGAGATCGAGAGAGAATGGCATTGTGATGGCAAGAGAGAGAGAGAGAGAGAGGAGAAAAAGCGAGTCGATGACATAAACGGTCATGACATGACACGATACCATCACTTAAGATGATAAGAGAGGAGGCAGGAGTCTCTTTGCGTTTGCAACTCTCGTCGTGCCGCATTTTTAACTTGGGCTGAGCGACGAGAAAAGTATATATTGCGAACTGAACTGAACATCCGCAATCCGACCGACAAAGAAAAATGAGACTGATATGAAATATTTCTCCTCTTTCTCTCCCCGGTCTCTCCTTCCTTCCGGGTTCTCTTTTCATCTCCGTTTCCGTGCTTTCTCGCAGCAAAAGAAAATGGATCGCATCCATATCTATCCGACAAAAAGTCGGGGGTTATATAATGACCAAAAAATGCTTATCAAAAATATAGGTGATAAGAAGGTCTATTTTATTCTTTCCCATTGTCATTCTTTTTCCCTCTTGCCACCACGTCAGCCTCCTCATGCACCTCACTGTGCGATGCATGGCAGACGACAATTTCAGCCTTAAAAAAACTTGAACCCTTGCATAAATGCTTGAACCCTTCACATTTCTATGCATCCAGCTAATTTTAATGTAGCAGCGGAATATTAATATATATCCATGTCACTTTTTGTAGGCGTGGAGAATGCAAAGTTCTCCTTATTTTGAATGCAATAAAACAAAAGAATGCTAAGAGCAGAGTCGGTAAAAGTACTCCTAAACATATAAATAATGAAGGAGAGAGAACCAACTCCAAGTTTGCCATTCTTGGAAAACCCCATTAACTCAGTTTCCGGCTGGACCACCACTGACTTTTACCACCACCCTCCTTCTCCGAGCCAATCGGCCTACATGTACCCTATTTCGGATTAAGTTTATTAAGAAGCAAGAAGCAAAATAACTTAGCGACTCTCCGCCTAAATGATTATGTCTGGAGCAGTAAGCGAAAGGGTTCTCCTCAGAGGAACATAGGCAATCATAAATAATGTCTCCGCTGCTGTCCCATAAGCTAAACTTGTAAAAAGTAGGAAGAAACTGGGTGGCTGGCTTAAAAGAGAAAAGAGACGAATGTATTTACATTGTGTATGCATGCATAGAGGAGGAGGATGAAAAATAAGAGGACAGACCGACTCCTGCTGGAACAAGAAATCAGATTGACACAGCCCCACGGACACAACATTTGCTTACATGTATAAAAATTTCATCAAATTTCATGCTAACTCAACTTAGCATGTTGTTCAACCAACGACGTGAGCAATTCCAGAAAATCAAAGCCAAATAGACATAACCCAATTGGAATGGAGTTTGTTGGCTCAGTGGAGCTAAATATGTCCGTCCATGTTTGCACTGCAGCCCTTAGATTTTAATACCCTTCTCGTAGAAACCATTTTGTCTTCTTGTTTATGACATTTCCCACAATTAATGGTTTTGATCTCTCAGACCGACCATAATTAATTACAGGTCAGGTGGTTAATTAAATCCCTCTCTTCAAGCTTGGACAGGAAGCTTTGAGACTTTGTTGACACAGGCACGAATAATACAATGAAATGAAACCCGTCGAGTAGAACCAAGTAAGCTGAACTGAACTGGTGAGAACTGCTGAATAAATGAACAATCAGTTCATCCAGGCAGTGTGGGTCAAGCAGAACGAATCCAACCAAAACCAGAGAGAGATGGAATAAGGAAGCAACTTTAAGCCTGTTGGGTCGAATACTTCAAGTTTGCCCTTCCTCAATGCAGGCAAACCCAAAGGAAAGAAAACGACGGAGGAACCGTGTCCTTGACCATACAACATACGAATGTATACACATACTTACATCGCGAGAGTTCAAACTTCAATCATATCTTTCAAATTTGTGAGCCGGAATAAATGTGGAGGAAAGCAGTTTGTTCTGTCAACTTGAAGAAATGTCCACCAAAAATGTACCTCATACACATTCCCCCGACCTCAAAACGCATAACCTCTCAACCACTGCTGGAACTGGTCAAGTTCCTCAAACTCAACTTTCCGATTTCCTTTAGAATTCTTCCCTTATCGCAAATGAAGAAAGGAGAGAATGAAAGGAGATCATATACATAAGTAAGAAAACGCCCAGGCAGCCAAGTTGTCCTCGTTCTGGAGGATTAAGCTCAAACCGTTGTCAATCTTTCGTATTATATGACGATTATCTCAAGAAATAATGGAAATGAGCAAGATTGTATGAACATAAAGAATGCTGTATAATCACTACTCAGCATGTGAATGTATGTATCACTCTCAAAATTATTTTCGAGATGACCAATGGAAAAATATGAAAAAAATCATCGCCTTCATTAATTCTCCATTTTTAATAATGTATTTTTAAAGCTCACAAACATCTTAATACAATATTTGCTTTGTACGTTTTCGAATAAAACTGACAGAACGGACTCTCTGCCAAATCTCTGCGCTTCCCGTGGCTGATTTGCAATGCAATAACGGTTAGGTCGGGAGAGAGAGACAAGAGGAAATTGAAAATTTGAGGAAGCCCTCCAGGGAAGGCTATTTTTACGGCTCTTGTATGTATGTTCGGCTAAGCAGAAAGCATAAAATAACTCCACGAAGGTTTTTTTCCACCCTGGAGACATCATTCATCATCATCGTAGTAGTAGCAGCAAAGTAGTATTAACAACTACTTACATTCCATCCGACAGGCTCACGTCGTTGGACTCGTATGATTTGATTTGCTTTGTCTTTCATAAACCGAGTAATCACTACATTATAGATAAACCACAAAAGAGTACTGAAAGGGCAGTGTTCTCGTGTCCATAATAGTTGTAAATATTGTAAAAGTTACAGGTAATAATAATCAGTGGGACGGGCAAAGTACAGTTTATTAAATTGCACCCAGTCAACATATAAGGAGGAAAAAGAGACCGTGGTGGACGAATTGACGATGCTGTTCATCTATCTGTCCGTCAACCGAGGGTATAATAAAGGGTACAGCATGACCACTATTTGTGTGTCAGCCCTAAATCTCGCATAGCTTAATCTTTTTCAAAACACACTAGGATCAATTTGGAGCTAAAGGCAGTAACACCGGCTCCTCTTCAGCTAAGGCGAAAACAGTTTATTTAATGAAACGGGGAGGAACTATTGTTGAAAATGTATTGATACAGTTTTTATTTGCCACACCGTCATCACAACTCAAAATGAGACGACCATGTAGGTAGCAGTAGGGATGCGATAGAGGCGAAGAAATATCAGTTATAACGTTAGCTTGTAGTCTGATAAAACGCTATCTAAAGTTGCTACTTGGTACTGGCTGGGGCAATAATAACGTAAGGTTGTTGTATTACATCATAATATTATATTCTATCAAGAGTGTGGTGGTGGGTGGGTGGGTGGGTGGGTGAGTCGGTCGGAG